TTGAATCACGGAGATGAGCGGAGAGTTTAAGGAGGCGGCGGTAGTACTCAGACTGGCGCTTGTTATTGAGCGAGAATTCCAATTGACGCTTCTTGAGGTCTTTCTCGGGTTCTGTAAGAAAGGAACCAGGGAGGATTGAGAACTCAGAAAAGGCTAACTCCTCTTCAGAGGGGAGATTCCTGTCATCAGTAAAGCTCGAGATGGTCAGTCCTTCGAGGGAGGCAGCGTTGCTTTCACTGATGTCTCCTTCAAGGATGCCACGGCTTTTGTGGTCATCGCTGAACCGTAAAAGTTGCGTTTTCCAAGTGTGGTAGTTTTTATCGTTTAATATGATCATGTTGGGCGGTGGGCCAGTGGTGCTGGAGCTGATAACTTGTTAACCTGAGAGACCTAATATCCTAGACTGGGAGGAAGAATTAGGAGTCCAGAGAAAGGAATATGAAATATATATGGTGTCTTAGTTGTTGTCTTACAAAATGTGTATATATTATGACGCGCATTAGTGGCTGAGGTGATTTTGAATTTGAGAGGCGCGTAGGATAAGGGGATCAAGTAAGTAAAGTAGGATATTGGGAAGCGAGAACGCTAAGTAAGATGATAATATTGAATGAGAAATAGGATTGAGACTGACTCTCATGATATAGTGCTGTGATGCAACTTGGCCGAATCTCATTAAGACCAGCTGTGGCTAACAGTTTTACAGATTCCTTGTTAGTATATCGGCTAGTACGCCCGCTTGTCAGTTGAATAACTAATCGCGGGAGAGCTGGGTTCAACTCCCAGACAGGGAGATTCAATTTCTTTCCCCAATCTCGATTGGTTGTAGTTTTTGTTGAATCTAAGTAAATTTTAATTCATATTAAATACCTAGACCAAGTGATATGTTCGCATGATAGCCTACGTCTCAAAATAGGAAATTGCAAATTTTGTCGGAGTATTAATGAAAAGTATTAGTAAATAAATTAATGAGCTCGATTATTCATTTTTATCATAATATATATGTTAAGATCTGGGTACTGAGCCTGAACATATAGGTCAACCAAAGATGAGTCACGGACATGTGTTGCACCGACCCAAAAGATATAAGTAAGGAACCACGCTTACGATCAAAGACAAGACGAATTTCACATAGCACATGCCCAAATACAGTTAGACAAGAGCGCGGTCAACCGAGACCGCGTAAAGACTAAGAGGAACAAAGATAAGTAGGGAGAAAATAATGTAATGTAAATGAAAAACCATCCTCATATAGATCTTACTCATTATATTGAATCAACACTATATGCCACCATTCGTAAACATATCCATACTCTCTTTCGAGGTGTTAATGTCCTACATTTTCTTAATTGTAAATTATATCTTAGGCTATAACCTCAGTTCTGCGTCTTAATCCTTTCGGATAATATCTTTTTATTTATATCATCATCATTGTAGGTAGTGATGCCATTTTTGTTCAATTGGTTACCATACGTTTCAGGCGCAAACAGCCAATCCGGTGGAGCCCGGGCTGCCTGTTCTCTGAATTTAGCATCGTTAGTGACCAATTTAGCTAAATATGAAAAGGATATAATTCCCATATACAGATAATTTACTGGGACTGTCTTGATCTGGCTGAAAAGCCTGAAACAATAACCTACTGCATTATAGAAGAACGTTGTCGCTTGTATAAAGGCTACAGTTGTACTATGATAAGCTGTCCGTAAAGCGACTCTAGAAGTCAAAGGAATAGCCTGTATGTTACACATATTAAGTACTATCTGTTCCAACGCTACTGTTATACTTAACCAGTAGTACATGTTCATTGCCCTATGGAATGAATTCCAACTATATCTCCATCCTCGTACTTCTTCCTCGTTAAATTTAAGTATCTTGGTATTCAACAACCACTTCTCGAAAATATATGGAGGAAACAATACGAAGAGAGTGAGTATGGTCCATGCAATCCAGATCCTCTGTAGAACCGTAGAATTGGACCATAAATTATTAGTGAGGGAAGCGCAAGTGTCTAAATAGTACATTGTTTATTTATCTTGATGAAGTTGGTACTACGCAATATAAATATATTTTATCATTGACGACTGTTGTCTTTGTACAAGTTCTTTTACAAATAGTTGACACTGTCCGCATGTACCTTACTGTCCTCTTATTACTATTTGTACTTTCGTACCTAATGTTTGAATGAAGATTCAGGTGCTGAACTTGCAGAGTCATTTAGCTATGAAATATGAGAATATATTTAGGCATGAAAATATATGTAAGGTAGGCGGACAACATGGAATGCGAACTATCCATAATGAAATAAATCATGTACTAAGACCGCAACAATGTTCTATACGAAAAAATACACATATATGCATACAACAAGTCATAAGCTATGCTATCCTTAGGGTGGTGATCTGAATGATTTACATAACAACGTATTCACATTTCACAACCAATATAGCATGTCGTATATTTACAACTCAACTCGTAATAAGCAATTGTCGCTTTATGTTCAGAATCTGTGTCCAAATTCTAACAGCGAATAATATGCAGTGCCGCAAAAAATGACGTCATATACATGACTCAAGAAAGGGAAACACCTTCTATTTTAATTTTTGCAAACCACAAGCCTCGCTAGCTCAATCGGTAGAGCGTGAGACTCTTAATCTCAAGGCTGCGGGTTCGAGCCCCGCGTGGGGCTGTTTCTTTTGTTTTTATTATTTTGCTGTATCCTTTCGAGACGCAATGTTCCTTTTACTTCTGCATTATATTTCTAAAGGTCATATGCAAGACACAATTCATTAACACTACTTAATTTTAAGTTGTACTGTTGTCATCTGACGTTGATAAGCTTTTTGATGACGGCCATCAAATCAGCAATGAGCAGACAAGCAGCAGAGGTAAGCCAAATTGTCAAAGTTGTTCTCTTATTGAAGAAAATTAATAGAGATTCCTAAAATTCGTAGACGCTTCAACAGATCCTTTCCACGCTACGTATACTGCTGTACAAGCGTTAGAGAAAGCAGGCTTTAAGAAGCTACATGAGAATGCATCATGGAACGGTCAACTTCAAGCTGGATCGAAATACTACTTTACTCGTAACCAAAGCTCTGTAATTGCGTTCACTTTAGGTGCCAAATACAATGGAAGTGGTGGTATCAGTTTAATTGGTGCGCACACAGATTCACCAAACTTACGCGTCAAGCCTGTCTCTAATAAGACAGCACAAGCTTATCTTCAAGTCAAATGTGAGACTTATGGTGGTGGAATTTGGCACTCTTGGTATGTATAGCTTATATAGAGATGTTCAATCTGACGCTTCAAACAGGTTTGATAGGGATTTGAGTATCAGTGGTCGTGTGATTGTCTCTGAGAAAGGATCGACATCGAAATTCGTCAGCAGATTGGTCAAACTCGATAAACCAATTTTGAGGATACCGTCACTGGCTATCCACCTTGATAGAGACGTCAATCCCTTCAAGTTCAATCCTGAAACCCACCTGATACCAGTCCTCGGTCTTGTCAATGAGCAGCTGAACGCAACTACCGACAAAGAGGCAATGAAATCTAAGTCTTTGTACGACTCTCATCCAGTAGACAAACATCACCCAGCTCTTTTGGAAGCAGTAGCTAAAGAGTTAGATGTCGAAGTCTCACAGATCCAAGACTTTGAGCTTAGCTTGTATGACACGCAAAAGGCAGCTATTGGAGGTATCAACGACGAATTCATTCTTTCTGCTCGCCAGGACAACCTCATGTCTTGCTTTGCCAGCATAGAAGCGTTGATAGAAGCATCAGACAGACTTGAGAATGACGACAGAGTAAGATGTGTATGCTTGTTCGATCACGAGGAAGTTGGAAGCGCATCAACTGCTGGCGCAGATGGATCACTCTTGCCTGACTTGATTCACCGTCTCACATCCGAGTTATCAAAAGCTAACCAATCAAAGTCATCCTTTGAGGAAGTGGCTGCTCGTTCATTCATTATCTCAGCAGATATGGCACACGCAGTTCATCCAAACTATGCCGAGAAACACGATGACCTTCTCAGACCTAAGCTCAATGGCGGACCTGTCATCAAGACCAATGTAAAGCAAAGATATGCTACCACCTCAATTACCTCTTTCCTTCTTGGTAGAATTGCAGAAAAAGTGAATGTACCTTTGCAACATTTCAGCGTTCGCAATGACATCCCATGTGGATCTACTATCGCACCAATGCTTGCTAGCAAGAGTGGTATACAGACTGTTGACATTGGTCTCCCTCAACTCTCTATGCACTCGATTCGTGAAATGAGCGGCTCAGAAGATCCACAACATCTAATTGACCTCTTTAGATCTTTCTTCGAACATTATGGACAACTCCAAAGCGAAATCACAGTGGATTAAACAATAATTGTAGCATTGATGGCATAAATGCATTGATTGATAACTTAAATCTTTTCGTAGAAGTACACATAACCTTTACCTAATAATGAGTTCAAGTTTGTTTCTGATTCCTTTACGACTTTCTCGTCGTTGAAAAGAATCCAGTTGTCGCCATGTTTAACGTGTACTACGTAGTGACCTGAGTGAACCGAAGGACCTTTATGGGAGATGAAGGCCTTGAGCTTGTACGAAGCTGGTGAATTCACATGACCAGGCTTGGAATCATCTTCATCCATAGGCTCAGCTGCCTCTTCACCTGCATCTGTAGGATTTTCGAATAGCCAACTGACGGCCATTTCGACATTGTTTGACTATTGACTATTAGTAATAGAGCATTTGTTATGTTTCAACTCACGGATAGTCTCAAAGCTTTCCTTGCTTGGTTTTCAGTGAATCCCATACTGGTAACGACATTAATGAGGTCATCTTCACCACCCTTTGACGATTCTTTGATGGGTGCTTCCTCACCTGGATCGGTTGGATTCTCAAAGAGCCAGCCAACAGCCATTTCGACGCTGTTTTGTGTACTTTTTAGAGCCTTACGAGCTTGATTCTGCGTGAAGCCCATTTCTGCGACTGTGTTGATCAACTCTGCTGGTACATCTTGGTTTTCTTCCGTTTCCTTGACCTCAATGGGTTCGTCAAGTCCTGTTGTGGGTTATTAGCAAGCCATAAAGACAGATATAATGAAAACCAACCTTCATCTTCCATATGACTGAACAACCATTCCATTGCAGCTTCAGCGCCCGAATGGTTGGTGTTAATCAAGGCTCTTTTAGATCTGTTCTCTGAGAAACCCATACCAGTCAAAGCCGTCATCGAGTCACCGTCGAATTTGATTTCATCGTCTACTTTGGGTTAGTGAATTGTTCCACTGGAAATCCTGCATACCTTTATCGTCGTTACTATCTGGAAGATCAACTTCACCTTCTTGTCTACCTTGTGACTTCATCTGTGTGACATCAACTTTCTCGACGCCGTTTACTTGTATGTCAAGCTTCGTTGGCACCCAATTCACGAGATGGAATTTGCGAGAGTGTATCACGAGGGCATTTGGGAATGTATCTAATTTCCATGTTCTTTGTATGTCAGTACGTTTGAAAAGCAAATACGATCTACCTACTTGATGGCATTAACCTGCGTTTGACACGATGGACAACTATATTCGAGCTGCTCAGGTTGAATAAGCGCTGATAAACAGTCTTGCATGTCGACATCCTCATATGCAATTTTATCGGATTTTGAGCTCTCGTCGTATACTTTGCCTTTTTCGATTACGGGGATGTTGACACTCAGACTGTCGTGGTTATCGTACCTATATCTAACTTTATTGCATGACGTGCACTGCAATTTTTGTTCAGCAACAAAGGCAAACATATTCTTCAAATCTTTCGGTGTATTCTTAGATGTGCGTCTGAGTACTTCTAAGAAATGACCTAAGAATTCTTCACTGTCTTGTTGTCTCATTGACGAGAACTCTGGGTGGCCTTTCCCGATGAGATTTTTGAACATTGCTGGCTTGATACCGTCTTGAAATTGACCACCCAGTCTAGATTGCTTGGAGTATCTGCCAGAACCCAAACCATCAGCAATTTTTGCCAGCTGGATATCCAAATTGTTTGCTGGGTCATCGACAGTTTCCTTATTGAGTTTGGCAAAAAGCTCCGAGTAGTACTTCTTTACTTCCTCATAACTAAACAACGACTGAATTGTGCTATTCATATAGCAGCTGTTGCCAAGATTCTTCAATCCGGTCAACCAGTTGCCAAACACTGGTTGGAGTTCATGTCCATCTTCGCCCGTCATGCTAAAGTCAAACTTTGAATTCTGCTCTAGCTGCAATTCTGTAAGGTTCTTTGTTGTCTTTACCTGTGCTGCGATGTTTATTCCGAAGTTACTTAAATCTGTTGCAAGATTTGGATTCAAACGCTCCTCATTGCACGCGTAACAGTAAATGTCAGCGCTACCTTCTGCGGTGATAGTACCAAGTTTGACAGCGACAGCGTGACCTGTGTTCTCAAAATGTGCCAAAGCGTGTGAGTTGCCCTTCAATCCACCAAATTGGGCCCTACCACAGCCTAATTCACCACACGTGAGACATAGCCAGAGATTGTCACTGAGTTCGCAAGCGTGACAGTGCGCACCTGACATTTGAACATCCTTTTTTGGCACCTGTGTTTGCGATATGCTCACAGAGTGCTCACAGCCAGTCAATTCCTCCTCCCAGGCTTTCACTTCCGACTTATGGGCGTTTGAATCTGCCTTGACGATCGCGTCAATCTGGGATTCTATGGTGCTATTCGATGTGCTGGGATATACTGCATTACACTCTAAACACTTCAAATTGTAGTCGTAGCTGTGTATGTCTTCGTCTCTCTCTTCTTCGATTGCTAACTTCTTAAGTGGTGGCTCCTCCTTACAGCATTCTGTTAACAGCACATCAAATATAAACAATATTTACCTTCTCCACTTGTGATTTCTTAATGCGTCTTTTTATGTTTACCGCCAACGGATGATTCTTCTCTTTGGCGTGGTTATATGCGTGCTGATGGGAATTATTGTCTGCTGTCGCACATCCACCGTGGAAACAGTGTAAGCAGACATCCACACCATTCTCTGAGTCCTGCGAGTGGCTGTTAGATATGTCACCCATGCTTATCTATCACGCACTTGACTATCAAAACATCTCATACACTCATCTTTGTAAACTGTATCAGAAATGCTAGGTGCTCGGAGTGATTGTCCCAAAGTTTCTACGTGTTCACAAACTCCCATTATGGTCGCTAAGAGTCAAGGGCATATATCTCAATTATCGGACAATGATAACATAAAAGTTCAAATAATTAGTTATTACGGTACACTAAATGGGAATAGAGTAAATGAGTGACTGTTTGATTTGCGTGTTTCTCTCTCTATGACGTAGGTATTTCACGAGCTAGTGTTGTCTAAAAGATATCATTTGCTGTACACTTTTCTAATGTATGCCCATAATCTTCCTTCAAAGGATCTTAGACAGATGGCTTCATAATACATCGTTTACTCACACAATCATCGCAATATTCTCCAGAATTGACGCCTTGTGACATACCAGATGCAGCTGCTAAAGCTGATCCCGCTTTAGGTCTACTAGTGGCATTAGAGGATATACTATTGGAAGAGACCCCATTGGTAACACCATTATCTGACTTCTTGGCATCGCGCATAAACTCTCTGATCAATGGATCTTCGTATTCATCGTTGGATTCCTTGATTTCTTCGTTTGCCAGGTTTTCTTTGTTTGAAACCACCGATGAGTCCGTCGTTCGTCTCGAGTGTTGGGATACTTGATCACCTCCATTTGGTATATTCAATTTACTCCTTAATCTTGATATCTCACGCTCCATATCATCCTATGAATTTCGTGTAAACGTAATTCTGCTTTTCATAATAGTCTTACCTCTTTAAATATCTTAGCTTCGAGTAATGACTCAAGTTCGCTCAGCTCGCGATTAGACTAAACATACATGTCAACTTAATGTTACTGGGAAAGAGCAATACCCACTTGGCTCTCAGCATCCTTTCGCCGGCGTTCGCTTTGTTTAAGTTTCTCTTCGAGAACTCTCATGGTATCGTCTGGATGGAGCAACCCGTTTGACTCATTGTTGGACTCTGCCTGTCGTATAATTAATTAGAGAGGACATTGTAAACCATGAAACTAACATTTTTTGCTTCTTCAAGCTCACTGGTAAGATCTTTAACTTTCTTTCTCAGGGCGTTGATCTCAGCGGTTTGTTTAGATGGACTATCTCCACTATCAACGCCTTTACGCTTTAATTCCTCCTTTAAAAAATCACATTCCCTCTTTGATACAGCGTTGACCTCCTCAGAGTCTTGTAAACGTTCGTTGAGAGATGTAACCTCTTTCTCAATTTCTTGAACTTGGTCAAGGTGTTCTTGCTGTTCCTTTTCAAGACGCTTGTAGAGTTCATTAACTCGCTCATTGTCGGTATCTTCACTTCCATTTTGGAGATTCTCAAGATTCTCTAAATCTGATCTAAGTGTCTCGACTTCAAATCTGGAGCCCTCAAGGAGCTCCTTAGTCGACGCGAGAGCTTCCTCCAACTCATCTATTTTGGACTTGGAGTTTAAGTGTTCGTTGTGTACCATATCTAACTCGCTTTCTAATTGAGTAATGCGAAGCTGTAATTCTTTCAAATTAGTTTGTAATTTCGCCATCACGTCACGGGATTCGTAGAGTGAGTTCTCCTTTTCTCTTTCTGACTCATTGAAAGATTCCTCAGCCGCTGATAACTTGCTTTGTAAGTGCGTGAGTTGTTCTTTTAATGACTCGTTATCGATTTCTGCCGCAGTGACCTGTCTCTTCGCTTTTGTACCCGGTGATGCTGGCTCTCTTGCCTCAACGAGGAGTTCATTGTGTTGACCTTCAAGGATCTTGAGCCGTTCATCAGCCTCATAGCGGCGAGATTCTGTTGCGTTCAAGCGCTCTTCATACAATGCGATCGTCTCTTGGCCTGCGTTCCTCAACTCTGAGACTAACAACTGAAGGTCTTCTCTTTCTCTACCAAGGTCTTCCGACTTCTTCATTAAAGCATCGATAGTCTCTTTCAGTTCAGCAATTTCTGCATCCTTTTTATCTAAAGTGGTTCGCATTTCTACCTTAACTTTATCGAGTGATTCGTTGATAGTCTGTATATCTACGTCAAGTTGACTTAACTTGTTCTCTTTGTCTTGAATTTCAAGGGAATGTTTCTCCTTTAGATCATGAAGCGTGATTTGGTGGTCTTTATGTGTGCCCTCTAGGGAAGACTCAGTGGTTATGATTTTCTGTAATGCCTCCTCGAGATCTTTTTTCGCCTGGGAGTAGGTAGACAGCAACTCCTTCTGCTCGCCAGTTTGTGACTCGTACTTTTCTTTCAAAGCGTTGAGCTCGTTCGTCAGTTCGGTAGTATGAGACTGTGACTCGCTATATAAATCATCCAAGACATCATTACGGGAGTAGCTTTTGCGATGACTGAGTGATTGTCTAGATTGTGTGCGCTGACTGATACTGCTTGGAGGTCTATCGACTAATTGCCTAGATGGCGTCCTGTTTGACGCGACAGAAGAACTCCTCTGGTGTGATTGCAAGGGAGTGTAGGTAGAAGGGTTGTATGACGAGTTACTGATTGAGCTTGATGGTCTATTCTGCTCCATGGAACTCGATAAGGAGTGCCTCGATGGTGTAGATAGAGAGGTGAGTCTCGTACGCGTAGTTGGAGGTGACGAAGGTGGAGGCATGTGGTCTTTACTTCTCAGACGCGTAATTGAATGTCTTGGTTTTGGCGTGGCTGATGTAGGTGTTGGTAACGTCGTTGAATGTCTCGGGGTTGTCCTAGGTGACGGGATCGCTGAGTTGTTGACGGACAATCTCGGTCTAGGTAATGCAGGAGGAGTGATCGACGTGACTTTGTTTGGCTGTATGAAAATCCCGTTATCCGGTTTGCAGCTGAAATACCTGACGCCCTGGATGCTACCATCGTTCTTGCCCTTCCCATGATGCGGAGGTAGGAGCTCTAAGCCAAGCCAGAGGCCTTCCTTGAATTGGGTTTTACCGTAGAATTTCAAGTGTCCTTCTAAGTTCAAATGCTGGATTTTCACCAGACTGTTTATTTTGTACTCTGTGTTGTTGACGTTCATGTTCAAGATACAAAGCGTCGTAGACTTCGATGGACTATTCAAAATACACAACAATTTGATAATTTTATACGCTAACAATCAGCTCACTTTAAGAGATTTCAACTTGAAAGTCCTCCATGAGCTCACTTTGCAGAATACACCCTCGAGTTTTGGTGTTCACAATGAGAAACTCCTAATAGGATACTCTAATGGATTACTAGAGATATATTCTATCAAACCACTTCATCTGGTCAAGAAGATCTCCCCAGTCGACTACAAAAACATCCTTAGAGGTACAGATGAGGGTCATCTCGGTAATGCGGTCACATTTACCCACTTTGTCAGTAACAGCACGTTCATCTCTGCCGATGAGTCCTCGCGGGTGTTCTGTATGTCCCTCAAAGGTCTCGGTTGGTTGGAGGGTCTTGATAAGCAGAGATTGTTTGGTAGATACCCTCTTCCACCATCAAATCCTCTACAATTGCCCGCATTTCATTCTAAATTACTCGATGTGGCTGTGTGCCAGCCTTACACGGCCATTCTCACACCAACCAAGCTTATTGTCGTATCCTTGAAGCCTTCTCCGACAACCATCTACAGGGTAATCAATGAGAAGCCTTCAGATCACACTACAGGTACTTTAGCGTGGAATAACAATACCCTCGTTTTCAACTGGAGTAACACTGTCTACAAAGTCAACCTGGATGATCAAATCACACATTCATCACGCGTATACGACCGAAAGATAATGTCTTCTCATTGGATAGACAGTAACTTGATCCTATTGAGGTCTCCAACGACCTTTGATTTGGTAGAGCCAGCATCATTAGAGATTTTAGAATCCCAGCCTTACGACACCTCACATTTACCTAATACACCCTCTTCATTTCAAGTATTGCGAAAAAAATGTTTCTTCTTGGTATGTGGTGAATCTTACGTAAAGCCCACATTAACTCTTTACAGACTGAGAACCACTTGTCGGTAGCATTTTTGTTAAATTACAAAGACAGACTTGGTAGTCTCGCCAAAGACGGGAAGTACATTGAGGCTCTCCAACTAGCCGTAGCATACTTCAAAGGCGAGGGTGGTCATCGATTGACTACACACTTACCAGACTCAACAATGGAAAGACAGCCTCTAGTACAACCCTTTCTTAGCTCACTTCTCAAATCATCAACAACATACCTGGAGAAGACCATTACGGCTCAGTCTAAAGAGGCTTTGCGGTACTTGGCTAAGCATATGATAGAAGCTGCCTATCTTATTGATAATCTAGACTGGTTGTTTAATGAAATTTTCGATATATACCAAAACAACAAACTTGAATACCCATTTCTGGTGGAGTTGGAACCCTTAGTGAGATATGGAAAATTACCAGTTATACCGCCAAATATGAGTCAGTTGTTGCTGCGTTTGTATGACCCTAAAGATCATCCTGGAAGGTATGAAGAGCTAGTACTCAACCTAGATGCTACCCAACTAGATCTCAATGGGGTTATTAAATCGACGAAGATACATAAATTATGGAAGGCTTTTATATACGTACACTTGACTGCGTTAGGCGACTTCCTTACTCCCACTCTTGAACTCATCAACTCGATTAGGAATGATCAGCAAGAGGGCGATAAAGTTACATTGTTCGATTACTTGGGATACACCCTGAGTGGGCTATTATATCCATCTCAGAAAGCCCTGGAGAGCATCGATGATGATTATTCAGAGGAAGGATTGAGCTTTAGAGGTAAAACTAGTATATACCAGTTGTTATTCAACGGGAAGCTTCACTCAGATGACATTAACACGTCAGACAACTATTCATATCCATATGTAAGGTTTCTCTTGGCACTTGATTCAAGACTATTCTTTGCAGTGTTAAACAGAGGCTTCGAAGAGGGGTACTTCAATGACGAGGGTACATCTCGTCCATTATCGCGTCAAACAATAGTCAACCTCCTATTAGAAATGATATACACCCAAGATTTACCAATCGGTACCATTACTCAAATAGAAGTATTTGTATCAACAAACTTATCAAAATACCCTCAATTCTTGATGTTGCCATCAAGTACGATTTTACAACTCATTATGGGATTATCAGAGATGCAAGATGATAGTGAAGGCAATCAGGATATTTCAGGAGCTTCACAAAATGAGCGCGAATTAGCGGTCGAGAGTCTTTTATCAACCTTTACGCCTAACTCACTGAACAAAATTCTTGATCAGCTTATAGAAGTGTTTGAACGTGCAAAATTCTACAAAATACTAAAATCTTCATATAGAACAAAGAAAGAATGGAGAAACCTCATCAGGATTACTCTTGAAGATATTTATGATGAGGGACTTTTTGAAAATCTCAACCAAACGTTCAAATGGAGTAGAGATGATGTAGAGTTGTTTGACGTTTTTGAAACGTTTGTTGATACGCTTATACGACTGGATGCTGATGAGCTCGTCATGCTGGTCGACAAGCATTCTAATGACAGTGACGAAGTGCATACAAATATCGTGCAATGGTGTCAAGAGAAGAGACATATTGTAGAATACCTCGCAGCAGCATTGCGAATCAGAAACGGTGAATTAAGCGATCCATTGAAAGATATCTACATAACGGCTTTAGCGACTTACAAAAAAGAGGAGGTTTATGGTGCTATTAAAGCCTATGACTTTAATCACGAGTTGGTTGATAGGCTCTGCGTAGAGGGTAACATAATCGACGCAAGGCTCTACCACCTCAACGCAGAGGGTTTACATAAAGAAGCGTTCGATTACCTGAGACATAGTACCTCTGAGAGTGCTGACGAAGACACACTCAAGCGGGCATTCAAAGTCGGAATGAAGATCGCAATTGACTATGCACATAATGGAAGTGAGGAAGCAAATAATATGTGGTTCATCGTTTTGTCAAGCTCTATGACAGCAGTGAGAAAATACAATTGGTCGAATGACATACTCGATGAAATCTTAAACGCTGTTGTACTTCATACAGATTTGAACAAAATGACGTTCTCGACGTTGTTCAGAAAGCTCGTCGACCACTTCATGGTCGAGCCTAAGGGTGAAGATAAACCTTACGATCAACTGAGGAGTGTTCTGATGTGTTTCATGGATAGTATTCGCAGCAGACAGGAGATTTTCAGCGTAGCAAGACGCATTATGGATAGAGATGCAGCTTCGATCATCAACGAATACAGCGAGAAGCGTAGAAGTGGCTGGAGTGCATCTGAGAAGTATAGAAATGAGTTGGATGAGTTGAGGAAATACAACGAGGAGAGTCGTAAGTTGTCTGAAATTGCCGAAGAGCTCGAACAGCAGGGCGTTGACTATAGAGAAATTTTCGAGATACCGCCTGTCAAGCAGCGTGTTGTTAAAGTGTACCAATAGATAACCCTAGGTAGGTAATTAATGATGGTGTTTGAGTTGTGTTGTTAACGTTCAATTAGATATCTTGTAAATTGAATAAAATGTTATAGCTTAAACTGAGACAAGTTGGTAAATAGGAATGACTGTTTTCTGTTGTGCTAACCGAAGTACTCGATTGGTATTAAAATAGGAGCTTGGCTTATCGCAGTTGTGCAGAAATGTAGATGATGTCACAGTTTAACTTTTTGATTAACGCTTAAAAACGCTCTGATTTGTAAATTAGAGAAGTTTTTTTAATAGTATACTTCTATAATATACTATAATAACCTACAATGATTAAATAATTGTATTATTCTTCCACCATCATCATCATCTCAGATGAATAATGGCAGGATACGGAAGCTGGATGAGCTCGTAGTTAATACAATAGCAGCTGGAGAGGTGTGTAAAATATTTGTAGCGTGTTCACACAAGTAACACCCACAGATCATCCACAGACCTGCAAACGCTATCAAAGAGATGTTGGAAAACTCCTTAGACGCAGGAGCAACAAATATAAAGATAACTATAAAAGACGGTGGATTAAAGTTACTACAAATTCAAGACAACGGCGGCGGAATAAGCGTACGTTCCCGGCTTCCTTTTCCTTATCAAATTGAATTATCGTTAGAAAGAAGATCTACCAATTCTTTGTGAACGCTTTACGACGTCAAAGATACGAAAGTTTGAGGATTTACAAACTGTATCGACGTTTGGATTCCGCGGTGAGGCTCTAGCATCTATTTCACATGTTGCACATCTATCAATCCTTACAAAGAAGGTCGAAGATAATGCGGGTTGGAAGTGAGTTGATAGAATATGCCTGGAGTGCACCATTGACAAATTCAAGGGCTAATTATTCAGATGGCAAGCAAATCGGCGAAGCTAAACCAACAGCCGGGAACAAGGGCACTATTATTAGCGTAGAAGACCTGTTCTTTAACGTCCCGATGCGCAGAAGAGCACTCAAGAGTGCCAATGAGGAGTACAATAAGATTGTCGATGTTGTCACAAAGTATGCCGTTCATAACCCGACGGTATCATTCGTATGCAAAAAGGTAGGTTTATATACACCAAGTTCCGTTCGTTTGCTAACGTATAGCACAAGGTGAACGCTAATGTTCCAGAGATATCCACTTTATCGAGATCGACGACAGTTATGAACATAAAAGCGCTTTTCGGACAACAGGTATCAAAAGAGTTACTGAGGTTCGAAAGTGAGGATCAGGAACTGGATTACAAGTGCTCGGGATATGCAACATCCACTAATTACGCATCGAAGCGTACAACTATGTTGCTTTTCATAAATCGTAAGTTTTTCACAACTGTTGGTTGCTACAGAATCTTAGACCATCACAGATAGATTGGTAGATTGTCCGCCTTTGAAGAAGAGCCTGGAGAATGCGTATAGTGCTCTATTACCAAAGGGGTCACATCCTTTTGTTTACGTGGATCTGGAAATACCTCCTCAAAATATAGATGTTAATGTACATCCAACGAAATCACAGGTTCATTTTATAAATGAGGATGAAATAATTGAACATTTGGTAGACGCATTAAGTATCAAATTGTCTAGTTCTAATACTTCAAAGAGCTATGATGTGCAAACGTACCTTCCAAAACCAATGCCTATAGCTCAGATATCAAATCCCAAGTTCATTGGTGAGTTTATATGGCCATTAATAATTAGACATGCTGATTCAGATACATAAAGCTACTTTTGCTAAACCTGCTCCTAAAGCTCAAGTACGTACAGACGGTACGACAAGAACACTCGATTCATTTATACCAATAACGCAAAAATCATCATCGCCACCTCCGCCTAAAGCATCTGCATCTACATCGAGGATTACGTCTACGCCATTAAAGAGACCTGCTGAAGAGACACCACAACACACACCTGCATCGACCCAATCTATGAGAACACCTATAGAAAAGGTAAAAAGCAACAAGAATAACCTCACATCAGTACGGAATCTCAGACAGGCAGTTATCGATAATAAAAATGAGGATGTTGCGCGAATGATAAAAAATCATACTTTCGTTGGTTTTGTGGATATGTCTAAACATTTAGCATTGATTCAGCATAATACGCAGTTGATCATGTTAGATTACAAATTCTTCGCGTAAGTCGTTGAAGAGCTCTACCAGTTTTACTTACTAAATTGTTCAAGTTATGAGCTTTTCTATCAGATTGCCCTAAACCAATTTGGTAACATGGCCAAGTTTGAACTCAACCCACCTCCTAACATACGGATACTAATCGAGATAGCTTTAAAAGCTGAAGAAGAGAATATCTTAGAGAGCGGTGGTGAAGTTTCACTAATATTAGAAGTAAGTTGAATAATATATTTAAATCAAACTAACACGCATTGTAGAAGATAGTGAACTTGCTTACCAGTAAGGCGAGAATGCTTGATGAGTATTTCTCAATAACGATAAACGAGAGTGGGGAATTAGAGCGTTTGCCATTACTCTTGAAGGACTACACCCCAGATATAAATGCTATACCGACACTTCTAATGAACCTTGGGCCATTGGTGGGTGATATTAGTCTAATAACTTCATTATTGACGGATAATTACAGGTAAATTGGGAAGATGAACAAGAGTGCTTCGACCAAATACTCAAACAATTAGCATTGTTTTACACTCCTTCCAAGGAAAACAGTGAAGCTGTTAGATGGCAAATTCAACACGTATTGTTTCAATCAATGGTGAAAAATTTAACACCTTCAGATAGTCTAAACGCGATCACAGAGGTGACAAGTTTACAAAATTTATATCGCATATTTGAGCGTTGCTAGAATAACTGTAGTTTATATTTAATGTATTTCTTTACTGTTTGTTACACTGGTTTTGAAAAAAGTAAAAATCCAAAGTTGAAGATGGTTTGCATAATAACATGTCTAAAATGATTCAATCTACTTTTTACCAACCACGTTGAGCGAATTGGCCACCCTTGAGGTTCTTATCAACGTTAAGGCCAACCATGGCTTCACCAAGACCTTCGGAAACTTGTGCGAGAATCTTAGGGTTTTGGTAGTGAGTTGTGGCTTGAACGATAGCTTTAGCGCGCTTAAGAGGATCTCCTGATTTGAAGATACCTGAACCGACGAAGACACCATCACAGCCTAATTGCATCATCATAGCTGCGTCTGCAGGGGTAGCCAAACCACCAGCAGCAAAGTTAACAACAGGCAATCTCTTAAGTCTGGCAGTTTCCTTGAGAAGGTGGTATGGTGCTTGTAAATCTTTAGCGAAAGCGTAAAGTTCTTCTTCTTCCATAGAAGCTGCCTTTCTGATGTCTGCCATTAATTGTCTCTCGTGTCTTACAGCTTCGACTACATTTCCTGTACCGGCTTCACCCTTTGTTCTGATCATAGCAGCACCTTCTGATATTCTTCTGAGTGCTTCACCGAGGTTTTTGCATCCACAGACGAAAGGTACCTTGAATTGGTGCTTGTTGACTAGTTTGTTCATTAAATGATATATATCTTAATTCATAAAACCACTCACTGTGATGTTGCTCATCTGCTGGTGTGAGTACCTCAGATTCGTCGATGTAATCAACTCCACACTCTTGGAGAATCTGGGATTCGACAAAGTGGCCAATACGTGCCTTAGCCATGACAGGGACTGGTTGATATTAGTGGTCATACAATATATTCTTGATCAATACTCACTAGTAACAGCGTCGATGATTTCCTTGATAAGTACAGGATCAGACATTCTAGAAACGCCACCTTCTTGACGGATATCTGCTGGTACACGTTCGAGTGCCTTTATAGTTCTTAGTGAGTGTCTAGAAGGATAGTTTATAACTTACCATGACGGCACAAGCACCGGCTTCTTCAGCGATACGAGCTTGTTCAGCGTTGACAACATCCATGATGACACCGCCCTTAAGCATTTGTGCGAGTCCTAGAAGCTGTTAGCTAAGTATACAGATGTGTACCTCAGAACTTACCGCTCTTCACAGAGAAGGTACCAATGCTACCATCACCACCTTTGCCGTTCTTTTGGGTTGATTGACCACCCGCTGGGCCTACGATTGTTGGGTTTTCTGCAGACATTTCTTCTTTGACGGTATTCGATAAGAAGCAGACGAGTCATCAATCGATCGAAATATAGGGTAATTAAAGAAAAATATTCACAAAATCTATGACTTTTGAGTAAGCCAAGGTAACTCAATTGATAGTTATAGTACAATATTCATTAGTACTGCAATGAAATCATTGTTCCTAAATTTCCTCATTTTCTTTTAATCCGAAATGTATTCTATGAGATAGCTATGAATATAAAGCAGTCGAGCATTCATATTGTCGCTTTTCATACCATCTCGAAATATTGTCCGCAGTGGTTTAGTAGAAGAGAATACTCTTCGTGTATGTCAAATTGCTGATTGTTATTGTAGATACTTTAACTAGATTTTCTATACATTGCTCTCGTGCATACTTTCAATCTCTCTTCAGCCGCTTTTAAGCGAATAGTGGCATAGATTCAGGTACGCATATACTTCGCATCCCCTCTTTACGTTTACTCAAAAGAAAGAAAATTATTCACGTATTACAATAATGTGTTATTTTTAACCAATGACCAACTTGTCTTCGTTCAAACTATAGACAGGAACCTGTGAGGACATGTTAGTAGGTGATTCTAAACTAATATTGTGTTTCGAATATTCGCGCGTCGCATGCTCATCTGTGTTTAAGAAAACCCAGACAACCTTGATGGTTCGTTCAATGTACAACGCACACCGCTATGAAGTCATCAGGTATTTCTTTACAGTGCGATACGAGTATCGAGATGCACCAAATACCAAATGTATCCATTCCTTAGTCGTGCTAATGCAAACGCAACGAATATCCAAAACATCCAATTGCATCACTCACCTCAAGGTTGGTTGGAGCTGGACCTTTACGAGCTCTACCACTGATATCGTAATGTGAACCTGTAACTTTCGTTAGCATTTCGTTCTATTTTATCTCGAGTGCTCCAAAGCTGCTAATAGCGATCTTTATTGACATCTTGGAGGGGCATGAGTGTTAATCTTAGCTTTGCACGTATATGTGCAGAGCGACGTAAATTTACGATATTTACTGATTTATTGTCAATTGCCAATGAAAATCCACTAGTGAAATCATCGGAAGTAACACAAAGAAGTATCAAAATGCTACCACCTAATACCCAATTCCATCTGAATATTCACGCTGTACTTTAACGCTTTAAGATATCTCGTACGAGAACTTCAAAATTCGAGTTCGCCAGATGTCGCAAAATTCGCAAATACAATGGAGCACCTAAAGCCAACTTACCGTGACATGGGCAGTACCAGCCTCCGAAATCACCTGCTTCACCAATTGGAACACAACCCAAGTGTGTACATACACCCAACATGACTAACCATTCACGTTGCTCGAAACGATCAGCATCTTTTTGAGGATCTCTCAAATCTGACATTTCAACTTTATCAGCTTCCTCAATTTCGGATGCTGTTCTGTGTCTAATGAAGACAGGCTTTCCACGCCACTTTATCGTAACATTCTTGCCTTCTGGGATAGCGGATATATCGACTTCAGCCTTAGCGAGAGCGAGAACGTCAGCGGATGCGGACAAGTTTGACAAAATGTCAGTGACGGTTGCCTTTGCACCGGCTGATGAGAGAAGACCCATAGAGCCGACCATGAAGTAAGAGAATGCCTTGTTTGATCCAGTGTTTTTGCTTCTATATGGTGAGAAATCTGGTACTTGGGTAGTGTCTAAAGCTTTTGAGGAGGTGGAGAACTTGCGGCTTGGTGCTGGTGCTATGGGGTGTTAGTGAGAAGAGCGCGAAAAAAGACAATACGGACAATTGAATACAGTCTTTGTAGTGGAGAAGTTAGAAGCGACCGCAAATCTAGCTGGGGCGTCTGATCTACCCTCGTGGTGGTGGTCTGCGCTACCATAAGTGCGGGCGAAATTCAAGCCGTGTACTGCAGCTGGTACACCATTTGATTTTGTAGCTGATGTGGCTGCAGCAGTGAATTGCCCTCTGTTCGCTATACGGAGCATTGACATTTTCGAAAACTGAGAGTTCTGGTTCAACAAGCCAATCATATCAGAGTTGATTGAAATTTTAAAATATAAAAACAACTTGAAAGTGTAATTTATATACAATGTTATAATAATTTACATTTAAAACGCTTTCTTATTTCTTCTTCAGCTAGCTACCCGCGTTGACACGGTTCTGATATTGTGGACTCGAATTCTCATACTCGGAAAGGAAAAGTGTGGATTTATTGTCGATTATGTATCTAACGGTGTTAGAACGTATGTTGTACGCTTATGTCCCACTCACTGTAGTATATCTTGGACCGTCGTCTGCAATATTTCTATACTTTCACCATCAATCGACGTGAAAGCCAACATTGAGGGTAAATTGACTAGTTACTTATTAGAAAAGCAGTTGTAAACACCATACACTCACCTATCAAACGCAAAAAGTGCTCAGTACCATAAAGGGCACTTAGCTGCTTATGCTCATGATTGTCTGGCCTTTCATCAGCCTCTTTCTTTATTTGAACAAATTGCGGCCTCTCAAAGCGGTAAAGAAGGTTAGACGCAATTGCTCGATTGAAATACACCTCGAGGCCATTTGTGACTTCCTCTACCAGCGCTTTCTTTTTGGCTTTCTGTGTATCATTCGTTATCTTGCTCTCGACATGCTCTCTATAGGACAACAGAAGCTGCTTCACAGATGGCGTCCTCGGAAGAGGCACCAACTGGTTATTCTTCGTAACGAACTCCCAATCGTCGACGAGCAAAACTTTCAACTCGTCTGGTATAATAAGTCTAATCTCTGGTCGTTTGAAACTCTCCTGGGTAAATTCCTACCGAGTTGTGAGACAAACTAGGGCGTAACTTGGGCTCAACGTACCTCCGTCTCCCTACCGCGTTTACGACTATTCTCTGGTTGACCTCCTGATTTAGGTTTGTTTCTCTGTGCTCCAGCGCCTGCTGATTGCGTACTTGACGGCGGCTGTTTCTTCTTCATAATGCTTTCCTTAAGTGATTTCTGCTTCTGGCGGTTCTCTGGTGTATTCTTATGCATACGCGACTCTGGTACCCATTCATCCCAACTAAATCGCTACTTAGATGTGTCTATAGTTCAATATACCGTTTCTCACGTCTGTTTCCAGCCTTTGTAGTGCACGAAATAGGCTGGTTGGTCTTCACCTGTGAATAGCAGATCCTTCATTGCTCTATTGATTACCTGGTTGCCATCAGAATATCACTATAGACCTGCGCACTATACCAACCTTAGCTTCGTAAAGCAATGGACCGTGGAAGCATAACACCGTCTCCTTTTCACTATATGCGAATGCCCTGCATAATATTAAATGACATATTTCCTGTTTTACGCTCGTATCTCACATTTTACACTCGCTAGCTGATGATTGCAACTTGTGAAGTGACAACCAAGATGGGTGAGCAAATATATGAGAGATAATAGACTATATTAATTCACAGTTAGACTATCAGAATCGCGTTGGTTCAAAGTCAGTATATCGCTTTCTCTATGACATCTCTAATCAGCGTGTAGATTCGGTGGTGGTGGAATGTACGGTGAGGCTGAAAGCAACGCCGATAGAAGGGAGAGACTCCGTAAGTTGGCATTGGAGACGATAGATCTGGCAAAGGTATGCAGAAAATCATCTGTCTTCTCCTTCTCACACAACCCAGGATCCATATATTTTGCGTACACACCTTGGTACTATAGAATGCAAGCTTTGTTTGACCTTACACCCAAATGAGGGTTCATATCTCGCGCATACACAGGGAAAGAAACATCAGACAAACCTCGCCAGACGTGCAGCAAAGGAGAGTAAAGAGAATGAGTTGAATATGTCTACAAACGCACCTGGACCAGAAATTATAATGCCAAAGAAAACGTTTGTTAAAATTGGTAGACCAGGTTATAAAGTGACGAAAGTTAAGCAGAATATACCGGCGCAGGATGGACAAGAAGGTAGAACGAGGATGGGTTTGATGTTCCAAGTACATTACCCCCAAATAAAGGACAATGAGAGACCACGTAGACGTCTTATGAGTGCATTCGAACAGCGGAGAGAAATGCCAAACGCTGCATATCAGTATTTGCTAGTGAGTGGTACACATTTTAATATTACCTTCTGACAAAACAAGATCGCAGCTGAACCTTACGAAACTATTGCCTTTAGAATACCTTCAGGCACGGTAAACATCAATGAGGAGGATGATTTAGGCGATGACTCTGTTGGCTGGGATTTCTGGGATGCCGACACCAAGAACTACAGCGTTCAACTACTATGGGACTAGGTATTAAATATTAAACATATATAACTTAAACTTAATCTAAGAAGAGTAAACTATCAACTATTATAGCTTGTTGTACATGATTCATTCCGTAAGATGTGAAGGTGTAAAGTTTGCGACTATTGCGACTGTTGCGACAACAATATTATTAAAAATATAATTAAGCCATCCATGCTTCGTAAATGGACCATTCAATTGAGTTTTCCAGGTCATTCGTGAGAATGAATCGAACATAGTCATAACCTTCAAGTAGTGTGGTTGAACATTCGAAGAGTCTCTTGCCATCCTTGTCATGCATTTTTGCAGGGTGACAATTGAGGGTCTGGCCTTGTGTTGTCCAACTGAGCCCGTCGGTCGAGTATTCGGTATCGACATGGGCAAAGAGTTTGGTCGAGTCTGTAGCCATATGCAAGGCAGATGCATAAGGCAGCCTAAACGCGATGTAGTCACCTGCCATTGCAGCACCAAATGATTTGAAGTTCGTAGAAGCGTTCCTATCGAGGAGAGATCCATATCCACTTTGGATGCTCTCAAGTGTACGCGCCTTTCCGAGTTCCTTTTTTCGAAGCTCAACCCACCTTCTGAATGTGGTTTGACCATTCCAGCTGTCTCGTGCTCCAACCAGTGGAAGCAGCTCGATATTGGTCAAGAAAACAAGCCCATCATCACCAATAGCCCTGACTGAAGTGAGGAGAGATGCTGCTTTATCTGAAACTCCATTTGCGTGTGTGTAAGTCGGTTTAGGGAGATGGTATAATAGAGCGTGTATTGCGTCTTCATAGTAAGTGTATGCATTTGCTTCGTCCGATTTGTACTGTACGAGGTCGAGTATTGATGGTACAGCGACAACCATTGGTGATATATTGTTGGCGAGGATGCTGAAATATTCGTCGGCATTTGCGATTCCACTCTGAGAGAGCTCCATTTGAGTTTGCATAAAGTTGACAAACGAGTGGGCAATCTTAGTTGACATCAACGTGCCAGTTCCGAGGGTATATCCACAAGTGTGTATACCGTAATCAGGAGCGTTCATGCAGTGCTCCCATTTCGCTTGTACGAAGCCCTCATTCGTAGATGTTGTTATTGGTGCACCCTCCGGATCGAGATCGCGGAGTGCTCTCATTGAGCGTATGATGCTAGGTGGTAATATATCTTAAACGTGATGTTAACTCAGAGCTATTCATAACCGCCTTACTCACAGTCATCATCTTGGATTAGACAATAATGGCTTGATGTCTCAGCACACGCTGTATATTTTGCCAAGTGGCCAAGATTGTCGTGACTATTCACAAGTTTGAGCTTGGATTTTGGACACTGTGAGCTAATGAAATCCTACAAGCTATTAGTCTTTAGCAAATATAGAGATATCACTTACCTCGTAATTTAGTGTAACAAGATGATTATTGTTGTATACCGTAACCGAACGCACTATATCGGCTAAGGTATCCGAACAGAGGTTGGCCACTATGAAAAGTAAGTTGTCTACCCTGTGTCGAAGGTATACTACTGCATCTACATCAGCACGCGACAAGTCTCGTTGATTAAAGACGACTGAAGATCTTTCATTGACGACATCCATTTCTCTGAGGAGAGTGAATGGATCTTCTCTATTGAGCACGCCATTCGTGATTAACATTGAAGTCGACTGCTTTTCAATTGCAGGTGTCTTAGTGCCGTTTATCGAATCGCGTTGCGATATAAAAGACGACCTTGAGTGTGATATTTTATAAATATATAATAAAGTACCGGTTATAAATAATAATAAGGCATTCCTGAGGTTGAAATAGCGCCTGTTTCTATGCATAGACCGTCTAATCATCGAGCTATGGTAGCCACTCTCTGAAGGCTTAGGATGGGCTATACTGGCAGTGATTTTATGATGTTTCTGATAAATACTAGACGGCATTTCCTTTGTAGCGATTGGTGGTGTGTAGGGAACGTCGCTGTGCTTCTCGAACCTATTGAATCCGGACTGGGGTGTGTGAGCTGTGTTGGCTGCATGCAATGCATACGAACCTCGTGATACTCTAAGACAGAAGAAGACGTACTCCACTTGCGGTTCTTGGAGCTATTCCTGCTGATGTTCATATGGCTGTCACTGTCGACTGGAATGCTGTCTGTCTATGAGAATAAAGGAGAAAATAATTTTTTAACTCACGTTAGATCGTTTATCTAAATCAATCAAGAAGAATGTCTTCGGAGACAGAAGCAGGTAATCTCGAGGTCAGAGCGACGGCGCAATACTGACAAATTCCGCAGCCAATGCAGCTGTATTCATGAAATCTGCCCCAGTCCCAGAAGGGGCAAAGCTAGTAGAAGGTCCTGATTATGAGGCCGAGCAGTCACTTCAGGGTCTCCTCTCTGCTTATGAGACGATCGGTTTTCAGGCTACAGGACTCTCGAGGGCTATTGAAGTAATTAACAAAATGGTGAGACTATCAAGCTTCCTGCGCTTTCTTCTAACAGCACATTAGAAAGCCTGGAGACTCTCAGACGAGCCACGGGAGGAGGACGACGATACACCAGAAGAGGAGAGACAAAACACCAAGGCTAATATCTTCTTAGGATACACCTCGAACCTCATTTCATCCGGTTTGAGAGAGATCATGCTCTTCCTCGTCAAGCACAACTACGTCAGTGCACTTTGTACAACCGCAGGAGGCGTCGAGGAGGACTTCATAAAGTGTCTCGGTCCTGGTACCTTTCTTCCTACTGGAGATGGCTGGAACCTCGATGGTGCCGATCTCAGGAAGAAGGGCATGAATAGGATCGGCAACTTGCTGGTCCCTAACGAGGCATATTGTAGGTTTGAAGATTGGGTAGTTCCTATTCTCGATGCCATGAGAGAAGAGCAAGACACTGAAGGTACACACTGGACACCTAGCAAGGTTATTCATAGACTGGGTAAAGAAATAAATGACGAGAGGAGCGTATACTATTGGGCGTACAAGGTGAGTCCTTTTTCTAAAGCATTATGTTTGCTAACGGTGTATCAGAACAACATTCCTGTCTTTTGTCCAGCCCTTACAGATGGCTCATTGGGAGATATGATCTACTTCCACTCATACAAGAACCCTGGATTGAGTGGGTATAATTAAACTAGCTGTAATTATCTAACAAACCTAGATATTGACCTTGTGGGTGACATCAGACGCTTGAATGATCTCTCTGTGAGATCAAAGAAGGCAGGCATTATTATTCTCGGCGGTGGTGTATGCAAGCATCAGATATGTAATGCCATGTTGTTCGTGAGTTATTTTTTTCGATAGTGAACACAGCTAAAATCACACAGCGCAACGGTGCAGATTACGCCGTCTACGTAAACACAGGACAGGAGTTCGATGGATCAGATGCAGGTGCAAGACCAGACGAAGCTATTTCATGGGGTAAAATACGTGCGGGCGCAGAATCGATCAAGGTTAGTGCAGACGCAACGCTGGTATTCCCATTATTGGTAGCAGCTACGTGGGGAAAGTCACACTGGAATAAAAATAAAGATTAATAGAATGTATTATCTAAATTATATATGTAGAGGCAGATTCCTACCTCACCAGCAAAGTCGCTGGGAAGATTGACAGGAAGAGCAGCCTTAAAGCGAGAGTATATCTTGCCATTACTATACGCACTCACTTAGCGCAATACGCTGGCTTGGAGCAGCGTACTACAACTCTATGTGATGCGATGTTGAAGAAAGAACGAGAAGTACAACAAGTTGAATTTATACCACGAAAAAAATTCACTTGAATTAATTTATAGTCTATTTTCATGTCCAACGATCAAATAAATAAAGCAGATATCGTATCAGAGTCTAGTGGCCACTCTATTGACAAAACTGCTGATGAGTACGACCGCCGAAGGAGTAGAAGAGAGGAAGACTATAACGAGCGCAGGAATAGGAATAGACGTGGCAGTCCCAGATATGGAAACACTAGAGCTCTTGTACCTCCAAAATTCGAGGGTGAACCGGGAAGCACACGCTGGATAGAGAGGTGAGGAGCAATACAGCAAAGCGGGATCTTCTAATACATTATTTAGCCGTGCAGAATACAGGAAAAACGTCAAATTTAGCATATGGCCACCATCACCACCTGGTCCAACTTTTGCGTCCTTGTCACCACCATCGAGAGACACACAGAAGAGGCGACACAAATCTGGATACGAGAGAAGACATAAGCATCGACGGAAGCATGACGATGAGCAACGTAGGCACGAACGTGAAAACGAGAAGACGAGTGATACGGCTCTGTCGACAAACGAATACGCTAACTACGATGAGGATATTGGCCCAGCACCACTCCCGGAAGATCTCATAAAGTTACGCGAGAGGGATTATGGCAGTGATATGCTTCGTGGTGAAGGATCTGCAATGGCACAGTACGTACAGGAGGGTGAACGTATACCACGCCGTGGTGAAATAGGGCTTGAGAGTAATGATATAGACAAATTCGAGCAGGCTGGCTATGTCATGTCTGGGAACAGACATAAGAAGATGAACGAAGTTCGTGTTCGTAAAGAGAACCAAGTTTATTCGTGGGTTTTGATATCACAAAGTAAATAAAATATGCTTATTTTACATAACAGCGCGGAAGAGAAACGCAAGATGCTCAAACAGTCTGCTGAAGAGAGACTAAAGAAGGAGAATGAAATAGTGGCATCTTTTAGGGAACTCGTCAGTGAGAAACTGAGTGACTCTAAAGAGAAGAAATAATGTACTTTAGCTGTAAACTATCATTGTAATATATGTGTGACTTTGTGACTCCAAAAAGACGATTATGAGTGTGTCAAAGGAGAAGAGATATACCTATAGTATATCCATGATAGATCTCTAAATAAATTGTATAAATCTCCACTAAATTACGTCCATCTCCCAACAACCCATCTTCTTCAGTTACGTCCACGAAGAAATCTAAATGTCGGGACGAGATGAAGGGTTAAGCACGTCTCTTGGGCCACAGAGACGGGCATCACGAAACACCCCATCGAAACCGTATGAGAGGCCAGCAGTGCAAGCAACACCGACGAGACAGCCATCGACAGCCGGATTGATGAACAGCGTGAGATCTCTAGTAGCCAAGCCATTCTCTTGGTTGACTGGCAGCAAAAATACACCACAGGACGAGGAGAACGCCCAACCTATTGACAGTCCATGGAATAAGTCAACTACACAGGCAAGAACTCTTCAGCCACCACCGAGAGCCCAGCAGAGACCACACACGTTCTACAACGATCTCCCGTCGTCGTTCGTGAAGTCGAATCACCTGACGATACCCGGAAGCAACAACAGAGAGTCTCAAACACTCTCAGCCAGTTATACACCCCGTCTCGCAAGCTCATACAATGGCAGATCACGTTCCCCATTCACCCCAGTCAGGCATCTCATGCCAGGCTCTCCAACGGCTTCTCCACGTCGTTCTCTTCTCGGAAGCGGGAGAAATGCCTCTCCTTTGGTACCACGTACAAGGTATAGAGCGCCAACTATTGGGAAAAGGTCACCAGCACCTGATAGCAGCGTGCGGTCGATTTTGTCAGCTGCAGAAGACGACGATGGCGATTTCAATCCATATGCACATTCAAGGACAGGTGATAAACGCTCATCTTTCATAGAGGCCACCCCAGATAGACCATCAAAGAGAAGAGCCACAGATGCAAAGAAAATGGTCTATAATCGCGAAGCTGATGAGTTCATGTCTCTTGAGGAAGCCCAAGCAAGAAAGCACGTCCCACCAGCACCGAAGAACGAAGCCGAAAGGATTCTTCTTGCATTAGAGAAAATGCGGACGCCTTTAACAGATGCACGCAAGTCAAATCCATTATCAGCCAGAGCGCCTCTTCCAGCTAGCCAACAATCTCATAGTCCATTACCTGCCGTATCAGTACCAGTTCCAAACCTCACTAATAGCAAAGCGAAGAATAATAAATTAGCACCAGTTAACAAGAAAACAGAGGCTATGATTAGTCCATATGCTCGCAGCAAAAGTCGTAGAGAAGAAGAGAGACGTCAACGCGAGCGTGACATGAAAACTAGTAAGTTGCAAGAGAAACTTCCAAAGGTGCAGCGTCCAAAGAATAAGATTGCCGTACCGAGCGATGATGAGGATGAAGAGACTTCTGGTGAATCTAAGAAGAGTGCTAGTGTCGATGTTAGTAAAACATCGTGAGTATCCATTCATTTGTTTTGTCCTCCACCTAACAAAGTAGCAGTTCACAAGCATCATCATCTACTCCTCCAGTTGCTACGACGAGCGCAGCCAAGTTGTTTGCTCCAATCTCAAAGGACGAATTCAAACCTGGCGAGAGAGGTCAAAGCGCAACTGAAAGAGCAAGGTCTTCACTTAGAGCGCGTACAATGACGAGCAGCAGACAGCACTCGTCTGCAGCTCGCAAGCCTGGACGTGCTGAAGAGAGTGGAGAAGTCGATGAAGAGGAGGAAGAGCGCAAGCGTCAAGAGGAAAGAGAAGCACTCAAGAGTGTTCCAGTCGTTAATTTCAACTTTGGCAACCAAGCTACTCAAACAGAAGCACCTAAACTTAATTTCAAGCTTCCTGATGAGAAGAAAGACGAAGAACAAAAGCCATCAACACCGAAACCGGCGGCGTTCTCGTTCGGTGAGTCGACAACACCAAAAGTACCACCTCCATCAAGCAACTTGTTCGCTGGATTGAACAAAGACAATGAGAAAAAGCTTGAAGAGAGCAAGCCAGCAGCTCCTGCAACTTTGTCATTCTCATTCGGTGCTCCAAAGGCAGAAAAGAGCGAAAAGGAGAAAGACGAAGAAGAAAAATCTAAAAAGGCAGCTGCAGAGAAACCAAATCCATTTGCACTCTTCGAAGCTAACAAAAAGACCCCAAGTGAAAAAGATAGCAGTGATAGCGATAAAGCAGCACCCTCATTCTCATTCAACAAACCAGCCGAAACACCTAAGCCTGCGTTTTCATTTGGTGGTGCTCCAGAGAAGAAAGAGGAAGAGCCAAAGAAGGAAGACAAACCAGCGGCTGCAACTACACCTTCATTCGGTGGATTCTCTTTCTCAAAACCAGCTGAGGAAGAGCCAAAGAAAGCTCCAACATTTGGATTCGGTGGTGTGTCTAAACCAGTAGAAGAAAAGAAGGATGTACCACCTCAGCCGTCACTTTTCGATCGACTGGGTGGTAAACCTGAGGAACCGAAAACACAACCGTCATTGTTTGGCAAACCAGCTGAAACACCAAAAAAAGATACCGAGGCTCCAAAACCAGCATTTGGTGGTTTTGGCGGTGCATTTGGGTCTAAACCTGACGAAGACAAGTCGAAAGCGACATCACCATTCTCATTTGGTGGTACACCTTTCGGTGCATCGAAGCCTGAAGATAAGCCAGCTGAAGGTGAGAAGAAGGAAGACGAGAAGGCACCAACAGCCGGTGGTTTTTCATTCGGTAAACCAGATGAACAGAAGTCTACAATTGGGTCAAGTGGTTCTGGATTTACTTTCGGCGCTCCAAAACCAGTAGAGAATGGTACATCTCCGTTTGCATTTGGACAAGCAAAGCCAGTGGAAGAGAAGAAAGAAACGCCAGCATTCGGACAGCCAGCCAAAGCAGCTGATGAAAAACCAGCTTTCTCTTTTGGTGCGGCTCCAGCAGGTGATGCAAATGCTGAGAAACCAAAGGTTAGTTCACCGTTTACATTCGGAACTCCTACTGCTCCTAGCGGTGCAGCTGAAGCTCCAAAGCCAGCATTTGGTCAACCACCAAGTGAACCAACGAAGGTGAGTATTGTTGATTATGCAGAATATTTATTTAATGTTGATATACAGCCTTCATTCGGATTCGGTACCCCTGCAGCAACTTCAACAGGTGAGACCTCCAAACCACCATTCGCATTCGGTGGATCACAATCGACATTGTTTGGTGGTGCGTCAGCGGCAGCATCCCCATCCACTGACAATAAGCCTGGTTTCTCATTTGGTGCCCCATCAGCCGGTGCATCTGCTGACAAGACACCATTTGCATTTGGGGCCGGTTCTGGTAGTACATCTGCGCCTGCAGCTGAGTCAAAGCCAAGTACGTTCGCATTTGGTAGTGCCAATGCGGGTACTAATTCGCCATCTACCTTCCAATTCGGCAGCGGAGCGGGCGCTACAGGAACTGCTTTCGGTGGTCCTAAACCTGATCAAGGTGCTGGAGGTGACTCGATGGAGGAATCTCCAACGAGACCAGCTGAACCAGCTCCTTTGTTCGGTGCACCAGCTGCTGCGCCATCGCCTAGTCCATTCGGCGCAGCACCTGCTTCTTCCGGATTCACGTTCGGTGCTAGCCAGCCAGCAGCACCAGCGGCACCTGCTGCTCCATCACCTGCGTTTGGCTTCGGCGGTGGTAATACAGGTGCTTCAAATGGTGCACCTTCATTTGGCGGCTTTGGCGCTGCTCCAACAGCTCCATCAAGTGCTAACACCACTGCTCCTACTTCCCCATTCGCATTTGGTGCACCAAATCCAAGTGCAGCAGCGCCAAATCCTTCTACACCTCAACAACAACCTGGATCACCAAATCTGTTCAATATGGGCTCGGGCTCTCCTGCCCCTGGTACGCCTAATTCGTCGCGACCTGTTAAGGTGAGTGTGCATCTTCCAGTAACTTTTTTTCTAACAAAATTATAGCCACTTCGTCGTACAAGACGCTAAGTTATTACTCTCATTTTATAGATACAAACGAACAAGCAAAGCAAGACCAAAGGTTATCTGCAATTTTAACAGTATGGTATATCTATTTTTATCCTTAAAAAATAATTACGATGCATTTTTTCTATAATATAAAGACAAATTAAGCTTGCTGGTTGCTATCACAAAGAACATCATTGACAAATCCTTGTAAGAAAAGATCAACACGCTCGACAGTTTTGTTGTATAATTGATAAGCTTCTTGTTTTTCTTCATTTGTCGATATAATTCCATTAGTTGACATCACAAGGAGTAAGTTTTTGAGATTTTCGAGAATAGACTCCTGAACACTGTTTTGATTTACATTTGTGATACTGCTTACGAATCTATCGAGGAAATCTAACAAATCGAGCCAATTCTTTTCCACTTCTCCATCAGGTGTTTTGAGATCGACGAGTAACCACATTTTACAGACCAAGTTTGTAGCACCAGCACGTGTGCTTAACATACCACCTGGTGATGGATCACGTTTGAAGACATCCGGTCTGAGCAGCTTCTCGAGGAGAGGAAAGAGGACGTCTGGGAAGACTGATAATCCTTTTTCAGGGTGTTCAAGTAGAATTAATGAAAGACCTTCGATAGCCTTACCCCTAATTTGGCGAGATGGATGTAAACATAATTCAGTCAATGTCAATCCTAATGGTTCTAACTTTGCATCCCATTCAGATGCCGAATTTGAAATACTTGCATCGCGTAAGGAAAGCAACATCTCAAGTGCACGTGTATTCTCCATATATGATAATGAGAGGAGAATACTCAAGACACCATTAATCGAGTCAGATGTCAATTGGTTTTCGATTATACGAGAGAGTATCGCCAGCGATCTCTCACCGTCGCCGCTAGATGATTGGAGAAGTGACATTGTGAGCCGCCATTCAGTAGCATTGTGTAGAATTTCCGGCGAGGCTAGTATACCCTCGACCAAAGTGAGCAGATGGTCGGAAATTGATGCTAAAAGCTGTTGATGTGGGAGGGATCTCAGGAGATCTATCGAAATGAATAAATCCTCATGAAGAGATTCTTTTTTAGATATGGCGAGTGTCAATTTTGATAAACCAACTGCAGCTCTCTCAGTAAGGAGAGTAGAGAAGACGTTAGAGAATGACAAGATCTTCTCAAGAACTGGGAAAACAATGGGCCTATAATTTGATTAAAAACAGTTTGTCAGTTATTAAGAAGAAACTCACCATGATACCTCCACGAGGTCGTTGTTACGTACACTCATGCTAATCATGACTTCAAGCAGGAAGACAGTTTGGCGATCGTATGGGATTGTAATTGGTGGTGTTCCCTTTTTATTGTATTTCTCTAAGCCAACGAGCTTCTCTGTTGTGCGCTTCTCCACTAATCCTCTGAGAGAACTCAAAGCGAAAGCGAAAGTCTCACTGGAGAGTTTTAACAAATCCTTATATAAGATATCCAAATTGCAAACGTTGACGCAGTCGATGGATTTCAACGTAGCTTCGATGTCACCTTCAGTAGCCTGTGGAGCCATGTGGCTCTCATTAGAGTAAGGTGAGAGAAGATATGAGCTCAATGTCGACAATAAACTAGTTGAATTGCTGTTGTTCGATGCACCTATCTCATTTTTCTCAGTACTACTGTGCCCCTGCGCAGGAATTGGCGTTGATCCACCCAAAAAGTCCTCCATCGATTGAATAGACTCCGGAAGAAGATCATTATGGAAGAGGGACAAAAATATTTCGAAAATATCATCCCAACTCTGTCTAGCTGAATCCAAATGACCTTTGAGGATGACAGTAAAGCACGTCCAGGCTGCAAGCTGAGCTCTGACATCCTCACCAAATTGCACGGTAAAGCTAGTAACGCTGAGATTAATAGGCTCTGCATTTTCTGATAACCTCACGGTAGCCTGCGTGAATTCGTCTTCTGAGAACCTTGAGACAAACATCCCTGTTGCTCTCCTCAAACTGATAAAAGCGAGATCTGGAATATGAGCAATTTTGAGTCTTGATGAGAGCATCATCAGGTGTCGATACGCCTCAATAACTTTTGAGATCGCGAAGGAATCATTGAATGAAGCAAAAGCGTATGACAATCCAACGAGTAATTTTCTGTAACTGCTCTCGAATATTGGCTTAACAAGATTTGGTGAAGTAGCATCTGTAACTGTACCAGCAGTTTTACTACGGAATAACATCTCTTTCCATGCGTAGTCGAAACCAAGCTGGTCGTGATGTTCTTCAGGCATAACTATTTCTCTCTTACGTATACTATGGTAGACATCCTCGAGAAGTTCTGGTGAGAAGTCCTTTCCGTCATTTACACCCCTAAGATTGCGCTTGTAGTCATCAATAGACATCCTTCTGGCTCTGTTTTGAGGATTGTGCAAATCAGTGTTGAGAAGAATGACAGAATATGCGAGGACGTAAACAGCGTCTTGTGAGTTAATACCTTTTGGTGAGGAGCTAAAGTAGGATTCTGCATAGACTTCAGTGATACGTGCAATTTGTTGGGCTTCTCCAGGCAATCTAAATGTTTCAAGTGCTTGACGCATACTGTCCGCAACCGAAAGCTTCATAAAACATTAGTGCGCGTTTCTAGATAAATAAATTAAACTCACATTCTCGAAGTTGAACAAGCTGAAGAATGATTTCAAGACTTCAATGTTGTCAGGCCTTGACAAATAATCACCTAGTAGGCGCTTATCAAGCCTGGCGCATTGTTTGAGGAATTTTGCAACGCTTTCTGACGTCTCTTTCGTCCATTTGTTATCTTCGTCAAAGTTAATATCAATGATCCCGTGTCTCGCGAGATAGTCCAAACCCGTCGTAGGCTTGATGTTAAATTTACGCGCACCATTCAGTATAACCTTCTTACGTGACTTTTTCAGAGCTATATTGGTAGGGTATTGTAAGTTAGCCTCATCATCTGTTTTTACTATGGTTTCATTCATCTGGGATAGGAAGCTCGATGTGGCATCCAAACATAAAATTTGGGAATCTAAACTTGAATTCTCCTGAGGGAAGATACCTTGAACGATAAATGATAGAGTCCTTTCGAAGATATCGTCACAGTCTATGTCTGAATCATAATTTAACCATAACTCGGACAAAAAACCAGGTCTGTGAATGAAATATACCAGAGTTTCTAAAAGAAGTTGCCTAGTTGTACCAAATGCAGGTTTGGCGGACTTTGCAGGAGCCAATGAAGGAGTTGCTGAGCCTGATGTATTGAGCATTTTGTCATTTTCATTATCAACGTTATGGGCTTCTTGAGGCATAACTGAAGCTTCCCAAGTGTAGTAAGGATCGAATGGTGGTTGGTAATCAGGGGAATTGAGATCTGATGAATTGCTATTTGATGGAGACAGGCGTTCAACTAGGAATGACATAAAGAGCTCCTGTTGTAACTTCAAATATGGTTTGAACGTATCGAAAAGTAGGGTAATAACTCTCATTGTCATTATTAAAAGTGGTGAAGCTTCAAGTCTGGCAAGTTGAAAGAGGTATTTACAACCCTGATCTGACAAAGTACTTCTGATACTTTGTACATTAGACAATGTCTTTCCGCCTGTTGTTAAGGCAACATCGAGTATTCTGAGAGAAGCTAAACGAATGGTGTCTGTGTGTTTTGGATCGTGTGGATCGAGCAATTTAACCAGAACGGAAATCAATTCTGACATTGTTGGATGACTGAATGGTGTGCTGATATCTTGGCTAGTTTGGGGAGTATCTATAGGAGAGTCTGAAGGTTGACTGAATTGGTATCTAGACTTGTAAGAGAGGACCAGAGATCTTACTACGGATTGCATTGTACGCTCGGCAGAGTTTCTAAGCGCGGGTGATAGCCTAATCTGAGAAGCCATCGAGAGATTGGTTTGTATCAAAGCACAGACCGTGCTGTCTGAACAAAGTGTGACCAAGTCAGAAGTGAGAACGAAATTGATGATATCAAGAATCCTGGAGAGAATTGCATCGTCAGTCTGATTGTCAGAGGGGTCGAAAGTGCAGTGAGTGATTGCGTCTGTAATTTTGTTGATAGTCGCTAATGCGTTGATCGATGACGTTGTAAGCAAGTGGGATGACAGAAATTTGTCTATTGAGTCCAAAGAAGCGAGAGTAATAGGACCAGACGTGTTAGCAGATGATACGATATCCAAAAATGGGGAGAATATCACGATTGTGTCGAGTTGCTTGAGAGATGGCAGCTTAGAACTGAGATAGGAGAGAGATGAGAAGAGATCTAACTGGCTATCAGACTTTTTGAATCTCTGTAGACCGACGTCGCTGGCTAAATTGTCTAGATTTGAGCGTTTTGTTGTGTGATTGAACCATATAGAGTTCGATTTCATAGTGGATGTTAGTACCGTTATCTAGGGAATATTTAAAGTCTGGATATAATAGATGAAGGGCTCTCACCTGACTATGTACCAAATCTAATAGATTGCTTTCCATTTTTGATTTGATGGTCGTTGTAGCTCAACTATGAGGGTCTTGATAGCAGGTTAGTCAGTTGTTTAGATATGAAACAAAAAATAAAGATAAAAAGGCGGCGTACAGACACTCACTGGCAGTTTATTGAATGAATTACTCACGCTGGACTCTATTGAGGTAGGTTCTACCCTCAAGCTAGCATTTCTAACAACCCCAGTCTATCAAAATAATAGACAAGTTCGCTATAAACGAAAAAGTGACGACAACGTTCATAGACGACCATTTTAAGGAGTTGTTAGCGCATCAGAAAGTAGATTACCAGCAAGCTAATCTACTCAACAAAGGCTTGATTGACGATTTATTCCAGACATACAAACCAACGACTGTATATGATATGACAGGTGACATTAGGTTTGATATAAACGAATTACAGCATATACAATCCACTTTGATATCCTACCAGTTGGGTACAATAGCCAGCAACCACAATTTACGCTCATACGTCAAACTCACATATCCGTTCTATAACTTTAACAGCAAGCCATCTTCAGAATCCATTGAATTAACCCCGCAAGGTGAGAGAGGTATTTGGTGGCATGAGTCCATACGCTCTTTGTCATCGATCAGTAATCTACCACTCGTGGTTCTCAGAATTGGTGCTTGGTATGGACCTTTCCAGTTGAATGGCAAAATTACTCCTAGAATTATCTGCGCTGATATCTACAGACATCTAAAAGAAGACATCAAGTTTTTGTGGAACGCAGATCTCAGATTGAACACAATACATTCTCAGGATGTAGCAAGAGCACTTATTGCGCTCTCAAATTGGCGTGCAGCTACTCCAGATGTCGATCCTCAGTCTAATACTTTCAAGTCATACGCTCCGGACGAGAAATTAAAACAGTTTGACTTGCCTCAGTCGGGGACGATCGCGCGAGCACCATTGTTCAACCTCGTTGATGAATCTGATGCTACTCAGAGCTCAGTTGCTGACCAAATTGCGAAAGTTTTCAAAGTTAAAACATCATTCTTGGGTGGTTTGATCTCAACATTTGCTAGAATGGATATGGAAGAGATGGTCCAGGACGTCAACGAAATGCATTTAGACGCTTGGTCTGACATGCTGAAGAAGTCTGACATTAAAGACACACCTTTGACACCATACGTAGGTGTCTACTGAAGTAACAATATATCACCTAACACGTATCTACAGCTAGATGAGCACTTTTTCAAGAAGAATCCAATTGCTTTGGATGCTTCTAAAATATCGAAAACGATTGGCTTCAAGTGTCTTCACAAGAAGATCACAGTAGAAGACATCGAAGGGATCGTGAAGGGATTTCGCGTGGGTGCTTTTCTCACACTGTAGTATTTTGAGCTGACGACAGACTAAGGATCAAGGAATTTGGCCTAAGCCAGTTTAAGAAAGTTGCATTGAATATATCTAAATCGTTCTCTTATTCCCACTTTTTCTTGGAAACATATCATTTTCTTGCTTTTCTTTAATTTCTTTGTTTGCACGCTTGTTCTTTGCTCCCATCCAGATGCCAATATGCGATCCTGAGAAAATACAGTCAAACAGTACATTTAAGCTAATTAAAAGTAAACTTATAATTGGTTTAGTAGTACTCATCATAATATTCGACTGGTTCAGCGTTACAATCGCCGTGGGTGTTGGTCTCGTAACGAGAAACCGTCAGGGTGGATTTGGATTGGGGTTAGCTATTATAATAGTATTCAACGTTTTGTTTTTGATATTTTGCGCAAGTTACGCTGCTACCGTTCTCATACACCCTGGATACATCGATCAATCCTACACTCCAAATTACATTCCATCTAGTAGAGGGGATAATGACAAAGAAACGACAATAAAACAATCAGAAAATTTCCCTCCAACATTTAGAGTACAAGATGCCCGATTCGAGCCCACGTTTTGCCAGGAATGCAGGATCTGGCGCCCTGCTAGAGCACATCACTGTCGTCATTCTGGTCGCTGCGTCTGGGAGTTTGATCATTACTGCCCCTGGATTGGTCAGTCAGTTGGTGGCAATAACCACAAACACTTTATAACTTTCCTCTTCTGGTGTGTCGTCATACTTTCCTTCACTTCAATCGCGCTCGGATGCGCATACCCTAGTTTAACTTCTGATGAACACGGTGATGGACTCTGGAGTGGACGTGGACGTGGTCCGATCATTGGAGCTATATCAATATCTGCATTTTTCGCCTTCTTCGTCGCTGGACTTCTCTTCAACCACATCTGGTTGGCATGCGATAGCGTACGTCCCTTTATTTTATAATATTCATACTCTCACACTATTTAGGTCACAACGTTTGAAGATATGTTTGACGTACGAACGATACGAGCGCGCGACCAGAGTGTCCTTGCTCAGCATTACGAATCCTGGCAACTTCGTCAGCGGAAGGCATGTCGGGATCATTGGTATTACATATGGGGACACCCCCGAAAAGAGGGTAACCTTTGGTGGCTGGATTCATCCTACCACAACTGGTGTTCACGAATGGGATCAAACCCGCTGATTTGGTTTGTGCCCTTCGCTAAAGAACCTCACGATATCTACACTATAGAGTACAATCCACGTTTCGATGAACATGGCAGAGCCCGCCAGCGGCAAGATTGGCCTGCTCATCTCCGTTAATCAGACATAAGATTCCCCGTATGTTGTATATTAGCTAATTTATTAGGTACATTAATAAAGGAAAAACACACAACTATATGAGATTTAAGAAAGAAAGATGAGAAGATGAGATATTATACGATGTTCCGATTTCTATTGTTATCCGCAGATGTTAGGGTAAATTCTGTCGGCTGGGTCTTGAGGGTAGATACCAAGTTCAAGCATCCTCTTGTAGCTCCAGTCGGCGGCGTTAGGACCAGTAGTGTGCCAAGTCCAGAAGAACCAACCGGAACCGCGTTCGAAGGCGTCGATTTGAGCTAACAGGGTGGTTAAGATGTGATTGACAAAGTAAGACAATTACCAACCTTCGTAGTATTTTCTGAGGAACTGTCTGTAATCTTCTGGGTAGTCCGCGCCGTTATTACCGTAGAAGTAGTCGCATCCACCTTGGTAGTAGCTTCCACTGAGGGAGGTGTCAGCGCAGCACAGCCAATAGAAAAGTATACTCACGGGAAAGAACCATCCCAACGCTTGAGGTCACCATCACGTCCGTTGAGGTATGTTGCACAATCCGTACGTGCGGTTGTGAACTCACCACAGACAGTCCAATGGTGGTTGAGTGAGTGTTGTTCTAACTCTGGTCCATAATTACAAGCGAAAGCGATACGCTCGTCATCAGATCTTGAGAGTTCTTCTGGAGAGAATACCTGATATCTGTGTACATCCATCCAGATATTCTCGAAATCTGGACTAGTCATGAAACCATCCCAGCTGTTGATGTCTTCGAAAGCATCGTGAAGTCCAGTAGCAAATTGACCACCAGAGTCAGCCAAACGACCGAAACCATCGTAGTAGTATTGACGTACGACACCGTCAATGTCTGGTGACAAGAAACTTGCAGGCTCATTCATAAGCTCAATAACCTCGACTGCACCAGCGTACTCTGGTTTAGCGAATTCTTCAGCAAGTGCTGAAATAGCGTCGAGTGCGTTATTGACATTATCTTGGTTCGTGTGCCAGGTTGCTTCACCTTTATGACCGGAGTTGTCGAAACCATTTTGTGAACCGCGGGCAGTATGTAAATCAACCCAAACGCGGATTCCTTGATCACGAGCCCAACCAACTACCTCTTTGAGCTTGTCGAAACGGCCGAAATCGTAGAATGGTTCATCGGTTGGTACGGCAGCCCAATGAGGGAATGGGATACGAACTGCGTTCAATCCCGCAGCTTTAATTTGTGCTAAATCGTCAGCTGTTATAAATGTACGCAAATGTTCGCTAATTAATGATTCAGCCGTCGCTTCATCAACATATTGACCGAGTGTGTACTCGTCAATAACTCGACCATCTCCTGTTTCGTCGAATAATTGAGGAGTGATCCATGGCTCAAGGACAAGTAAACCTTTCATTCGTTAGTATTGTCGAACGTCATAACAACAAAGACATACCTCCTAAATTGACACCACGAACTAAATCCCCGACTGCTCTTTTAGCTGGTTGCGGCATGGCTGAGCACGCACTAAGGCCAGCTAATACAGCTGCGAGTGTGAGCCCACTTAAATATTTCATCTTGTTTGTTTGTTTGTTCTAAACGAAAAGATGGAAGAAGGAAATTAATACGCTTCTTAAAGCCCCTTTTGTATAATTTAATTAAGCTTTAATTTACCTCCTTTTCTTAGATCTAGAATAGCAAATTTTACGCATTTAGTAAGTCATCATTAAACGTTTATCCATTTCTGGTAATGATGTTTATTAGTGCGTTCATAATTCGCCGAGTCTAGTCCCCTAATCGTTCCGCTTGGCTTTCCATCAGGTCACGAAGCGCAACATTAGGATGTTTCAGTTTCATTCGGTTCATCATATGATGTTAAAAATAATAAACCGTAAAGATATCTAAAAATGAAATGAAAGAAAAAGAGATTACAATTTTTTAAGTCTTTTATCTAGCATATTTAAGCACCGACGAGGTTTGGACGATCGTAGTATTTGCCCTCTTCTGGTTCACGACCACGGAGGTAAGCTGGTTCAGTGCCCTTGTAGTAGACATCTGTCCAGAAGTCATCCATTGAAGGTTCTGGTGATTCCTTTGCTTCCTTGACGGCTTCGTCAACTTCGGCCTTTGCGTTCTTGTCGATCTTCTTGAGTTCCTCTTCAGTAGCAACGTTCCATTCAAGGAGACGAGCCTTGAGGCCATTGATAGGGTCTCTAGTGGATCTCATTTGTTGGACTTCCTCACGTGATCTGTAGGTGGTACCTGGGTCAGACATGGAGTGACCACCGTATCTGTAGGTAACCATTTCCATGACAAGTGGACCCTTGTTGTCGATAGTCCATTGCTTAGCGAATTTAGAGGCTTGGTAGACGGAGAGAATGTCCATAGCGTTTACTTGCAAACCTGGTATAACGTCACCACGCTTGTAGTATTCGACGTTCATGGATGATCTGGCGGCTGAGGTACCCATACCGTACTTGTTGTTTTCACAAACGAAAACACATGGGAGGTTCCATAATTTGGCGATGTTGAAAGCTTCAAATACTTGACCTTGGTTGGATGCACCGTCACCGTACATAGAGAAGGTAACAGATGGGTTGTTGAGGTATTGTTGGGCGAAAGCGATACCAGCACCAACTGGAACTTGAGCACCAACGATACCATTACCACCGAAGAAGGTAGGAGTGAAGATGTGCATAGAACCACCCTTACCGTTTGACATACCGTCTTGACGACCGAGAAGCTCAGCGATGACACCCTTGATAGTACCACCACGGAGGACGGCGTATGGGTGACATCTGTAGGCGGTGATAAGACGATCCTTGTCTGTCATAGCAGCTTCCATTCCGACTGCAACGGCTTCCTGTAATTTATGTGTTTAGCAAAATAATAAAAAAAGATATTTCTCACCTGTCCAATAGCCAAGTGACAGAAACCTCTAATAAGCTTAGCCTTGTAGAGCTGGTCAGCAGCTTGTTCCATACGTCTCATTGTGGTCATTTGACGGTAGAGCTCAACGAGCTGGTCTTTGCTTGTTTCAACTTCAAGATCTGGAAGTTCATCGATGAGGTGACCACTGAAGGAGTCGTCGTGAAGTTGTACTTTGAAAGACTCTCCACCGGCGGATGGTAAGCTTGATGGCTTTTCAGCAGCCATCGCGTTTGAAGAAACGTAACGGAGACTGAGTGGCTGGACATAAAATATTAGATAATACAATATATTTTACTATTAAATTACCTTCTTAGCCGCTGATCTGAGAGTTCTGCTCAACATTTCCTCGTAGTTACTGGTCAACAGTCAGCTCAGCCAGTCAAAGCAATTTAAAATTTGGAGAACTAGAGTAAATCATTGTATATATATTTATCTTTTTATTTCTTTATTTATTATCTATCTCCTTAGTAAGCTAGTGTGTGTCTAGAGATGAAAACTGATAAAAATAAACTCAGCTGCTGTGCTATTGCTGTATATATACTTGCAGATTTATAATAAATATTTTAAAACTTTTTTATCTCTACTATTTCGCTCTCATCTCTCATCTTCTTCTCTGATAGCAACCATGGCACGGAGATCTAGAGAAAAGAAGAACAGAACGCACAAAAAGGGTGGATTATTATCACATGCACCTGGCGCAGAAGAAACTGCTGGTGTAAAAATACCAAAATCTTTCGTTATCAAATCTGGCGATGTTGGTAAATCTGTAAATCAACTTGTTAAAGAGATAAGAGGTATTTTAGAACCAAATACAGCCACGAGATTGAAAGAGAGGAAGAAGAATAAGTTGCCTGACTTCTTAGCACTCACTGGTACACTTGGATTAACACATATCGTTATTTTCACTAGATCTGCAAATCATGTTAATATGCGTTTAGCGAGAACACCAAAGGGTCCAACTTTACACTTCAGAGTAGAAAGATATTCCCTTATGGCAGATTTGAGGAATGCATCCAAGAAGATTGGAAATTTGGCCAACACTCATAAAGTACCACCACTTTTGGTTTTAAATGGTTTCCCACAGGATTCTAGACCTCACAAATTAGCAGCTCAACTTTTTCAATCGTTGTTTCCACCCCTCGATGTCTCAAATTTACCTCTCTCACAAGCAAGAAGATTGTTACTCTTATCCTATAATCCAACAACAAAGACTATAGATATGCGTCACTATGAAATTACTGTCAAACCACATGGTGTATCAAAGAGGGTTAGAAGAGTCGTCCCAGGTGCAAGCACAGCGAATAAATTACCAAATTTGAGCAACGTTCAGGACATTTCACAGTATATTCTCGGCCAAGAGAACTCTGGTTATGAATCAGCAGTCACAAGTGACTCAGAAGTTGAATCAGAGGTTGATGAAGCAGGTCAACCTGTTAGAGTGGTTCAGTTGGCTGAAGATTTCGTCGGCAGAGGAAACAAAAAAGATGAAAAGAGAGCAATCAAGTTGAAAGAGATTGGACCAAGGTTAGAAATCAGTTTAGTTAAAGTTACAACTGGATTGGCTGGTTCACAACCTAAGAAACACGGTATGGGTGGTAATAATGAAGGTGAAGTTTTATTCCATGACCATGTCAACAAATCGAAGAAGGAGGTCAAAGATTTAGCCAAGAAACATGCCGAAAGGAAGGCAGAAATCGCCAGACGGAGGAAAGAGCAAGAGGAGAATGTCGAAAGGAAGCGTAAAGATAAGGAAGCTAGAAAGGCCAAGGGAGAAACTGTAGAAGACGATGAAGAAATAGATGAAGAGGAAGTTAATGATGACTTTGATGATATCGGTGATCCAGAGGAGGACCTCGAAAATTTGGACTTCGATGAACCAAGTGATGAAGAGAGTGAGAGGGAATCTGACAGTGAGAGCGAAGACGTAAGTAATTATAAGTGAAATAAAACAAATTTCTAATAAATTCCTTCAGGAAGAAATTTCAAATAAAAAACTTAAATTGAATTAAGCGTTACTGGTTTAATAAACTCACTCATGTAAAAAGAAAAACAAAAAATGAATTCTCAATTAAAACTCATAAATATAAATGATAATAAAGGCTTAAAGAGTGAGTAAACAAAAAGGAAACTACGCGTTTGCTAATATAAACACGTTCAGATGAGATTAAGGAGGAATGGGATCAGGATTTCGAGTTTGGAGAAACAGAAATAGCAATAAATAATAAGAGTAGAATATCTGAATGGGATGAAGATATACAAAAATCTGATTACACTCAATCAACACTGTTTGACAGCTTCAATTCATCGAAAGCAAATTCATTGAGGAGTTTAATAGACAATAATATTGATGATAATACAACTCATTTTAGACATTCACGTCACATTTCATTCAACGATGAGTTTAAACCTTCTGCAATAAACAAAAAACCATTCAGAAGAAATAGTTTGAGTGATTTGAGGATACCACAATTCGTTAAAAATTCTCAGCAAGGGTTGAAGATTCAATTGGGTTCAGTTAAGGAGTTCTCAAAGGGTGTTGACGAATTGAAACGACTGAGAGATGACTTCGTCTTACTTAAAGATAAAATTAATTGGCCATCAAATGACTTACCAGTCGATTTACAGCGGATCTGTTCAAAATTAGACCTCTATTGGGCAGACGTGTGGGAATCTGCGAATGTTTTGATTGAATTGGCCTCAGGCAGTGGTATAGTACCTATAGCAGAACATCAAGAAGGGCAAGAAAACTTACCACGCTCATTAACAACATCACCTGCTAACTTGAATTCACTTACTAATACCACGAATAACACACTCAGTGATAAACAATTAGACATCTTAAAATCAATGTTACAAAAGCCAGCTATATCAGATTATGAAGAATCTCCTAGAGGTTCGACGACTATTGGACCACCAACTGGATTATTAAATGATGAACAAGCTTTCAAACCACCTAATTCACCTTCTACACCTACCCAAATACGAAGATCAAGACTAAGGAGGGCTTCAAAAGCTGGTTTGAATAGCTTCAAAGATTTAGTAAACAAGTTCGTTAACTCAATCGACAGTCCAACTAAATTAAATGAAACTACAAACACTATACCCCATCTCGATGAATCAAATCTCCGCACTCCACCAACGCTTCACAGGAAGAGGCCCTCACTTGCTCAATTATTCGCAAGGAAAGCTTCAACGAGTAGTTTGACTAGAAAGACATCATTAAGTTCACAAAGGAAGACTTCAATGAATATACCACCAATTGGTGCAGTAGATTTGAATGATGAGAACACTCCAATACAAACACCTACAAAACCAAAAAGATTAAATTCTGAGTTTAGATCTTATTCGGAGAATTTATCAACACCAAAACAAAGGGAAGAGAAAATTAATTTCCCTATGTCTTCACCAATAAATAGATCACAATCTACTGGTGAATGTAGATTACAATTAACACCGGACGCTTTACCACAATTACTTGGTCATCTTAATCAAGTTAAATCAAAATGTCAAGAATCTCTATCCGAATGGAAGGATATACCCGTATAAAATATAACTTAAGATTGATTTTTTATAATAGACATTTTTATTCACATAAAAGAAAACAATAAATCGTGTATTTTCGAATGCTTTTCTAACAAATGAGTAAAAAGAAGAATACGACAAATAGAAATAGTAAGATTGAGTTATCCTTCCAAATTAATCCGTAAGAGTTTGTAGGTGGTATATAAATATTTGAAAGAATACGATAATTGAGAAAATGAATTCTTCAAAGTAATCTAGTGTGGTTCTCTGTATAGTGTTTTATTTTTTATTTTTTGTAGACTATAAAATCCGTATATTCTTCTGTTTTCTTGTCTTGCTTTTCTAATAACAGAATGAACCCCATGCATCAAACTCTGATGCTTTCTTCTTTGCTGGTGCAGGTTCGCCAAGTACAGGGCGGAGCTGGGATTACACGTTTAGTAATTATTCGCTTAAAAATCTATTCTACTCACTTTACCATCTCTCTTCATTGCTTTCAATCTCTGCGCTTCTACGCGTTGTCTTTGTAACACTTTTTCTTTCTCTTTTCTAATTTTACGTGCTTCTTTACTCTCCTGACTGAAATATCCAGACGACATTGATTTCTGTCCGGAGGATGTAGAAGAGTTTATTGAAGGAGTTGGTTCCTTTGGACTTGCACTATGTGAACTACTATTACTAGTTCTCGTTATTTCACTACTTTGCTTATCCTTTGATTTAAATTTACTGAATAGCTTGTTACGTTTTGACACACTACCATCATTTGAAGATGCGCCAGATGTCGTCATTGATGTAGCTGCAACTGATGGCGCTGTGCTACTAAATTGTGAATAAGATCTAGCTCTTTCTAATGAACCAGTTGATGATGTCTGCTCTGTGCTCTTATCATCATTATTTTGTTGTCCAGTTGATAACATTTCGAAATCTTGTGGTGTTGGTGGTCCGTCAATGGTCGGGAATGTTGATGCAGATAAAGCAGGCGAGTCATGATCATTTGCAACTTCTTGTATACCTAATCCAACGTTACTTCCACCTTGACGTGATGGAGCTCTGCTAACATCTGATGATTCTGATAACGTCTGTGGTGAATAATTGTAATAATTCGTAAATGGTCTAGGTGAGACTGGTGGTGAGAATTCGGCTTCGTCAGGTACGACTGGCATTGTTGGTGATCTCAACATTGGTGAATTTCTAGAACGCGTAACTGATCCAACTCTTGACATAACAGGTGATGATAGCGCAGGTGATAATGAAGGTGAAGGTAATTGTGTTTGAGGTGGTGGCTGAGGTAAACCGTTGTGACGGTTGTGACGTAAATGTTCGTTAGGTGTTAGCATAGCTGCTTGTCTTCTGTTTCTCATATTAGGTGCTGTTACTGTTGGTGGTGATAATGAAGGTCTAGCAGGTATTTCTGGAGGATTATCTTCGGTAGGTTCCGTTGGTTGAGCTTGCTCGTGAAGATTCATAACACTAGGGAGGTTGATTATCCTAGAAACACGCTTCGGATCAGCATTTGGTGATGTTGGTCTTTCAACAATTTGAGGCTGTTTTGCCAGTGAATCGTTGTTGAAACTAAGATCTACATCGCTAGTTGCGAATTTGGAAAGCATATTAGCTAAATGAATAGATGGATCTTCATTATCATCTACTATTTCGCCCTCGGCTGTGGCCCTTTGCCTACCGTATTGGCTACTATTTGAAGCACTGAATTGACCTGTAGAACCAGATTGATGCATTTGCGGTGTGTTACCTTGACCAGTGCCAAATTGAGCGTATCTTGGTTCAGTGTCGTATGGTCCATCACCTGGGCTGTTTGCCATATGTATTGGATTTTGTCCAGTTCTCTTATTGCTTGACATTACCATTTTGAGAGCACGGATTTGTAACATTCTAGCACCACAGAGTGTGGCAGCTTCATGAATTTGTACAGCTGTAGCCGGTTCAAGCTCCATGTGCATAGCGTGTTTTACATCCTTCTCGAGAGATTCCAAACCATATGTCCGTGACAGTCCTAATAATGCAGCCAAAACTGGTTGAGAGAGTTGCAGAGGTGTGACTAAAGCAGATGTATAGAACCATTCAAGGAGTGCTCTGACGACTGTTGGTGATTCTGGAATAGTCAGGGTTTTTGATAACAGCCTTTGTTCTGCAATAGACGATGGATCTTGAGCTTGCAATTGTGCATTGTAAGATGATTTATGAGTTCTGAACCATGGCCAACGTGCTTCGAGTATTCTTGAAGAGCAAAGGAACCTATACTTTTCTCTATCTCCTTCGTTTGAAACTTCAGGAATGAGTTCGAAATCAGCCAGACTCTCATCACTAAGGGATTGCAAGCCTAGCAACTGAGCGTCAAGGCTTAATGAAACAGGCGGCGGTTGATAAACACCGTAAGCTTCAAGTTCAACAAAAGCGATATGATCGAAGTTCTGCTGACGATGGTTGTAGTCAGTAACCAAACTTCTATCACGGTTGCCCATAACGACGTATCTATTGGTATCGCGCCAGAGTGTACCTCTGTTCCAAGAACCAGAACTTAAGTGACTACCAGCATCTATACGCTGCCAGACAAAAGTGGTCAAATCAAGAGCCCAGATTGAGAATGATTGTGAAGTGTTGGCCAGGTAAGTACCTGAGATGATGAGGTGATTTCCTAAAATGCTACCGGTTGGGAATCTCAAACCTGGTGGTAAAGAAGCGCCCCTCATCAAGCCAGATTGATTGGCAATGGTGAATTCAGTATTTGTTGGAGCTTCTAAAACCTCTAATTCACGTTTAAGATCTTGGAAGTTGTAATTGGAGTAAAGGTAAACGTCGCTTGGGTCAAATTCGGTGCAATTATCGGTGTAAGGTAATAAGTGGAGAACTTCACCACCAACTCTGATAGTGGAAGGGTCTGGGGTGACGACACGTTGAGGGGAAGATATTGCAACAGAACGATAAGAGCCGCATTGATGGTCATAAGCGCGTGAATGAAGCCATTGTAGTGAACGCAGATCTAAAATTGCAATTTCTTCAATGTATTGATTGTCTTTTCCTTGACCACCTGCAATAACAAGGCAATCGCCAGATATTGAACTCAAATGGGCGTAGCGAGGTTGTGGGCCTGAGGGTTTGGTGAACGAAGGTGATAATGACGTCTCCACCTTTTTCCAAGTGAGAGACTTCAAGTTTAGGTAAAATACATCATCGAGGACAGCGAGTTCGTCGTTTTCCTTATATGCCATACCTGCAGAGCATGTTAAGTGGGTTTGATGGGCGACGGATGTAAAAACGTACCACCGAATAAGACTAAATAGTCGTTCCATAGATCAACTGAGTGGAAATATCTCTCTGATGGGATATCAGAGTTGTTATCGAATTGGATGTGATCCCAGCGAAGCGTATTCAAATCAAGTTTGTATACATTGTTGGTCATGACCCGCTCTGTAACCTTCCTACCACCAATCAAGTACAGCTGATCATTTACGACCGTCATTGAAGGCCCCTGTAAGGAGTTAAAGATTCTATAGAGGAGATTGGAGCTGGCGACTTACGACCAAGGGTGGTGGGACAGAGCCCGTTGTAGATCTCGGGTAGGCAGTTAAATCAGACAAATTCGCTAAAGTCATTAGTTGACTATCTATTTATTTTTTCAAGCGTCCCTGTCGTTATAGTTGGTAGTTGGTGTCGTAGATGATATATAAAATATCGAGCGCAGTAAGTGTGTAAGACAAAACTGAGATCACGCTAATAACGAGGAAATAGCAGACGAACAGCTAATTGGAGATGCTGTCTGATAAAAAAAGGGGAACGCAATGGCCTCCCCGTGTGAGTTCCTAGACTAGATCTTCGTAGCTGGGCTAGCAATCTAAATTAATTAAATTCATAAAAATCTGTATACATGCATGCAATTTAAGCGCTCTTCTTTGGTCTATCGGATTATTGTTATTTATACATCCACCTAGGAACTTCCCCACTTACCCCCCTAATGGTGCGCCAATGTCCTTTCCGCGAAGCTTTATCTTTAGTATTCTTTCTAATTTACCCAATATTTGTGGGTTTGGTGTGGCTTTTGAGGACTTTTTCGTAATTAGCGATCGTCTGATAAGACATTATACTCGTACCTCATATTCTTGGATGACAGATGGCTTCTCAGAGATGCGTGTGGCCAAATCCTTCTGAGTTAAACCAGTTGCTTGTCTACCTTGCATGATAGCCTATGGCTTTATTACTAAAACTCTTCCTTCAGAAAATCTACCCACCTTTCCAACAGAGAGTGAAATCTTTGGTGGTGGCGCAACTTCATTCTCTCTGTCTAACTTTGCAATTCTTTGGTGGTCAGTTCCTGGTTTGCCTTAGTTTGTTCTCGTAAACAAGCACGCACGACTAACCTTGGTGACCTTTGTTGGCTTGTCCCATCTTACGATCACCTGCAGTACCACCAGCTCTGGCGTTAGCTGTACTGCTTGTTAGACTATATCTCATCGTCTTCTATAAACGCACCATTGATTTCACCTTGTGTTCTGGCGGTCGTTGGTCTATGGGCTTTGTGTCCGATGGTGATAGTTGGTGCCTATACTTTATTACTTTCGACATTCTTGTTCTCTTTTGAACTTACGTCTGACATTTTTTGGTTGTTTTTATTCAAAGTGGATTTCTCACTTCAGAGACGTCATACAGATGGAATGTCATCGAAAGTATGACAAAATATCTTGAAAATTATATATATAGATATAAGCGTATATCTTATATCACTATAGAGCTTTATTACCGATTGCAATTAGTTAAGCGCGTTATTAAGCGCATCACCCGGTTAATTGTTTGATGATTACAGCATAATGTTTTACTAGACATTTTCCTAGCATTCTCGCGTGAGCGTAAGGATAGCATTCTGCTCATTGATTTCTACCATTGCTAAACAGGTAGCAGCGACCAACCCTCTTGTAGAGCCCCCATGGGGGCTTTAATTTGTGCATGTAATTTGTTTTGCCATCTGTAAGACATTAAATTAAGTTGGTCAGGCCGCAGCTATAGTTGAAAATACCCGATATGGTTTAGCCGTATGGCTTACCCTCTTTGTCATTCTGGACGTCATATACGCCACAGCAGTCTCCTTGAATATCCATATATATGCAACATTAGAGATGATCAATGAGTCCTCAGCTCTCGATATATAAATGGTTTCTTATGATCGAAAGAATATTGTTTGAAATACCTAGAGATGAGCCCTTCGAGGACGTTATTTCAGATGATAATCGCCAATACATTCGATCGTGTTTCTGAAGGATACTTCGATGGCTTCGATAGCGCCGGTTATGAGTTTGTCTTATCTTCACTCTTGACGTCAGATCTCTTGAGATTTACTTGACGAACTACCATAAATCATGTTGTCGAAATTCTAACTATTGTTGCTCTTTACCAAATGAAGAGCCTCCAGATAAGACAATTTTACGTCATCTTATTTTCGATCTCAAAAGTCGCAATAGCACGCAGATCGGGGAGTCGCTGCGTGGAGGCCTTCAGCGTACTGCAATTGTGGTATTCACGATTGTTGATAGGCTGAAATTTACAGTGGATTCTTGTAAGCCAGAAAAATATAAGGATAGTTCGAGTAATCGAAATAGTTGTTTCGATGCAGGTGCTTATTCTGAAGAAGTAGCTCCGCATCTGAAAGTCTAGCTTGTCATAGAAATATTAATATACTACCACTTTGAGTTCTTATTATCGTACAAACTCGCAGAGGTTAGAGTTGTGACTATCTTCCGTATCGGCAGATAGCGTTTACTTAGTATACACAGCTGAGAAAGGCAGGTCATCTAACCTATGGTTCTCAATAGCTACCTAACTATTCAGTCATGTCAACGCCGCCTCGTTGCATATCTTACTTTGATTATTTCGGCTATTACGTAGTGTAGATGCTCATTCAACATATACGAAGAAGTCGCTGTATATTGGCTACAGCTTGAGTAGATAGTATAGTTATTGTGTAACCTCCGCATCCTTTATACTCTCACTCTACCCCCAGTGGTGCCTTTCGCCTTCCAGATAAGATGACAATAACGAAGCCTAACAGGCTGAATAGGGATAGAAAAATACTAATGGATTAAATCACAGTATATGAAACCATCCCAAGAAATACAACAATATTATCTAATAAATAACGCTAGAACTCAAAACCCATGAGCTTGTAGCCCGTAACTTGAAGACAATCAACAGCGGCATCGAACGTGTTGTTGTCGAGAAGTTTGCTTTCCTCCTTGTCTAGTGATCCGAGTAAAGAACGTAGTCTGAGCGTCAAGCCATATAGCGATCTTGCTTGCTGCTTGTTGTCATTTCCCTCCTTGATACCTTGAAGAGAGACCTTTAAGGAAAAGTACAGCATTGCTATTGTCGCCAAGTCGTCGCATCTCGTGAAGCGCTTGTCGACTGCACCTTCGTTGTCCTCAATATCATCGGAGGTGTTAGTAAGCATTCGGAATACCTGCAAACATTTCAACGAGCCATCTCCTTTGTTGACTCTGGATGACAAACGCAATGCGATATCCGTCTTGCCTTGGAAGAGTGCCCACATGGCTGCAGACAGTGACGACATTGTTTTAACTACCGGAAGATCCTTCGAGGATGTCACCAGCTGGGTGATAGCTTTGTTGATTAGCTGCACGTCGCTAGCTGAGGCCTTCTCTTCGACTATCTGGGTAAATATCAGACTCCATAACTCCTCTAGAGCTAGTATGGACACATTGACGGAAATCTTCTGCAATACGTTCAGGTCATCGTTGCTATCTCCTATCCTACACAGTTGGGTTGCATCATTGAGATCTCTCTCTAATGCTAGTTGAACATATCTCGGCTCAGTCTCTAGTCCCTTCATTGTTTGTGCAGATTTCCAGAGCTTGCTGGAGTTGCTGTGTAAGGCTGCCGTTGCCGCGTTTACTGGCGTGTCCTTCCATTGTTGCGAAGAGGCAAGGGTCATATACGTGTGCATCTTATCCAGCTTCGAGTACTCTGCATCGGGTGTCAGTAGGTAACAGTAGATGTCGAGGTGCTAACCTTTAGGATTATATATCTGCCTTTGAGCACGCTTGATTATCTCGTCGGTTGTGCCACCTCTACCAATTTTGAAGTTCAACAGCCGTTGAAAAGACATCCAACCTATTTCGACACCTTTGACTATAGGGTTGCTCTTTACTTTTGGAAGCAGCGGATAAAGCAACACAACTAGCGTCAAACAAATGAGAATTGTCTGAATAATATCATGCACGCGTGGGTGGTAGAGATCAGGAATGATGTGTTCTCTCCAATGAATGCCTTCATCATTGGCAGTTGGAGGCAGACTGCTTGAAAGCACTGTGCCCTCTTCGAAGTGCCTCCTGAAGATGTTTTGCTGTTTCTGGTAGGGTTTCTGAAGGAGACCGAACGACAGAAACATACCCAGGAGATACCTAGGTGCGCTGCTACCATCACTAGAGGGTGACTGCTGCGACTGCTGCTCGTCTGATGTTGCTGATGTTGAAGTCTTTGCGTCAGGCTCATCTATCAGATCGACGAATGCGTTGTCTGGTGGGGCAAAATCTTCAACCTCGTCGTAGAGCTCCCTGTCATCAACAGCACCCCATTCATTCTCCCACAATCCCTTCTCTGCTATTGGCAACTTTGACCTTAGAAGTTCGACTTCACGCATCAACCGCTGCTCTCTCCCTCTCAAGCGGCGTATGTAGTCCGTCGCACCGATAAGGACCGTCTGCTTGTTGATCTTGTTGGGCACTGCCACGCCCTCTACGTACAATGGCGGCGCTTTGCGCCTCGAGGACGTCTGAGGTGGTGGTTTCGCAACCAGCGCGGGCACTGCGCAACGTAAGGATAGTATGCGGGTGTTTATATTGTTTCTATAGCGCCTCTCCACCGCGTTATGGGAGGGATTTTTAGGCCCGCCATGGCTGGGAGGCGGTGGTACCGGTTGTGGTGGCTTAGGAAAGCGTTCTGAGGCATGTTAGTGGATATTATGAAGTACACTACGACTGACGTTTCTGAGCTTCTGATTTCTGCTTTTTGGTAGTTTGCCCGCTATCTGCAGCTTTCCGCTTAGCTGACTTAGGTTGAGCGGCCGGTCTATCAGCAGCTCCGTCAGCAGGTCCACCAGCTTCCGCGGCGTCTTGAGGATACGCGCTTTGCATGCTCTGCAAGTCTGCCAGCATCAGCCCTTGCGGGTCGACACTAACGCCATTGCTGTTCGATAAGCCTGCTTGAAGCGACTGGAAGGGGTCGTCGTAGGCATTGAAGATAGGTTGGCTTTGCAGCCAGTTCTGGAGTTCATTCGTGTCGCCCATGTCCACGCCCTCTTGCTGAGGCGATTGCTCGAGAAGCGACGATATAGCTTCGTCGAACTCTGCGCCGCTCGAGTCCGTGTATGGTGGTGTGGCGGGCTGGAAAGCACTCTGGAAGTCGAACTCCATTTCTTTCGGTGTTGGTTGTTATCAGCCAAGTGCGAAGCCAAGTGGTATCGGTGCTTACCAGAATCAGGCCATCTGTGACGAAATCTCCCAGGGCGGCTTAGAGCGGCGTAGAGGGCTTAGACGGGCTTAGAAGGGGCTCAGACGAGGACAATGAAGATCGGCTCAGGCGCAAAGTTTGTGCAGTTTCCACGCACAACGCGGCTTCACGACGAGACAACCAGGATGTAAACCATTAAACACACAATCTCACACCATAAAGCACCACAGCGTGCCTCTTACTTAGACAATGGTTTATTTCTTAAATGCTCCCTCACTCTGAAAAGGGGAACCCTCTGCCTTCATGTCTGTCCATCCGATGGGTTGCTTCGCTGCTTCCATCCCAGCCACGCTGCTGACTACTGCCGCACTTTCACAACCGTCCAATAATGCTGCTGCATGCTTGGACCATCACTCGCTCTTTGGTACATGCTTCATTATATATGTAAAAAAAGACACCAAAATATATCGCCATGTTTTAAAGGCAAAAAGGAATCATACAAGTGCTGCGCAACTACCACTGTGCTACAGGTGCTGGTGCACCTACCAGGGATCGAACCTGGGACCTCAGCATAGGCTTTGAGAATTTTCATTCCAAACCGTTGAACCATTGGATTCCTTGATTGACATTAAATTTATACAAATCTCAACTCTTTCTACTAGATCTCGGTTGAAAATTTGCCAAATGACGTCACGCGCATTGTGGACTTCATACTTGTCGGAATACCGATACAGCGCTAAACATACAGCGTCAGTCAGTAAGACGGAACAAGAATGCGCAGCAAGGACAAGGTGAACGCCAAGGCTCAATAAGGTTGAGGACATCGGGAAACATGCGGACGATGAAGACTATTTAAGGAGAACATCTTGTACACAAACTATCATCTACTTTTAGATCACATTATACTTAATACCTTTTCAACCAATAATAAAGCGTGTTTAATATTTACAAACCAACAAGATCTGGACATACAGCATCATTTAGTAGCTAGGGACAAAAAGGGACAGGCGATCACGCACGGATACTCGGGCAACAACAATGCTATTTGGGCAACAATGAAACTATATAAGAAACGATATCTTGTACCAAAAAATCATCTACTTAAGATCACATTATACTTAATACATTTTAACCAATAATAAAGCGCGTTTGATATTTATAGACCAACACTATCTTTGCGGTCTTCCATTTCCACAGGTTCGGTGGGAGGCGTATTTTCCTGCACGCATAAAGGGGTATTGTCAAATGTATCGGCTGGTGGGTTCATTAGATAGCTTCTCCTCACTCTCTACGGAGTCGCCATATGTGCTAGATAACGTCGCATTATGCAAATCCTCCACGTTGTGTGTGGATGGATACACTGTGTGGCTCCTTCTCCTCCTCATCGCTCGCTTCGGTGGTGCTGTCTCCCTGAGTTTCGATACGGTCCAATAATAACGAGGAACAATATGTAAATGAGTGATCTGCGCTATATATAGTGGTTATGACATCTATCCCGAGGCATTCGTGTTCGTTATATTTCGCATTGCATGATTATAGTGCTTCTCCGTTGACTTGGATTATGGCTGCGTTTGAGGTTTTGCCGAAGCCGAGGAATATTTTTTGGGACCGTGTTGGTGAAATTTTATTGGTTTCTACTGACGCGTGTTGTATAGAGACTCGGCAGCCGAAGGCTTTTAGTCGATGGATAGCGGCTTGGTGTTGAATAATTTTTCGATTGGCGTAGTCTCTATGCTTGAGTGGGTGCTACAGGTTTTGATGTATGTACAATAGTTCACGGCCAACATCCAATAATCTTTAGGTAGCTTGGCATTGGTCAGTAGTGTTTCTATACCCAATTGATTATAATACTCTGCGATACCGTTGGATGAGGGTGCATGGCCTGCAGCGTAGCCTGTAATGATTCCATGTGATTGGTAGTAGCGAACGAGGCGCTCTGACATGTATTCTTCTGCTCCATCTGTGGGATTCGTTTAAGTTTGCACCCTTTTTGGCGTTCTAGTTGTATATGTAGTGGGTTATGGTAGCAAAGAGACAGTTCTTGTATTTAAGCGCGAAGGTCCAAGTATACCTCGTGTATTCATCTATCACGACGAGGGCATATTTTTTCGTCTGTATTTGTTGGATGCTTGTCATGTCGGAGTGTAGTATGTCTAATGGCTGGTTTGTCTTGTCGAGCGCGCCGTCAAATGTTGCTGATTCGTTTTGTTGATTTTGCAACTTCCACAATATATGTCTTGTTTGCTTGGGAACTTATAGAGTATAACCATGTTAAGATGTTGGGGGTCGATTGTTCGCTTGGATGACCAACCCGTATGTGTCATTGTGTGAGCGTGAATTCCTTGGCGCCCGGGACAGTGAAAACATATTTGGAGAATTTATCTATTAAAGTTACATTGAGTTTGAACATCAATTTCCCGTCTGTGAGTAGGATCTTATGTTTGACAGCAATGCCGTCATTGTCAAAGAAGGTTGGAGAATAGAGAGCCTCTGTATCAACCTAGCTGATAGTACCGTTTTTGTACTCCAGGTTCCACGGCATTGTGCCCACGTTAGTTGCCTTGATCCAGCCGCTGGTGGTTTGAAAATATTCAGGTCTGTCAAGTAGCCTTACATGGATGAGTAGGTCTTGTCTGCATGTAGGGTTTCGTTTGCCCCTTGGTCTAATAGTGTGATCTGTGGGGTGAGGTGTCCCTTGAGTTGTTTGTCCGTCGGTTTAGAGTAAATTTTTCGGTTGCAACTCTTATCGTAGATTCTTGCGTTGATTCCAACTCTGTCGATGAGGCTCTTTTTGCTGCTGTTTTTGTATTTGAGTTCTGGGTATAGGTGTCCACATTCGTCGGAATGAGTACAAGGCTCTTATAATCGTTTATCAAGCAGTAGTAGCAGAACTTGGATCAATGCGGTGCAAAAGGTCAACTGCTTGTGTGTGGTACTTCTTTGGGATATCATTGTCATCGCGGTTATCCGCCTGTTCTAACTGAGTACTTTGATCGACGTAACAAAATTGCTACTTCGTAACTGTAGTTTTCAATATTTGTTGTACACGCTCAACGTAGTTAATTCCTTTGGATGCTTTGAAGGGTTGGAATTTTGTTGCCTTTTAGTTCATCAGGCATCCTTTGTACTGCTCTATATTTCAAGGATTGTTCTCCCATGATTGAATCTAGTCTTTATAATTTGTTGAATAATCGTAATAATTTTCTATAAAATATTGTAGCATCTTCCCCGTTTGTTATCTTGCTATTGTGGAATTCATTTGCAATATTTCCAGTTTTCTTCTCGCTCAAAATTTGCCCAAATATCCTTGTATAAATTGGCTGTAGATGGATGTCGATTGTTGTGTCTATCGAGGTGAAGATGCCCGTTGAGATAGATCCCATTAATATAAAGAATAGTTTTGCATCCCTTTTATAAAAAAACAGCTTCAGCCTCGACAATTCTGAAGCGTGGATTTGTGAGTTTTGTTATCTTTGTTTTTGATTTTGCGGGTTCGCTTTGGTCTATTTCCATTTTGTTTTCTTCAGGCCATTTGTATGTTTTATTTATTAATTCGATAGTGTTGTCGATTGTTATGCTTCTGCGTAAGATGTCAAGGCTGTCTTCTGTCTACGCGAAAAAATTCTATTCGGTCTTTCATAGTGTGTATTGATCCCTTTTTGATAATGTGACGATATTGGGTGTATCCGTGATTTTCTTTGTATGAGAGATTTTTAGCTGCTCTTGAGTATGGGAGCTGATAACTTGTTGGTTCTATAGAATGTATATGATGTCGGTTTCAGTGTACAATATTTTCTCCTTATATATTTTTCAGTTTCTCATTAACCTTGTTCTTTTACATTTCTCGCGGTCTTAATTGGCTACAAACCCGCATCACACTATCTACGATAGTGGGTTATGTCAACCTGATAGTGTTTTGGTCAATGAGACAGAGGGGTGTCCCATCATCTGTTGTTTCCGCATATCCGGCCCTAGTATCTGTGTTCCAATAAATATGATTCACAAATAAAAAAGATACTACACACTTATTTATTAGTGGATTACATGGAAAACTCTGATCGATGATGCATTGATGCTGCTTTGAAATGCTTATGCATACTTGGAATAATGAGAATTTGATATAAGCTTGATCAGAGATGAGTGACAGAGATTTTTTTTTTATGTTATTATTTATTTGTAGAAATGCTAGTGCTATGCTTGCGATACTGAAAACTGGTTATAAACTTGATGATAGATATGAGAGATAGAGATTTAGAGAGTTTTTTGTATGCTATTTATTTTTACTAATGTTACTATGGAAATGTTAGTGCTATGCTTGGAATACTGAGAAATTTCATATAACTTGGTCAAGATGGGTGATATTGATTTTTTTGTGTTATTTACTTATACTAATGCTGGAAATGCTGGTTTGTGAGTTGAAGAATCAGTGCTTGGATCTCCTGGGATTAATATTGCTATCCTGCATAGGAAGTCTCTTGGTTGGTTTTACTACGCTAGCATCCTTTCTGATTGTGCCGGCACTTCCACCTGGTGTCTCGTTGGTAGTGTCGTCACCGTCATCGCCGTCATCGTTAGACCCGTATACATCACTCACGTTCATCATTACAAATGACATCTTTTTGGCGGTTCCCTTCTTGCTAATTCTATTGCGGTCCTGCTGGCAGCGATGGAAAAGATCGCGAGTTGGACAGTACTCATTCACTGACAGCTTCTCGAATGGGACATCAAATTTAGATTCAGCTATCTGATTGAGCATATTTTGGAGCAACTTCTTATTATGGTTATTTGATTCCATGATTTCTTTTTGATAAGCGATAAGAATTTCAAGCTGCTCAATAATAACTTCGCTGTACATTATGTGTGCTAAAGGAACGTTAATAATGGTACTATGGAAATGGCACAAGGAGGACCTCTCATTTGTGAATCTTTGTATGAATCTCCCTGTTCTTCCCTTTCTTCTTCGTCTTCTGATGATAAATGCTGCTCGTCTATGTCCTTTACTGCTGTTTTGTTTGTCATATTCGAGCGATATTCACGGCCATCTCTCGCCTCCCTGTCCTCACTGGCGATCTCCACGTCGGAACCGTCGGGAGTGTCGGCGACGGCGCGCATTCTTGCTTGCACGTTGTTGACAGGTGTATTCTCGTACTGTTCTGTTGCCATCTTCGACTTGGTGGTGCGAGAGCAAGGGTGCACATCACATGTGGGAATGCTATCCCCAAAGCAAAACCAGCATACTGGTCTAGCCATTCTCTAGCGCTGCCTCCATCCTCCCTGTCTTGGCATCACCCCGTTTTCTCGCTGGAAAATTTTCGTTTCCCACGCGAATTTTCAACCGCTGTACCGCTTGATCATGACATGGAATAGCGGCAGTTGTGTATTTCAACCAGCTCCACGAGGCCCGCTCGCGTTTCCTTAAATGCATTCTGGAGAAAAGAAATTCACTTCTCCTTGCAGTATTTCGTGGTTACGTCACATTGTTGCGGACTGTTTGACAAACAGGAGCTTTGAAGCGCGAAATAGGACTTAACGTGAGTGGGATACTGTCGATAGCAGAAGCAAACGCCCCTAGTCGCTAGACACTACAGACTTTCGTAGCAGCCAAGACTACACAGTAAGTGAAAAAATGCGCATCAGACCAGCCATCGCACTGATGAGAAACGAGAAAACCATTCAGGTACGTACTGGCTATTATAGTTAGCCATCGACCGGTTAGACACTCAAAATGTCACCATTATGGTGAAGAAACGTATGTTTTCATAGGCGTGTACTACTATGGGTATATGCAGCACTCGCACCCTATTTGTACCCCACCTGCACCCTTGCATCGTGCTCGCTATTGATGCATTTCAGGACTTCCACATCGTCACGGATGGCCACGCCGAGTCAGTTTAAAAGAGCTAGCGCAGGAGGCCAAACGCCATTCCAGGCCTGCTTCTACAAACACTCCGAGCGCCACTGAGGTTTGCTTTGTAAGACTGATGTATTATCTGCTACTGAATACGCACTACCTCAAAGACTGAATGTGTGGTAAGCAAACACCAGTGCACAACCAAAATATACACAACTTAGCATTTCGCGAGCTTTCAACGGATTGCGCTTCATAAGACATTATCAAGTTCCGATGAGATCTATGTAAGTATGTGAGCTGCATGGAACATAAGACAGGAGAAACGATCGCTGATATATGGATACTCCTGAAATTCTAAACTGCGTGGCGAAACTACTACTATTACGTTATTGCTTACTTCATAGTTTATCTTATCTGAGTGTAGTGGGAGTGCTGCCAGATTGACTAGTTTGTTATGCCACTTGAAGTGCCATTCGCAGCGCCGCTTGTAATAGCCATTTTAGTAGTATTTCACATGCATCCCTCCTTGCCCGATACGGAGGCAACGACGAGATAAGAGAATGGTGTGGGTATATAGCAAATACACCGATAACTACCCCACTTGTGTTGGATTATTTTATTGAGCCCACGGCTGTACGTGCTAGCGTTTAATTAAACATCGTTGACTGCATACAGTCATGGAAAACAGCAACAACTTCGCGAGCTATGCGTCTAAATTTCTATCTTCGCGGATACTAGGGCAGTCTTCGGGCAGCTCACCCATATTCCATGCCAATTACGATGAGAGCTCCTCAAACCATGGGCCCTGGATGAACGATGACGAGATTGAGCAGGAAATGGCACATCTCAAGCAGTCGACAGCTAGCAAGTCGCAGGCAACCCAGTCGCCACCGCGGTCTCCCTCGGCGCATTCAAACCAGAGCGAGTCTACCCCTGACATCAACCAAGCCCAGTCTTTATTCACAAACCAATCCGCACTGAGTTATCATAAACCAGACGTTCCAGACGCTCTAGATGCGCCAGAACCACAGGAGGAAATCGAGCTGCAGCTCTCGCAGCCGCTCCTCACTCAGTCACACAAAAACGATACACGCGATGACGTCGTCGACGACGAAGATGACGAAGACGCAGATCAGCCGCCACAGCAGATATTTATTCAACAGCCAACACCCCTCCCACCGCTTACTTCCACCCCGATCAGAAAATACCGTGACGCACCTTTCGTTGTCGCATATGGGTTTTCCATCATATCTGTCTTGATCATAGGCGTGTCCGTCTTATTCACTAGTAATACGGTTGGTCACATCTTGCGTATCTGCGTAATATTAACAGTCATAGGAGAGTGTGATACCACCACCAAATGCAACACCCTTCATCACAACTACATTGCTACATTCTACGCCTTTGCTCGTCGGCCTGACGTTTTTATCGCTGCTCCTGGGTGCCTTACACATCCTCATACTCAAGCATGCGATAACCCCGATACTATATACTGCGATAGCTGTCATATTGTTTGGCTTGCTGGGTAGTTCAACATGGGCTTTCGCAGGGTCTTTCGTAGATGACGACGAAACCGACCTCAGCTGGTCTTCTTGGTGGCAGAGTACTGGGTGAGTATCGCCAGGCGCAATAAACCACGCTAACAGTGATAGATTGCGATTATTCTCCCTTATACCCATCCTAATTATAGCTTGGTTCGGTCGCACCCTCTACAAAAGAAGAAACAAACTCAAGCGGTCGATCAAGGTGGTTGAATTGTCATCTCAAGTGATATTAGAACACCCAACGCTGATAATTTACCACCTTGCAATTACAGTAGTATCGACACTCCTGTCAATCCCGTTCGCCTGGCTGATTTACAGGTTGCTGAAGATAGGCCACTGGGATAGTAGCAGCAACGGCGGGTTCAGTTGGCATGTGAAGACATCGTCGGACTTCCTAGTTGCTTACGTTGCCTTAATTGGGTTCTGGACCTGGGGTGTGCTAAGAGGTATAGCCAGCGTGACAACCAGTGGTGTTCTAGGCGCATGGTATTTCAATCGGCATGACCCTCATCAGCCTGCGCCGCATGTCCTAGTTAGCAGCTCATTCTATCGGTCTACACATGCTTCATTTGGTAGCATATGTCTCGCTTCCATTATTTTGACAGCAATTGGCGTTTTCAGTAGACTATTGATACGGTTACGTGGCTTAAGTGGAAGTGGCATGACACGTTTTCATCCTATATCGATCGTATTCAATGCCGTCAGTATGGTGGCTGCCATACTATTAGGTTTCGTGGATCATATCTCAACCCACGCTCTTATATATGCTGGTATAACAGGTGATGCGTTTACACCATCAGCGAAGCGTGTTAAACAATTAGTGAATAGGCGTGAGGTGAGAGGACTGATGGATGACTTACTGGTCAAAACCACAATTAGGTTGTTTGCAGTCACTGTCTCATTGTTGAGCGCCGTAGCTGGTTTTATCTATAGCGCTCACTTCCTCAATCAATCGCTGCACTCACCAATCGTTGGAATTATCGCTGGCTGGCTGTCTTTCAGTGCTATAAGAATGTGGGGTGACGTATTGACGAGTACAGTCGATTCTATATACGTCTGCTACTGTTTCGATGTTTCGACCAACCAGCAGCACTGCATTAAGGCAAGCGAGGCTTTCAGCAATGCTCATCAAATGAGACAACCCGTCTAACTGTTTATGATACTCAATCGGAGTTGAAGTTTACCTTGTAATTATATCTAATCTTTGTAATTAATTATATTTAACCTTTGTTCTATTGTACACTAGATCTGGGTATCTTTGGATAATCAAGTAGGGTCATTTTAATATAAGAGTTTGTCACCGAACTTCTCGAGTGATTCTAGCCATAATGGCTCATTCGCCCATCTGGGGAAGATCTCCATGATCAGACACTGAAATAGGGGGTTAAATGTGATGCAAAAGATATCCAATACTCACCTGAAGGATGTTGCCATCTATAATACGCAGTTTGCGTTGTCTCTTAGTCAGCTGCTTTAGCCTAATCGGTGTTATTAACGCGCTTGCTGTTAAAGAACAGATGAACATACCTTTTGTGCTTCTTTCGCTGCTGTTCGTTTAGCTGGTTGATTGCTTTGTTTTCAATCTCCTTATCTAGTTCAAATATTCGCTTCGACTCCGCTTTCAACGTTTGTATATTTTCTGAAGAACTTGAGCATGAGTTTATAAGCAGTAGATCATACGCACTGTTAAGCTCGCGCGTGAAGAACTCTGTATCCTTCATGGTCTTCCGTATCTCTACGATCCTGTACATGACCTGTAAGTCAAGATCAACTGCTTGGTCAATAAGCCCAATGAGGCGACTAAGAGCGTTTAGTAGTTGATTGGTGGGTTATGGCGGACGTACTCGGGATTCGAAACTTTATCTTGCTCAAAATGAGCGCTGGTTGATACTACAGTATTGCGTGCGCTGTGGGTGTTATATTGACTACTTTATAGAGAAATTCACTCACTATGACCTCATCGTATTCTTTAAGATCTTCTTCATTAGACGCTTATTCAACTTCATAGTAGCAACAGTGGCAGCTATTTTACGTTCCTTTTCTGACTTTGGCGGTTCATCCACTTTAATGCCCTTCTGCAGATGTTTAATCTTTCTTTTCATCAACTTTACATCAGCGTTGAGATCTAACAATTCTTTATGCAATTCACGGTATTCGGTTGACTTATTAATCTCCTTATCCTTTTCTGGTAACGCGTTTTCTTCTTCCACGACTGATAGCATCTGCAAAGAATCTAAGACCTCCTGCGAAGGTTGGAACTTCTCTACTGGCATATTTTTCATGAATTTGTTTATTTTTTCAACTTCTTCATCGCTGAACGCCATCGTTTATTTACGGGATCTCGATTTTTAGTTCGCGATGAACGTCGACCAATGAGAGCAAACTCGTTTAAGACCGGTCTATCACGATGTCAGTTACTAGAGGAATTTCAAATATCGCTAAAAGGGGTTTGCATACTTGTTAGTCGTAGTCGCTTAGTTATTTATCTCCTCTCATATTCTATCAGCACCTGCTACTGCTCTCCAGGCAACAAAAGCTGCAACTCAGGTAGCTACTGGCAGTGAGTTACTAACCAGACTATCACACCACACATCTAATTCCTTTTAGGCTACGTAGAGGGTACCGTCAATGATCCTACTAGATTCCCACCACCAAACTCTGCTCACGGTAGCTCACACTGGGCATTCGAGAGAGCTGTTTCTGCAGCTTTGGTACCTGTCATTGGTGCTTCATTCATCACTTCCTCTCATCCCGTCATCGATGGTCTAATCTGTTCAAGTTTATTGGTTCACTCACACATTGGATTCGACGCTTCCTTAACCGATTACTTGCACGATAGGAAATTCCCAAAGATTGGTCCAATCGCTAGATGGTCTGTTAGAGGCTTAACTCTCGGCGCTGCTATCGGTTTATATAGCTTCCAAACAAATGATATTGGAGTAACTGAATTGGTAGCTAAATTATGGACTGCATAAATATTCTTAATTATCTCTACAAATTTATTCTCTGTATAAATAAATAACCTTACTTCTTGAATGTATGTGAGCGATTGCCGGAAGATTGCATCGTCTTTGATGATCCTGGTCTTCTGAATTGACCCTCCAAGTTTGCCTTGATGCGTTGCTTCTTTGGCTTCTTCGTTGACTGTGATAAGTCATCTAGAGGCCTATCAAGCACACTTTCCTCATTATCGTAATTGAATTCAGGTACTTCGAGTTTCCCTTTCTTGTCTTTCTTATCTGACTTATCTTTCGCATTGGCCTTCTCTTTCTTCTCTCCCTTATCCTTGCGTTTGCGCTTCTTCTCTGGTTGTTTACCAATTGTCGCTATGTCATCTGCGGTGATACCAGCATCAATTGGTATATTGTCCGCCATTCGTTCCGCTTTACTCTTGTATGGCACTTCTGCCATGCTTGAATCTTCACTCTCCTTCTTCTCTTGTTCCATCTTTTGCTTATCTTCCTTGAGTACCTCATCCACACGAGCTGGCATAGGTGGTGCCTTCTGTGTAATCGGACGCTTGTACTCATCGAATGCGTCAAGGTCATATTCTGTATTAGAGGTTGACTGAGGAGTAATTAGATAAGCTATCGAAACAAGATTATGAAACTTACATGCGGAATAAGTGAAATAAGCTTAAACGAAGAGGAAATACTATCCATAGTCTTGCTCTTCTTAGGCAATACCGTCGTGGTAACATCACCAAACAACTTTGATGTGCTGGCTTGTGGTGCTTGCTTTGTGCTATCTTCACCAAACAACTTCGAGCGAGTAGAAGTAGACAGGGAAGTCTGGGAAGCAGAATTTGCGGAATTAGATTGATTTATATTCCACAAATCAAAGTCTAATCCAGTTTTGAATGGTAAATGGACATTATTAGGTTGGAGCAACGACTTTGGTACGACTCTGGCTGGTAATTTATCACTATTGTTCTTCGCAAACTCAACACCTGAGTTGATACATTGAGCGACATCCTTCAAATGTATTCTAACAAATTGCGGTACCTTCTTTTGGAAGACATTCGTGATTTCCTGAGGTGTCTTCGGTTGTTTCAATGCAAGGTCATATAATTGATGGTTAGAGAAAATAACATGAACACTCTCATCTTCCTTTCTTGCTATCTGATCCCTCCATTGGTGTAATCTACGGAATACTTCAAGAAGAGGTGGTTCAACAACTTTGTTCCACTTGGTTGCAAGGTTGTACCAACCACCGAAGCCTTTACCGGTATCATAGTCGTAAGGATCTCTATGATGGGTTTTGAGTGACACCTGCTCGCTTCTTTGTAAAACATCTTTCAACATGTCATTCTTCTTTGATGACTTTTCGATAAGTGTGTTGCGTAACATATCGTAGATGTATAACAAATAATGAGTATCTGATCTTGCATATTCCAGCATTTTGTTGGTGAGCGGTCTCTTACGCCAATCTGCTCTTTGATAACGTTTGTCTGGTGTATAACCGCAAAACTTTATCAAAAGAGACGCCAATGAATGTTGACTAAACCCTAAAACCTTAGTTGCATGATACGTGTCAAACATATTAACGATATAGACACCAAAATCTCTCTGTAACCAGACAATATCAGAGTCCGCACCATGGAAAACCTTAACGATTGCTGGGTTTGTAAATGTATCGTTGAGTTTAATAAGCTGGTCTCTAAGTTCTAGTGTATCTATAATGAAATCTTCTCCTCTGATAGAAATTTGCATTAAACAAACAAACCCACGATAAGATCTGAAGTCGTGATGCTCCAAATCAATGGCTATTTCTGTAGCTGTACTGAGCCTATCTAGTAAGTAGTTGAGAGATTCTTCGTTGTCTATCCATTTAAAAGGCGTTTGATTGAAATCACCCTGCTTGATTGGTGTCTGAGTTTTTAATTGCTGCGCTGGGTATTTAATCGACTCAATCTCTGTTTGGTAGGGGTGTGATAATCTATCATCAACGGTCGTCCAGGTCAAATCTGCCTTGGCGTTTGGTTTGTGAGTAAGTAGTGGCTTCCAGGGACTATCAGAATTATCAATGGAGGATGACCATTTCAACTGAGGTTTCCTTTGTATCGATTTGTCGTTAAAAATGCTGGGTTCTAAATCTTTAGCTAGAGTTGGCTTATTGTAGTTATTAGTATGCTTGTCTATGTTGATAGAACTGTCTTCTAAAAGCTGATCAACGAGTTCACCGACAGCTTTACTATCGCCCGTCAGATCGTCTGCATCTAGGTGCCTTGACTTGTTATTGATGAAACCAATTAATTGATTTATATTGTCAACCACGCCATCCTCTATTTCTTCGCATCTACTGCTGAATCCAGAGTCTATACTCTTCTGAAATGAGAGATCATCAGATTTTAATAAATTTTTAGATATTTTCGTTAAATTTATCGCGGATTTCTGTAGATTTTTTATCTTTAAATCTATTTTGTCTTCCTCAGTCGACATCCTCTTCTCCTGATCTTGGTCGTTATCAAGAAGGTTGAAACCCTTTGTTAAACTATTTACACTTTATTTATATCTATTAAATCAACATCCATATTAAGAAAGGAACTATTACATGTAATTATGACTTATTATGTATTTCTATATCTCCATTTTGTTCACTCAATTCGCTGCATCTAAGCGCACCGATAGACATTTAATCTATGCGATTACCCAAGTCTGACAACCACATAACGAAGAACCACACGAGCGCACCAGAAATGAAGAAGATTGACATGCAAACACCGATAATGAGGAAGAAGAAGCTGTCTATCGTTAGTATTTAGCACCTTTATTCTTTGCACACTTACCTCCACGGAACTTGGTCTGCGCTTGCTGTTGAGTCAGGATCGAAGCTACCATCTTTGGCGATTCTCGCAGCTTTCTCTGCATCGTTGCGTTCACTGACGAGCTTCTCTTGTTCAGCAAAGGTGATATATCTCTTGTCTGATTTCTTTATGTCAATATGTCCCGCTACAAACTGCAAGAGACTTGGGAAACGACGTTCAGTCCATTGTTCAATTCTCGACAACGCAACAGAAAGCTTGATAAAGTTAGGATCAGCAGGAGACAACTTCTCGTGTATTTTTCTAGAGTAGAAGACGAATTTTTCAGCTACGTCTCTTGGATTTCTGATTGTCATAAGAATTTTGACTGCAGCGGCTTTGCGTATTTTAACATTTTTGTGCAAGATATCTGGGTTCATAAAGCACGCTTCGAGGGTTGCGATAGCGTGTACTTGAGGTATAGCGGCAAAGTTGAAAACTGATTGGTTCTTAAGCAAAGCGAGGTAATCTAATACATCAGGAGCATGTCTGAGAGCGTCAAGAACCATTGAGGAGATAACCCATAAGGCTTTCTCTTCGTTACCTGGCTCTTTTAAGTCAGCACGGCTGTTGAACCCTTGCTGCTTGACTAATGACATTGGCCAGAATTCCCTGCCGAGGTCCACATCTTCGCGGTAGTCCCTAAGGATGTTTGTCTTCTGCAAGAACAATCCCATACTATTTGATAATTCCAATTGGTCAGCAATGAATGGCTTCTCAAGCTTAGTTGCTGCAAATAATCCTGATAAACCCTCACCAACAAGGCCAGCGACGAAATGACAGTATAAATCAAAGTCTTTGATATCTTCGACACCAGATTGACCACGTTCGGCGGCAGCGCAATAGTCAGCCATACCATTACCCATTTTCTTGGTGATGTCAGCTATGACCTTCTTGCATTCATCATCCAAGAGCAAGAATTCATCAATAACAGCGTGGAATTTAACTAAGAGGTGTCTATCCTTCTCTTCTGGACCAGATTCGGTGAAATTCCAGCCTGGCTCGTAGAGTTTCTGATGAAATGATCTCAAAATAGGCTCCTTTACGTCGAGTGGTATGGTCATGTCGTCTTCAACTGTATCCAAACCGCGAAGGACGAGGTAGAAGATACAAATGACTCTAGCCAAGACGCTATCTAACTCTTTGATTACAGGTGCAAATGATCGTGAAGTCTTATCGAGGAAATCCCAGCAAGTCCTCATAGATTCTCTATCGAACCCAGTCGTTGCGTGTTCTTCTGGGCTGGTAATGTCTCTTTTTGGTTCATACCAGATTTTGTACTGAAGTAGTGTACGGAATTCGAGTGGATGGGTTAACGCGAGTTTCTATATATCTATTAGACTGCGGGTTAATTATAAAGCGCAGAGAACTCACAACTAAATCCGTTGCCGACATGGCTGTTTATGCTCAACTTCTGTCTGCCAGCGCGGGGTCAGATGATCTGATTTTGGATATATTTTTAATTATTATTTATTCTTTAAATCTCAGTACTTTTATACAAATAGCATCTCTCTATGTTCTTGACTTGGTTGCCTCTGTGTTGACTATCTGGGTAGACGCTATATGATTAATATAGGAGATGTTCAAAGCTGTACTATCAAATATACACGTGATACACTTTAATGCATTCTTTCACACTCATTAAACAGTATCAATCACCTTCACTTGCTACACTAATGGACTCAAATGAATTTAATGATATAACTGATGAAATTTATACGCCAACGGAGAGTAGGTGCTGATTTATATACTACAACCCTTCTAACCATCTAAAGATCTCCGTTTGGGTGAAATGATCTACTCGCCTGGCTTCACTTTACTAGACGCAATGAGCGCGATACATGTACGTTTACTCAGGATTAGAAAACGTCACTCAGATCACCCTAGATCGGTGATCCTCGTATGGATTCCTTCCTCTCATCAGATAAAGACATCCCAGAGTCATTCAACCCTCAACAGAAACTAAGCCTAGAAGAAATAACATACATTATTGACAGGACAACAGCACTCGAATTGTCTTTCTACTCTGGATCCCACCTCATCCAATCGTCATACACATCACTCTATCTTCACAAAATACGCTCTTTGTCGCTGGATTTTCTCAAGTTACAGTCCTTATCACTCCAAGATGGTCCTAACTATGAATGGGAATGGTTAGGATTGGTACTGAGATCAGCTCTCGTTGGCAGTTTGAAGTGCATCCATTACGTATGGACTGAACTAGTCAAAGGTGTTCTTTACGATGTGAGTCCTCATCCATTGCCATTAACACACTAATACATAAAAAGATAGAGGATTTCAACTCAGATAAAGCCAATTTATCACCTGGTGAACTCTACGAAGACGAGTCTGTCTCCTTCTGGTTGAAAGAGGCTATTGAATGGATAAACAAAAAGATAGAAGGTAGGTGAAACTTACATATAAAAAAGTACTATGTTAACTTTCAGCCAAGGTGGTCAAGCTGACACACTCATAACTGGTTTGAGGGATAGATTAAAACTCAGACTTGAATTATTATCATTATACAACCCTAATATAACGAACTGTCCGGTAGTAACGCAACAAGGGGCAGACAATGTGTCTCTCGCTTCCATAAACACTGCATTGGGGTTAATTCCAGCTATTAACGCATGTCCAGCCCCATCAGTAACCGCAAAGCGAGCATTCTATGCAGATATTTCAAAGTATCTGCCAAATATGGCGCCCTTACCTCCACTAGATGAGTCACTATTGCAAATTGAGGGAACAAACGTCTGGGAAGGCTTCCGACCATCCTTGGAAAGTATGAAGGATATAAACAAAGCAATATGTAACCAGGATCCATTGGAATGGATCGTAGGTGTGATTTGATTGATAAGAAACTACCTAATATAAAACTTCAGAACTGGACTTCTTTCAAATCAATCATAACACCAGAAAATAAGACACTTCCAGCATATGTTCGAAACCTAGTTCTCGTGAGTCGGTATCTGTTTATTGCTCCTTTCTGACATTACCAGTCGCGCTTTATTACAGATGAAAACTTGATCTTCGACCAGCATTCTATTGAATGGATAACAGACAAGCTTCTTGAAGATACAATAGGTCTACCATTTGGTATGGTGGGATTGATAGGTCAATTTAATAGAACCACCTTGACCGTTGTGCGCCATTCCGAGATGTCAATCGGGTTGGCATTCCAACTTTGGTCCCAGAGGTTAGCTGGTGTGAGTGAAACCATCTAAGCATTTGTTTTCGCTCAAAATCCTAGTTCTACGTCAATCTTCTCACTACGTATTGTCATAATCGATCAAGACAGAAGCGCAATATACCAAAAAGCATTAAGCAATTTCAAGAATTGTATGAAGAGGTAGGCATACTACATATTGCTCATAAACTTTCTAATCACCATCAAGGCATTAACATTCATCGAGCAATCTGCAGAATCTGTCGAGACATTATCACCTGTAAGTTTGACTCTATTAGGAAACACTAATTAAGTCCTTTTCTAGACGCTTTCTTCGCTGGTTCGACAAATTCCGTTCGTTATCAGGTCATTCATCCTCAGCTTAAACATAGAAGCCCTTTTGGTGTCCACCGAACTTGAATTGCTTGACAGTGAGCATGATTGGACTATCATATACTGGCAGTTGAGAAGAGTAGCCTATATCTGGCAACAAGAGCTCTATGATGCGCGATCAAAACTGAATGCTCTTCCTGTAGATGAACGAGTGGGATTCACTGATAATCTCAAACGTAACGCTGAAGAATGGATGAAAGAACGCACTAAATACGCCAACCTTATCGAACTCCTATCGAAAGCCACTTTAAACGTAAGCATTTACTCACCAGCAGCAATTGATATTAATATTCAACAGTCCTTCTTTATCCATAAACTACCTGAATCATTGATGACACAACCAGAACGCCAAGCACGCTTTGAGAGGCGCTTGAAATGGTGTATGAGAGGTAACATTGACAGTGATGGTAGTCTAGAAACAGATCCTAAGTATACACAGTACGAGATTGATCTGAATGATCTACAGAAAGTGCGTCTTGTCATTATCATAATATAAAATTTAACGCAGACCCAAGTCAGCAGTACCAGAAGAAACACTTAGCTACTACAAGTCATCTGTCGAGAGGATAGACGAACTATTAGAGTTAGACGTCCATAAAGTCAAGTGTTCACTGTCGAAAGACAAGCGCTATAATGTAGGCTCTTGTAGAGATGAACATATCCTTTCTAACCATGGCATAGTTACTCCAATCTCTCCGTCAGATCTGCGAGGTTAACATTAGTAATTTTAGCAACACATCAGCAGCATGGTCGAACGATATCCACCCATGGTATCCTAATATATCTTAAACCATGCATTAATTTAAAACTTCTATACATCTATTGCAGAGCTCTTTTGTTTGGGGTTTGGTGAATGACCAACATCTTGGGCATTTCTCTTGCTCGCTTCTACGCACGCTGAAGCGAACATCTTAATGTTGTTAGTAAAACATCACATAATAGTGTATACCCACCACTCCTATCTTCAACGTCGTGGACCTGCACAGAAGATACAACGAACGCTTTTGCCAATTGTTCATCTAAACAGAGATCAATTTTGAGAACAAATGCTACTAGGACTCACTCATCATGTCCAGGACCGACCTAGTAGCCTCAGAGCACTCAGCACCGACAAATACGTCGACGGTTGCTTCCAGAGAAGTCTTGATTATTCTGTAAAGAAATTAGACAAACTCTCCAAAAGCAGAAACTTCACTTACTTCTCAGAACGGAGAGTTTCGAGGAGATTGAGTACTTCGTTCCTCCAACCGAGCAGGATAGACGCTGGTTCAGCAGCTTCCTCGTGTGTATAATCATCCTGCTCCCATTCAATTAGCGGAAGGTGCATCATACATGTGGGTACCTACCAAAACAGCCCAAGTGCTTTTGAATATACTCTCTTCAGTGCTTTTATTATGTCTATTTAGTTCCTCAGAGAGGTATGGCGTTATGGGTGCGACAGATTTTGTCAGAAGGTCAAGAGTCTGTTGTTTGTGTGAGCTTAAATATTGGATTGCTTTCACCCACTCACCTTCTGCAATACATAAATGTGTTGGAGACGACTATGACTGTTCGGTGAATCATTATAGAGGCAATCTTTGGTTATTTCAAAGTAGGTCGCCAAAGGTCCACTCGTAAAGTTGAGTAATGTCTGTACGACCTTGCTAAAGATATGTTGGTCATAGGCTTGTCGGCATGCCTTTTCAAATATGTGTAATTGGTTGAGCATCCATCTGTCAATCTGAGATCCGTCTTAGTTAACCCTTTTTGTCAGAAAGTGACTTACTAAGGGTAATTCCTTTTCGTTAAGCAGCGTGCTGGAGACTTCACCCGCTTTCAAGTTTCCTAATATAAATCTCGCTGCATTCCTGATCTTCTTGAGTGAATCTGAAGCTTGTGCTATGATTGTTGGACCTATTGGTACATCTTTCGTGTACTCAACTGATGCTGCCCAAAATCTAAGCACATCGATGCCATATTTTGGCATAGACTTTATGGCGTTAAGAAAAAAGCAAATATCTAGTGAAATACATACCTTCGTTCCGTTTATGATATCAAGTGGACTCAAACCATTTCCTAAACTCTTACTCATCTTGCGACCGAGCTCATCTACGACCATACCATGTGTGATCAGTGTCTTATAAGGCGCACCCTCTCCAGCAGCGACTGCTGTGAGCAGACTACTTTGGAACCAGCCTCTATGCTGGTCAGATCCCTCAAGATAGACATCCGCACGAGGTTTTCCGACACGCTTATCGAGACACATCCAGGAGGTACCAGAATCGAACCATACGTCCATAGTGTCGAGTCCTTTAACAACATCTTTATCTATACCGTCAGGAAGGAAATCTTTCGCAGGGTCCGTCCACCATGCGTTTGTACCCCTCTCACTGAGGACTTTCAGAGTATGTTCGATTACCTCATCATCCAGAAGAGGTTCCTTCGTAGCTGCATCGAAGATAATTGGGATTGGTACTCCCCAAGCACGCTGTCGAGAAATACACCATTCAGAGCGGCCTAATATGAAAGACTCTAGTCTGTGTCGTCCAGATGAAGGTATGAAATTGACATCCTCCAATGCTTTAATCGACCTCTCTTTCAGCTTGTCAACATTTGCAAACCATTGTGAGGTGGCTCTAATTAGCACTGGCTTCTTTGTCCGCCAGTCGTAAGGGTATCTGTGTTTCACTTTCTCCTTTGCAACTATCCATCCACCACGCGATTCGAGTAAATTGATAATAACCTTGCTCCCCTCACCCAAACAATCCAAACCATCGAGAGCTGATCCGTCATCTTGACCGCAAATACGCCTCACTTGTTCACTATCAAACCTTCCTTGATGATCGACAGGATTTAATATAGGTGTGTTGACTGATTGTGAGATACTGGCATGCAAATTGTCGTCATTAACACCCTTATTGGCTTTGCTTTCCTGTTGTACGGCAATGTAATCGTCATGTCCATGTGCAGCAGCGGTGTGTACCAACCCTGTACCAGTATCTGCACTGACATGCTTAGCTGTAATGATAGGGAATGAAGTTGCTGCAGCATTTTGAGCATGGAATGGTGGTGTGTATGTGCTACCCGCGAGATCAATACCAGATATGGTAGCAAGCTGCTTAATTTCACCCAATATCTCTCCCATTGCTTCTAATCTTTCGGTAGCGATGAGATATTTATTTCCAGACGATAATTGCTCGACTATCACGTATTCTAGATCAGGATGCACGCAAACTCCCATATTTCCAACCAAAGACCAAGGCGTTGTTGTCCAGCATAGCAGATTCACGTCTTTAACGTCCAACTGTTGTAATTTTTCTGACGCGGTTGTCAATGGGAATGAAATGTAAACGGAATCTGAAACATGATTGTCGTTGTATTCCAATTCTGATTCAGCTAAGGCTGTTTGCGAAGAAGGCGACCAATAAACTGGCTTGAATGCTCTAAAAATCAGCCCTTGTTTGAGTAACTGACTGAATAAACGCAACTGACGTAACTCATAATCTAAATCTAGCGTACGATAGGTGGACTGACTATCATATAAATCTGCTAATAAACCAAACTGGTTAAATTCGCGCTTTTGTAAATCGATACCATCCAATGCAGTCTGTTTTGCTGATGTCCTTACTGCTAAAGGATCTCTAGTCTTCAGTTTAGACAAGGATTTCAGCTCAATTGGCAAACCATGACAATCCCAACCAGGTCTGTAATCGATTTGGTTGTTTGCTAGTAAATTGTACCTCGTGATGATATCTTTCAGTATCTTATTCAAAGCGTGTCCTAAGTGAAGATTACCGTTAGCATAGGGTGGTCCATCGTGTAGTATGAATTCGCTCTTATTTGGTCTACTAGATCTCTGCCAGTTGTAGAGATCTTTAGTTGTAAGTTGATTGAAGAGAGATGCCTGAGTGGATGGATTCGGACGTATAGGAAAATCCGTTATCGGTAAATTAATGGTAGATTTATATTGATTTTTTATTCTATTTGTGCATCTCAGCATTTATCTTGATAGATCGATGGATGTGAGTGAACAACTATGGCGTCGTCAAATATTTTGGATCATTTGGTTTATCTGACGGATAATTTACAAACCACAAAGTCAGAATTCGTAGAAGCAGGATTTACAGTCATAGATGGCGGTAAACATGCAGACGGGATTACAGAGAATGCATTGATTGTGTTATCAGATGGCGTATATATAGAACTGATAGGATACATACATGGTGTAACGAAATCAGCTCACTTCTGGGGTGATAAGAAACCTGGATGGATCGACTACGCTTGTTTGGGTGTTAAAGAACATGAAACTGGTATAGAGGAGTTCTACGAGAAGCCCATTCACGGCGGTAGAACCTTATCAGATGGCAGAAAGGCGCAATGGGTCGTCAGCTTCCCTATCAAGAGATATCCACGCGGTTCAGTACCATTCTACTGCCAAGATAAGACACCTCGAGAAATAAGGGTACCTTTAAACAAATCAGAGCATTCCAACAATGTTAAGAGAATTAAATCACTCATTCTGCTCTGTAATGAAACAGCCTTGAAAGCTTCTGTATTGCTGTACAACTCAATTCTTCAACAACTGCCGCATCATCAATCAGAACAGAAGGTTGTATACAAATTGAAGTCCCCTGCAAATTCGCAAATTGAGCTGATTCTACGTACACCTGTGTCACCAGAAGAAGAAGCTCATGTATTTGCAAATCATGGTGACTGCATCCAATCGATCGAGGTAGAGGGTGCCAAGACGTCATCTACATTAAAGCCCTCAAATGGCGGCGGGCAATTGATTATGACATGCTAAGAATTTAACCCCAAGACACCCCGTTTGATACACAAACTCTATTATTATAACCTTCTATGCTAGTGTATTATAGTCTTACATGTGATATGAATGTATTAATTATGCCTTTGCGTACTATTTTAATTGTTAGACACCTTCTCGGAATAACTGATATACTCACTCTTTCAACGTAGTCCTTTGCGCTCTCATTGAACTTTGATCTGTTTGTCTATGTGTGCTGTTAGAAAAGCGTGTAGTACTAAGTAAATTTACCCTGTATGTCTCAGCAGCGTCGGCATCAAGGGGATCATCAGGGTTAGGTTCAGCAAGCAATTGGAGAAGTGATTGGAAGACTAGATAGTTTATCAAAGGGTGTGACTTCGATGTGATATCACCTACTTTGTGATACCCTCGCAGTTGGCTTCCAGCTTTCTGCCTTGAGAAGACCTTAGATTGACTTATGAGCTCGATGATACAAGAAAAATGAAACCCACCTATACAGATATTACCGTCTTGGTCAAAGTTTGGGTGATATATCTTCGTCTTGAATTGTACCTAAAATTGTTAGCTGATATCGCTGTGCTAAGCTAAAGGAACGCACAGTCGGTGCTTTGAATGGAAAGTTCTCTGGATATGTGAGAGTAAAGTGAAATTTGCCGCTTTCATATGGTGTACCTTGCTATCTATATCTGAGTATACATCCTGACAGTGAGCATCAACCTACAGGACCTTTAAGATAACCTGGAGTAATTATATGAGCTATATTAGCTACTGTATCTATCTAACGCACCTTTCCATTCAAAGAGGTTATCGTTTACGAGTTCAATTGGAGAGACACCTTCAATTGGTTCCTTACTGATCTGACTATACTCCTAGTATGATATTAACTACATTATAAGTGCGTTTTCAAACCCACAGCACCTATCCTCTTTGTCGCTTGTGCCATTCTGATGACTGTTGCTGTAATGAAGTATATAACAGTGATTTAAAAACTAAAATTACATTTTAAATTATAAATAACAAAACTGCTTCAATCACTGTCATCTGCTAGGACACTAGCCAAGGATTCTGCATTCCCGGAGCTTATCTCAACCGGTACGGTATCAAGGGGATCTGGTTTGCGCATTTTAGCACGTAGACTAGGCAGTGCATAGTTGACTGATTTCCGAGCCCTACGTGATGGACGTCCTTCTGCGTCCACACTAACAGACCTTGACATATCGGTCTCCTTAATCTCAATATCCTCTATATTCTCAGGCGATTGCGCTAGTTTCTGGACTCTCTTCTTTGGCGGCTCCTCTATAAAGTTTTGCTTTGATTTCATCATCTTTCTAACTCCATTTCGTCTGGATGTCGATGTCTGAGGTGAATCTTGAGAACTCCTGCGTCTCATTTTTGGCGTATCCTCTTGATCTTCTATATTTCGCCTCTTTTTGCCAGCTTTGATAGATGCTTTGTGGGTATCTCCATCGTTTTCATCATCTTCGTTCCCACTAGCGGCTACTGAAGGTTCAGCCGATGATCTTTCAAGTAAACGAGGATCAGGGAGTTCAATGCGACTTTGCCGCCTTCTAGTAGATCTGCGTCTAGATTTCACTGCTTCCACTGATGGTTCTTCGTTGTCAGACGAAGATCGAGACGAAGATGGTCTTTCGGTCGTATCTTTACGCGTATTTTCGTCCTTCGGCGTTCTAGTAGCCTCTTGTATACTAGCCAATGAAGGCGGCACAGCAACGACGCGTCTTTCGACTGGTTGTGAAGTATGTGTGAATGTACCTTGCTTTTCGTTAGAATCATAAGAAATAGATAATAACATAATACTGACTTGGTTCATAATCAGATTTCAATGATTGTAAATTAGTTATTACCTGATCAATCACCCTATTCTGGCGTACTTTCAACTGATGATTAGATTGTGAGAGCTGTAGTCTCAGCGAGGTATTTTCATCCCAGAGTTTAGCCAAATCCTGTTGCAACTGCTGGTTCCTGATATTCAATAGGGTGTTATTGCTTCAATGCACGTTCAGCTGCGTTCTCCATACCTCACATCACACTTACACTATTATTTCCCTATTCTGTTTACTGTGCTTCTGTCTAAAATTCTCAAACGCCTCGAGCACTTCCTTATTGCGGCTCATAGGCGCGTTCTTATTTATCTGCCCTCAGATTTCTTAATAAGGATGCAAACGATGACGCGCATGTTGAAGGTACTCCAAAAAATTGCCTAATATATACATTTAGTGTATCATATGTAAATACGCAGTCGTATTTACTCTGCAAACCGGTCTGCGGATATTAATTTGTTGAAAATTTTTACAATTTAATGTTTTGTAGTAGAATAATAAAAATATTATTATAAATAATTTGTTCCACTTTATCCGTTAGCTTTATTATGATCAGACGTCAAATTCCTCGGCCTCGATATATTAACTATCAGCACGTTTCGATCATAACGAAATGCGACTTGGCATTCTTATCAGTTATGCATTGGGATTGGAATTTTCTTGTCTTGAATTAGCTCCATAAACTGATATCACAATTATCAATGCAATCTCCCAAGGAATACTCGAAAGACTACAGTTACGGCTGCGAGAACAGTCCAACTATGACTTCTCTTAGCGCAAGTGCAAGTACAAGCAGAGCTAATTCTCCGCCCCCGATGAAGCCATCACTTGAACAATCTCTAGCCTTCAATCTCAACGGCGACATCGACCACGATGAAAAGACATTGACCGATGAGCATAACGCCCCTCATAGACAGCCGAGGTCATTTTTTCGTCGTGTTCATGGCTGGTCATGGCAAGCTTGGCCCATAGCAATGGGTAGGTTTGTCTTTCTCTTACTTTGATACCATTAAATGAAGTGTTTAGGTACTGGCGCTGTTTTTGTCTTGATGAGTAACCTCTACAACGCACCCGATTGGGTCGTATACCCAGGTGAGGAACCATATGTCTTATTATTCAACTATTAACGACTAATAGAACTTATTTTCTTCTTCTTCGTTTGCGCCTTGTTTATTATCAATGTCACTCTCCTTCTTTTTCAAGCCATATGTAGGTTCATTTGGCACGTTCGAAGCGGCCCTAACTCGATCATAGTATTCCCGTCTCAATCAATAAGACTCGTAAAAGACCCTGTAAAAGGTGTCTTTGTACCACTCGTTGTACTTTCTTTCGCTACTATTGTCATTGGGTGAGTGATTTCGCTTCAAGAGATTTCCCTGACAAATCTCAAGTATTTCCCAATATGGTGTTGGCGACTTTGAGGTCGTCCCTCCACAGGCACTCGTCGTATTGTTTTGGATCTACCTCGCAATGGCCAATCTCGTTTGCGTTCCAATGCTCGTTATATGGTTCAATTGTGAACATAGCACAACAATAACAAGCTTTTCTCCGGCGTATATGTTCCTTGTCTTCCCTCTGATGCTTACAGGTGTTGTCGGATTCAACGTAAGTAATTGACGTGTGATTATGGTTGATTAAGAAGCCGATAGTGTTTGAACGGTGTTGCAAAGGACTCAAATGATGCACTGGTTATTCTAATTGTCTCTTATGTCTTTCAAGGACTTGGTACACTGGTAAGATTGTTATCCTATAATATCCACTAATACCTGACCCCCAAATAGGTTACTTTCATGTATTTGGCTATCTACTGCCTTAGAATCATCACAACTGGATTCATGGAGGGTCACCAAGCAAATGGCGCATTCGTTGCGGCCGGTCCTCCAGGTTTTACAGCTCTCGCATTGATAAAGTTAGGTGAACACGCTCGAGACATCTTCAATGCGGGCCAAGCTTTGAATCCACTTGCTGGTGAGGTCTTTTACGATGTTGGTATACTCTCTGGAGCTATGCTTTTGGGTTGTTCATGGTTTTTCTTTGTGATGGCGGTGAGTGTTAACCTAGTTAATAATGTTCTTTGGTAGCTAAATCATGTTTTAGGCTATTCCTTGGGCATTCAAGGTACATTTCCACAGTCATGAGGTACTCGGAATGTGGGCGTTGACTTTCCCGGTGTGTTAACTACGTCTAATCATTGTAATACCCATCTAACGCGTATATTCCAGCTGGTTGGTATGATCTCAACTTTCAAAGTTCTTGGAGACATATTCCACTGCAAATTTCTGCATATGTTACACGTGGTGTTCACTATACTCATATTGATAGCTTGGGTATGCCTCATGACCACAACTATTGTCGCATTTTGTCGCGGAAAGATATTCAAATCGCCGACAGAAGAGGTCTTGAGTGATACCGTTTTCCCGCCGCTTACAACGAAGAAAAACCATAAGAGTAAGAGTAAGCAAGCTGCTAAACGTTATGGTGAGTACGCGAATCTGAATCCACTATTACTAATTGACGATTGGAAAGACGAAGCACCATACATTGTTTAAAATATTACCACTCCTTCTATCATTCTACGGACACCATTGTAGTTTTTATTGTTCAATTTCATGATTCTTCTTATTCTCGACGTTCGTAAGCGAGTTCCTTGGGGCAGATAATTCGGTCATATAAAGACCATGTTACTATTTCTCCTCGGCTTAATATCCACTGCGTTGGCATCTATTGGTGATCGCCAGCCAAAATTCATAGCATGCGTTCGAAACTGCTTAGATTCGAGCAAGTATACGACTAATATGTCGCTCTGGTCTGAGCTAGATGAGTGCAGATATCAGTGCATGCATCAGATAGTTGATCAAACTAAACAAAATTGGGTAAAAGAGCCAATACATCAATATTGTGGGTCATCTTACTAGCTGATCGTCCTATTCGCTGACTGTTCTCTATTAGACGGTAAATGGCCTTTCTACAGATTCATGGGAATACAAGAGCCATTCTCTACGCTCTTTTCGTTGCTTAACCTCCTCGCTCATAGATACGGCTTACGTGACATAAACCACAGACTGGGCTCACACCCTAACAAAAGATCGTATTTGCTTCTCTCATATATCAACATTCTCGCATGGGTAGCTTCTACAATATTCCACATTCGTGATACCACTTACACTGAAAGATTGGACTATATCTTCGCCGGTGCGGCCGTTTTTTCTGGGTTAAATTTAGCATGTACCCGTGTGTTCAATTTCAGCTTTAAGAAATCAGCTACTGCACTCTTTGGTATTTATATCCTGCATATCATTTCCCTACTCTCGAAGTCACGCATTGACTATTCATGGAATATGGCCATTATAGTCGCCGCTGGAATGATACACAATATAATTTGGATATACTTTAGTATAAAGCTCTACTTAGAATCTCAACATCATTCCCATCCAGCACCTTTCACTCCAATTTTGCTCGTTTTGCTAACCACGTTGGCACTCAGTTTAGAATTAACAGAGTTTGAACCGCTGTTTAGATCTATTGATGCTCACTCTTTGTGGCACGCTTCAACATTCCCATTAGCTATTCACTGGTATTCTTGGCTCATCCAAGATGCAGATTGGCAACGTCAGTCTAAAACCAGTGCTTTTGACAAGCAGTTGGACGCTTAATAACTTTCTTTTTGCAATTCAAATATTAATAATTTACTCATAATTTTCATTTTATCTTCTGTATAACATCTAGATGTGAACAATCGTACTTTAGGTTTAGTTTTTGTGCAGCAGGATAATTGAGATATGAAATGTATACTTGCTTGACTAATACCTTTGTTGTATGATGTACCTTTATTCTACCTTCATTAATGAGAAACAGAATTTATTGTTTTGGATTGTAGAAGATGTCGTCGTAACTGGAATTGTAGATCGTAGATATTTGACAGATAACATTCCTCATCATCTAATAGTAACTTAATGATGAAGTAACCGATTGTCACGATCATATCATAGCAGCCGACCATCACCAATGCACAGATATGATAGAAAACTAAATAATTAGACAGAGAGAATTTAAGATCATTTATAATTTACCGCTAAAATGTTTATTCCGAGATAATACCGGTTATTATGCCGTGCCGCATATCCATCATACTAGTTTTTGCGTCAATTATGGTGTAATTTAGCAAAACAAAATTAAGTCGGAATAATGTCGTTTAAAAAATATATATATTCATCCTAAATATATTACTATTGAAGTCTAGATAATATGTAAAAATTGTAAAAAGGAGGGAATTATACAGTTGTTAGAATTAAAAAGGTGGGTTGATGTGATTAAATGATTGTATTAATTTAACCACCCTTTGGGATTGCTGCGCGGTCAACATCCTCATTTCTCTCGTATGCTGGTAAGTCAGTTTGTGCTTCTTGCTCGACATCCTTTGCTTCAGCAGTGAGACCAAGTCTTGCTGCCTCTGACTTAACTTCATCTGAGGACAATTTTGGCATGGAGTTGGCGACTGAGACGTAAGATTTGCCTTCGGTGTAACCCAAAGCGAAGATAACGTCAATCTCTTCAAGCGATCTACCTGCAGTTTCTGGGTAGAATAAGTACACTATTGGTACGAAGCACAAGTTGATAATACCGAAGAATAAGAAAGTACTGCGTAAGCGTTAGTAATTCGTTAATTAATTTGCTTGAAAGAACACCTTGTACCATCGTCGAAAATCTTCCAAAACGATACAATAGCTCCCTTTCAAGTCAAAATTGTATTACTCACCCCCAGTTAATAGCAGCCAACATTGGTGGAGTCCATTGTACGACAGCAAAGTTCCAAGACCAGTTAGACATAGTTGAGATAGCATTTGCGTTGGTACGAATACGGAGTGGGTTAATTTCAGCTGGATACAACCATGGAAGTTCGAGCCATGTGGCACCGAAGAATGCCAAGAACAAGAATTGACCAAGGACAGCACCATTAAGGACCATCTTGGTGTGGTCATTTGGACCTGACAAACCGAATGGGATGGTACAACCCATCAAGATGAACATAGACATAGCTTGACCGAATGAACCAATAAGGAACATCTTGCGACGACCAACTCTTTCAATGATGAAGTAGGATACACACGCGCAAATCGCGTAAACACTGACATTGACACCGGCGAGAATGAGTGCAAGTTTACGTTCAAGGCCAAGATACTCTTGGAAAATAACTGGTGAGAAGTAAATGACTGCATTACATCCACCGATTTGTTGGAAAACCTGTGATGATGAACCCAAAATTGTTCTACGCAAGTGTTGAGTCTTACCACCAGTAAGAACTTCACGTCTCTTAGCTTTACCTTGAGTTTCAGTCATTAATCTAATACCATCTGCCATAATGTTGGTGTGGTGGTGTGCTTCTGCAGAGTTTTCTGGAACGGAGTTAAGAGCAGCAACGACACGTCTTCCTTCATCTTCATGTCCTTTAGAGAGTAACCAACGTGGAGATTCTGGAAGGAAAGCAACACCTGCACAGAGACCAACTGCGAAAGCGATTTGGAATGCAATTGGGAATCTCCATGTGACATCCGCTGGGTCGTAGTTGTAACCCAATCCGACATCAATCCAGTAAGAAATAACAGTACCAATAGCAATCATAGACGCTTCAATACATACTAAAACACCTCTGTTGTGCGATTTAGAAGTTTCGGCTTGCCATGAAGGAATGGTGGAGGTATTCAGACCATTACCAACACCGGTAATGACACGACCAACACAGAATTGTTCTGGGGCTTTGTGGCCAGCGAAGGCTGTAACTTGAATGATAGTACCAATAACCATAACACCTGCACCTGTAAACATCATACGACGTCTACCGAGCCTATCACCAAAAATGAGAGCACCGAGAGCACCAACTAAACATCCGACTTCGTAGATAGAAGTGTATGTGGCCTGAATAAGGGCCGCACGTGAGTGTGCCGGAGTATTAGTCGGAACAACAGAATCAGTTTCTTGCGAGTAACCGTGTACGCTAGCTTGATGCTCAGGTGAAACTGCTGGGAAAGTCTCCGCGAATTGGTCTGCGGTAATCAAACCAGCCATGACACCTTGATCTACATGTACGCGTTAATACGCGAAAAAACGTGTTACAAACATTTAACGCACCATAACCGAAAAGTAAGAAACCAGTAGTAGCAGTGGCAGTGATTAACCAAACCAATCTGTTTCCGTGTGCTCCCAAGTCTGTAAGGCAAGGTCAGACAAATTTGCAAAAAGTAGATCGGAAATAGACAACTTACAAGTTGGGATATCTCCCGAATCGTATTGAGGTTGCTCAACTTCCTCTTTATTTTCTTTGCGAGCCATGATTGTTACTGTGGAGAAGTCTTGCGGCGGTTAAAAGAAAATGTCGTGGGTGGATAATTTAAAATCTCCAATTGCGGGGCTAGTTACATACTAATTTGGTCATTTCCTTTTAAGGTAGGCAAACTAATTGTGAAAATCCGGATTTGTATCTCCGCGGCATATCACTAAGAAATTCAATTTCCTGCGTGACTTTTCCTGCCAATTGTAGTCCTGACAATCCTTGTCTGTTCCTTAGATAATGACGTTAGTCTCAAATTAATTGTCTCTCTTGTTTGTATAAGCGGGATCAACTGACCAAATCGTGACTAAGAGTTAAACAATAAAAAAAATTCACACAAGAGAGCTATTTAAGTTGATTAAATACTCTAGTAAATTTGACTGCGTACAATTTTCATGCTCGGACCTTGGGCCTGAGCGCGAAAAAAGGGAGCTCTGTGGCGATGTGATCGATAAGATTATAAAATTATAAAAGTATATTTAATCAATTTGAGTATTAGATGCCTGAGTTGCTTGTTGCCTCATCTCTAGCATCCGTCTTTTTATGAAGTAGTCGATCTATCCGATCTTTAGCGAGCGAGCTATTTAGTGCCAAGTAAAAAACTCACCCAACTGGCTGCACATGCGCCTTCGTATTTTTTGAACTCCTTTGGGCACAGCTTTCTAATCTCATCGGTATCATTCGTCGGTTTGTCACCTAAACAGCTGAACAGCTGATCTCGTGCATCCCAGCAAGCTTGACGCTCTTCTCTAGTCAGAGTTTTAGCTTTAGACGACGGAACATCCTTCTCTTGATTAGAAGAAAATGGCCACCAGCCCATGATTTGGTATGGAGATGAATGAAGATGAGGAAAAGCCTCATTCAGCCATTAATCAAATTAGATTGTAGTGTAGAGCACTTATTGTATTTCTTTTCAATTCCTTATATATTATTGCTTTCAATTCTTTATAATTCAATTATACGTCATTCGCCGGATTCGCAAAGAAATGTTCAAAATGTATTTATCTAACAAGAAAGGAAGATTAATATTCTATCGTCGAGATCTTACGCTAAAACTAAGTAAAAGATAAAGTTTTGTCTCTAATCGAATTGAGAGTGTAGTTGATTACTTTACAAGTCGGTAATTAATGTTGATGATGGAAATGATTATGAGGACGTATCTAGTGAGCAGACCAATCGGTTGTACCCATGAGCATGAAACTTTCATACGGGATGTAGTCATCGCCTACTTCAACTTCGAATGCCTGTGCTTCATGCCAAAGGCTAAATAATCGTCTCCAATAGCAAACTGTAGCTGAAGGTGTGAGGTATCTATTTCTTAAACCATTCCAGCTATTATCTGCGATCTGCCTAACTCTATCTGGGTGCTTTCTTAATTCGTTCATAACCTCTGGTAAACGTTGCCAAGGGTCTGGCTCAGTATTACTACCAGGTCTCTTTTCAGGTAAAGGTACTATAACAACATTTTGATTCGTTGAGTTTGTGTGTCCATCTAAAAGGTGATGGAAGTGTTGAATGAATTTCATTTCGTGCATGACTGAGACTGAGTGGCATTGAAGGAGGTACTTCAGTCTACCTGAATAAGCGACACCTTCAACGTGTATCAAGTATTGGAATCCACAATGTTCTTCCATCGTGAGTAAATCGCCGGGTTGGATATCACCCCAATTCATTATTTTAACATCTGACCAAGCGTGACCCCTAGCAGCATCAACCAATTGATCACGAATTGGTAGTCCAAGTGATGCACCTCTCCAGAATACTTTTGGTAATTTCTCTGACCAAGAATGTTTAGATTCCCATCTTGTTGAGTCATCGTTAGTGATTTGTGTAAAGATAACTATTAAACTTACTTTCCTGCCTTATCTCTGACTTCAACGTATGATCCTACTTTAGGTTCAGGCCATGACCAGAAACCGAAGTCTATCGGGTTTATTAGAATAAATATGACGAAACAAAACTACCCCACCTGGCATCAACCAAAGTTCAGGTTGATCGGCAGTCCTATCTAAAACAAATGTAGGAATTGGTTCATCATATGAATCACCTGCATCTTGAATTTGGAATGTAAATCTAATGGAAGCTGTCAGGATGTGTTCTAAATATAAATTGACAACCTACTCGACGTTAGGAATAGCACCTGGAGATGTTAAAACTGCTTCATGAATAGCTGCGAAGGTAGCCATAGCTCTGGTATTGACATCACCGTGTCTGTATTCCTTAACGTACATCTGAGGTGCTGTGTTAAAGGGAGCAATTAATAAGTACCGAACTAACCCTGTTATTATGAATTACAACTCTGCCGTGAGCTTTATCTGAAGCTTTCTCGAGGTGTTCTTTAGTGATACCGCCTCTTTCTGACCACCAATCGAAAGCACGTTCAGCTTCATAGAAGAGACCATCATACTCCTTTAGACATTGGGACTCTGACAATTGCTTGTTCAGTGTAGGATCAGCGAGTGGCTTAGATACGCTATGACTGTCTACCAGCGCTACGTTTGGATCCAAACTACAACTCAAGCAATCTGGCTTTTCCGGCTGTGGCTCCTCGAATGCGAATGGGATTGAAGGTGGAGCCCTAGGGAATACAGACAAGAATGTGAAAACTAGTGAGGCGACGGTCAGACCAGTTATGAAACTGCCTGAGGGCTTTAAACGATCCGTGTAAAGCGCGATCCTTCTCCTATTATTAGTGGAGAATAAACCATTATTATTGCTATATCCAGGTAACAGATCATAGCTATTGTATTTATTAAATAAACGCATTCTTTATTGCGTAGATCGTCGTCGTCACCACTCAACAAGTTCACAACTGCGTAATTCACATTAAATGATTTTTTATAAAAAATTATGAATAATGGCATAATTCGAAATTTGTTATTATCTTGTCGTTTTATGATGTTGCTCCGATCGTGTCCTCGTGGTGACGACCCTCTGCTAAGGTTCTCCTACCAGATAAGATCTCAACGAGGTGTCTGAGGTCTAGCCACCATGGGTGTAACCCACGTCTGTTCTTATCATCGGCGTTCTTGGCGACATCCGCAATTGGTGCTAGTCTCACTTGACCGTTTTCAATTACAATAACAGCTGCAGAATCATCCTTTGCACCTGCTTGACGGCTCGTCGAATGCTCTTCGAGGAATTTAATGCATCTGATCGCTAATCTGCATGCTCTTGCCCTGTCGATTGGTGATGGTGTACCACCTTGGAGTGTGTGACCTAAATTGGCCGCTCTTGAATCGAACAGATCTTTGCCCTCCTCTTTAAGCATATTCGTGAGGAACTCAGTTGTATACACTTGTGAAGATTTCTCATTTCTAATAATAAATCTACCGTCAGATTTTCCTTTAATGTCAAGGGCGAAACGACGCTTAAGGAATTCTACATCCTTTTGAACTAATTCAAGATCCATGCCGATTTCTGGTGTGTATACAATGTTTGCACCAGTTGCCAATGCACCGACTGTTGCCAAGTATCCACATTTACCACCTTGAGTTTCAATTACGAAAACTCTGTTACGTGAAGCAGCAGCTGATTGCTTGATTGCATCACATGCATCAACTAATGCATTCAATGCTGTATCAGATCCAACTGAGAATTCCGTGAGTGGCACATTGTTTGATAATGTTGCTGGGATAACTGCCATTGCAATTTGGAAAGCTGCGTAATGGGTTCTGGCTTTCTTCAATGATGAAATTGCGGTGTATGCTTCATAACCACCAATGAGTAAAAGTGCATCAATGTTATGGGTCTGAAGAGCTTCTGAAGTCTTTTCAAAGTCATCAGCTGGGAGTGATCTGTTGGTACCAAGCTCTGATCCACCTCTTGATGACCAGTTGTCTACTTGTAACCAAGATAATGGTTGTACACTATTTCCACCTTCTGCCCAGAGACCTTCAAATCCGTTGTAGATCGCTAATGGCGTGTGTCCTCTTGCTAAACAGAATCTTGCAGCTTCTCTAGTTGCTGCATTCATACCACCTGCTGGAGCACCAACGTGGATAATACCAATTCTAAGGTTTTGACTTCTAGACATATCTTTCTTTGGTTCGATGATAGTTGAATAGTCGAATGCCTCAAGGTTTTCTTGGAATTCTGGATCTCTCAATCCAAGTGCTGTCTTAAAGTCCTTCTTTTCGATTGCGTCACCGACACTTGCAGTAGCTTTAACAGCTTCCATTAAACTAGTTCTAGAGACCTTGTTCTCCTTCAATCCAATCATATAGCTAGGAGTTGATGGTGTAGAATCGAGTACGGATTCGACTGCTTCAACACCTTGAAGTGTTGCCAAGAGTCTATCATAAGCGCATGGCTTACCACCACGTTGAACGTGACCAAGAGTGGTAACTCTAGTATCGAGTTGTAAACGCTTAGTGAGAATTTCAGCAACATAAGCAGGCTTAATTGGCTTGAGTTGACGGTCGAGAGCACCTTCTGCGATGATAACAATCGTCTTTCTCTTACCATGATCACGGTGCGATTTGAGGAGGTTGCACATTTCTGATTCCCAATCTTCTGTAGTTGGTGGGCGTTCAGGAATGAAAATGTAGTCAGCACCACATGCTAAACCGGCCATGACAGCTAACCAACCACAGTGACGACCCATAACCTCAACAACGAAGGCTCTGGAGTGTGATGAAGCTGTTGAGCCGATAGAGTCGACAGCTTCTGAGATTCTGTGCAATGCAGTTGGCGCACCAATGGTGATGTCAGTCATTGCCATATCGTTATCAATTGAACCGACGACACCTGTAATTGTGAGGTGAGCGTGTCTCTTGCGTTGTTCAGAGTCTATTCTCTTAGACTTCTCCAAGTCGTCAAGTAAGGATGGCCATTCACCGCGTAATCTATCCGCACCGGTGAGAGAACCATCACCACCGATGACGACTAAAGCGTCGATACCAAGTGAGACGAGGTTGTAGGCCGCTGTTGCACGACCTTCTCTTTCACGGAATTCCGCGCATCTTGCTGTACCTATGAGTGTACCACTAATTTTGTCAGAACAAAGAATTTCCAAATGAAAAGACTTACCCGATATCCATCCATCCGCGCACATCATCCCAGCCAACTTTCAAAATGTGACGACCCTTTAAACCTTCACCTGCACCCTCTTGGAGTAGTTCACCTTCACCGTATGTTGCGGCAAAGTTTTCACCCTCGGTATCTCTCTTTCCTTTGTAGGTACCAGCCCTCCTGGATTGACGGACTTCTGTTGGTGCATTGGTTGTATTGCCAGCTACCAAACCAGCCCAACCTTCACGAACAATGTAAACTTCACAGCCTCTGCAGGATAATTAGAATGCTTTACAAACTAAGGAGGTATTCCCACCTGTAGAGACCCATCTTAACGACTGCTCTCACAGCAGCGTTCATTCCTGCATAACTAGTCAGTTTTAGGAGGAAGACAAAGACTAGCTATACTAACCTGGTGCATCACCACCGCTAGATAAAACGCAAATGCGCCTTTTTGGGTTTTCGTTTTTTGAATGTAAGGAGATCATAATAGTTGGGGTTTAAGTCACTGTGAGACGATGACGATATGACGTTCTGACGGACAAATCCACTTTAAGTAATTTTTTACGTTGGAGTTGCATGTCTATCTCGGCTGATGTAATACCATCCTGATTGTGCAGATCTCTCAACATCGCTGCTATCAGAGTGAGTGAAAAATTTGATAACTATCGTGTAGCCAAGTTGAAAGTATATATAATACAAAGAAATGCAATCTATAATTATAATTATTTTAACATCTTTTTAGTAATCATTATCACTCGGCTTTTGATTCGTCGTTAGATAGAGCGTCATTTTATTGTTTATACTCACAGCACTTTTCATGTACATATCAATTGCAGTACTAAATGCAGCGAATGCAAAACCACCGCCGAACGCGGCTTTAACTCCTGCTGATTTTGATAGTATAGCACCAGATAAGAAACCTGCAGATGCGGAATTATAAATATCGTTTTTGCCTCTATACTGTAACATTCTTTGTTAGTCGGTCTTCGTATTGATAATAAATCTAACGCACTCCTTCTATACCACATTCTATACCAGCAAACAAACCACCGACATAACCGAACCCTCTACCTTGTCTATACATTGATTTACCCATATCTTTAAACAACTCTTTAGCTTTTTGTTGCCTTGATAGCTCAGAAGTTCTACTGAATGGATCATCAAACGCAAATGAAGATGATACAAGCGAGAAGAATGCACCCAAACCGAAACCAGCACCAGCTGACAGTACAGTTTTAAATGCGCAACTTTCCATCGCTTGCTGGAAGAATTTTTGGTATTTTAACATCTATAGTGGCTTGTTAATTGTTTGGTTGATATAGGATCTATAGTAACTGACATTCAACAGGTTAGTCTGGTCGACTTCATTCATCGCCTCAAATTCAGGATGCTGTTTTAATGGGTAAATTGGCGTTAATAGTGGGTTTTGTGACATTCTCTACTCTTGAAGTTTGACCGTGATGAGTAACTTTACGGAGAAAGAGTTGATTGAGTTATTAGATGATAAAAATTTATACTTATATGAGGATAAATACAATGAATATAAAAACTTAGATAACAACTTATCAAATACCTTACATTTGTTTACTTACGGTAATTACCTTAATTACGTTAACAACAAAGCGAACTATATTAAGCTATCCCTCAATCAATTGAATAAATTAAAAATGCTGTCTCTGTTGGACTATTCTAACAACAAAGTCATAAACTATGATGTCATTTTAAAGGCTTTAGATTTAGAAACCATCCAAGAATTAGAACATCTCGTAATATCTGCAATAAACAATAACCTTCTAACGGCAAAGTGTAATCAATTAGACAAAACACTCGTTATGAACACAACTATCAATAGAAATCTAGTCGATATCACAACTATCAAGGATAACCTCATTCAATATCAGTCAAATATAAAGAGCATTTTAAACGAATTCGAATCCGTCAACAATAGCAACAATAATTTCATCAATAACACAAATGAAACAAATGAAAACTTTAATAACTTATTCAGCTCAATTATACAATCTAATAAACAATCAAATAAACAATCTTCAAGAAAGAGATTAAGAAACTTTTAATTTTACTTTGTTAAACCTTGTATTGTTGTATTTCTCTTTGTTGCACCTTCAATCTGCCTATTCAGATTTTCGATATTCTTTTCTAAATCTGTTACCCGATCTTTAGCACCTAGTCTTTCTCTTCTTACTTTGTCTTCCGCAGCTTTCATCTTGGTCTCAAATTCTTTAGCTCTCGTTGACCACTTGTTGTCACTGTCAATTATTTTATTCCTTGCTTCGACCAGCTTATTCTCAACTTGTGTTAGTTGATTTTGAGTAATATTCAATTTTCTTTCTGCGGTTGTTGCTCTAGCTGTTAACGACTTAATTTCTGTCGAGTCATTGCTGCTTTGACCAGCCCTGGATTTTGCATTAGCTAGTTGTGTCATCAGGTCATTGTATTGATGCTGTTGTTCAATATCAGCAATGATTTATAATCAAAGTAGTACTGACCTTTAATTCATCTACTTCTCTACTCTTCTCATTTGATTTCATTCTCCACTGTTTATGAACTTCTGATGCGCTCTTAACAGACGATTCAAGTCCGTCGATCTGTTTCCACTTCCCTTCAACTTGCTTCCTCAAGCTTGCGAACTTCGTCATCCAGTTAGTTTCAATCTCTTTAGCTCTCTTATCGAACTTCATCTCCAATGAACTAATAACCCTCATCTTTGTGATTAAGTTCTCATGGAATTGATTGAAATTGTTGTACGGTCTAGCACTACTGTCTCTTCTATCTTGACCATGCGTAGGTCCGACTAATTTCTCCATATATTGGTATATTGTTAACAGTAAGGTATTTCTTTCTGTTACCTGTTGTTTATATTGAGATTCTGACATGGTAACACCCTTTTCTTCACGCATTAGTCGTGAGTCCATCTCTTTAAGGCGGTCTTTTAATCTAGTAACCTCCTCCAATGCATCTTGGTATTGTTGTTGTGATGTATGTAATCTCTCAATGTTATATTCATTTGTTTGTAGCTCTGCTTTCAATTGATAGCTCAACTCTCTATTTTCGTTGTTGGCTTCATTCAGAGACATGTTTCTCTTTTCTAAGATACTATCTTTTCTCTCTAATTCAGCTCTCAATTGATTAATATCAGCTAAGTATTTCTCTGCATCACGTTCAAGTCTTTCTATTTCCATCTCCATAGTTGCCCTATCATTTGTGTGATGATCACCAAGTTCTTGATGTTCACTAACCATCTTTCTCATTCTTTGTTGCAATTTCTGATAATCTTCTTCACGTACACTTAATTGTGATCTCAATTGATGAACTTCAGTTTGATATTCTTGGCAAATCGTGGTCTTATGTTCAAGTGTGCGCTCATTCTCCATTTCAATATCACGCTTTTCACGTCCATAGAATATTCTGTCACGCTCTCTACCATCTTTTTCTTCTTTCATTGAACTAGCAAGAACGTCATAGTCATGTTCTAACTGACGAAGTTGTTCATATTCTTGACGTGATTGCTCTTCTCTCTCTGCCAACCTCAAGGCAAGATCATCGCTCACTTCTCTGGTTTGACGGAGCTCAGTCATTTGTCTCTCGATCGCTTTTTCTAGTTCACGTTTTTGATTTGAAGAATTTTCGATCTTTTCTTTCAATGAGAGTGTCACCTGTTCTTGTATATCTTGCTCCTGATCTAATCTTTGTTGCATTTCTAATAGATCACTTTCAAGTGCTTCAAAGCGTGCGCAAACAACATCTAATTCGTTCTCTAATTGAATATTCTGTTCACTTATCTGTGAGGGAAGTTAGACGTATGTATTTTTACGTGTTAAATAAACTAACCCTACGAATCTCATCATTTGCACCCAATAACTCATCATTGCGTTCATTCAAATCACTTTGAATCTTTTCAAGATATTGCTCAATTTCTTGTTGTATATTTTCCTGTGATTCTTCATATACCTGTATCTTTGCTTCGTATTCCTCAATCTTCATTTGTGAAGCGTGTAATTCTTCCTTTTCAGATCTACGTTCACGATCGTATTCATTTATATAGCCTGCAAATCTTTCTTCCTGGTCACGTAAGAATGTTTCAATTTCAGCTTCCTTTCTGTCCAACTCTACATGTGCTTCTGATAACCTATCTCGTAAGTCACTACATTCGATATCCAACCTTTCTAGTTCATCCATAAGTCTTGGATCTTGATCTCCTTTACCTATAGAGTTTCTAAGGTTGGTATTGTTTTCAATATGACTTTCTAGCCTTTCAACGTGGGCATACAATTCTTCAATTTCATGGTCTCTACTCTCAATCAATTGTAGTTGGGCTTGGACTTGAGTCTCCAACGAGATTTTCTCTTTCTCTAGATCATCAAATTGCTTAACTCGTTTGTGTCTGTTCCGCCTCAGGGATACACCAGCATCCAGATCGGTTGAGTTTTCCTCATTAGCGTCAGCTTCAAGACGAAGTCTTTCAATTTCTTCAGTTGTTTCAATCAATTGATTCTCAATTTCAACTCTACTGGCTATTATGTCTTCCTTTGCATCACGCTCTGCTAATACTTCATCACGTAATCTACTAATTTCAGCTCTTGCGTCTTCTTCATTACTCCAACCATGAGTTTCACTAGTATTCAGATTATCAACTTGACTTTCCAGAGTATGTATATGCTCTTTAAGTTCTCTTTCACGCTCATTAGCCATTCCGAGTAACGTTCTAACCTCGTGTTCATTTTCTTCTGCATTTCGAAGACGTTCATCGACATCACCAAGTGAAGAACTTTTACTACGCTGATTGGATTCAATTATCGTCTTCTGCTTTTTATTTTCACTCTTTAGTGTCTCAATCGCTTTCTCTAACTTTAGAGCTAATGTACGATTACGCTTTAAGTCCATTCTCATGTTTTGAGAATCAATTTTGAGCTGAATGTTCTCCTTTAAGGCGTCATTTATTTGCTCAGGTGCTACCTCATTCAATCTGTTCTCAAGTAAGACAATCTTTAACTTCAATGACCAATTTTCACGTTTAGCTTGATCAATCGTCTTTATTTAGTTGTTAATTATAATAGCTATGAGATATTACCAACTTACCTCCTCTTGCTCCTTTAGTGTCATAGGTTTACCACCACCACCGCTACTATCTCTCCTATTAGATTTAGATTTTATCGATGAAGTAGATTTAGATAGTAATTGAGAGTTGGAAGCATCAGCTAGAGGTAATCCTGAGCGCATACTTGTAAGGTCATCTTCGTTATCTCTATCAGAATCATCTTGTAGATCTGGGAACTCAAATTGATCATTTTGATCATCTCTTTCAATTAAAAACTGACTATCATTGTTAGGTTTAGACTTTGATTGTATCTCCCTCTCATCTGCTGATTTGAATGAAGGCTCTACAGGACCGAGTGACATCTCAGCTAACGATTTATTCGTCTCTTGTATATTGCTATTTGAACCATCTAGCTCTGATGCTATCGCATGAGCCATTTTAGTTTTTTTCTTCTCTTAGATGACTGGGTATGAGAAACAAACGCGTCTATCAATTGACGTCCATCAGATTAAGAAATGTCGATATCACAAAATCTGAGTGATCAAATGTTAGTATTTATTATAAAATAAAAGCTTTCTATTTATTTCTACATTCAGTTCCGTAATGCGTGAAGTGCTCACGATGGACTTGCTTAACCCGGAATCAGACGCGACTGGTTTGGAACAGATCGACCAGTTGATGAAATTGAGAGCCAACGAACGCCAGAAATCTAGAGACAACGCTAAACAATCTTTAAGAAATCTCACGCGACAACTAGAGAATGCTAGATTAGCTGCTAATAGACCAAATACCGTACCTACACCTGAAGAGCATCAGGAGAATATGTTTCAACAGGATAACAAAAAGTTCCAATTGGCCAATTCTATCACCGAACTGGAACAGTCGTTGACTAAATGTGAATCTACTTTGAACAAACTTAAAGAAGAGTGGTCTGAATTACAAACAATCAGGCCAGCAGATGAACATTCGATGGATCAAGTAGTGTAAGTCACTCTATATCTACAAATTAATTCCCTATTTCACACAACAACAGCCTTAGATTAAAGATATTACGCGATTTAGGTTTTGAAATAGTGACAGATGATCACACAGGTAAAGTCAATAAAGTGCTCGTACGTAACGACGAGTCAAACGACCTCAATAGCGTTATTTTAGATAAAAATGCTAGTGCTTTTTTCCATAGTAATTACTTGTGGAAACTCGCCGGATCAGAGTAGATACGAGTAGATATATTCAATCGAAATCATTGTACAATTATTTACACTTATTTGTAACACTAATCTTAAGAACAATTAGCAATAATTTTTATTGTTCATGTGATGTGCTGCCCTCTGTTGGTGCGAGAAGGCCAGTTCTGTCAATGGAACCATCAGAAAGCCGTCTTTGCTCTCTATATTCGTTCGCAAGACTTGAATGTTCGCTGTTGTCGTTCTTTACATTTGATTGTTCGTCTGCCTGGGTTGTATTTGTCGTAGGCTTCGGTTGCGCGTCTTCAGGGGTATTGACACTTTGATTGTCAGTAGACATTTCAATTTGTGATGAGCTTCTCTCAAGCGCTTGTCTTTCATCTCTTTCTTCTTCGTCGCGACGTCTGTTCCTCTCCTGCTCATCTAATAAGCTCAATCGCATAGCTTCCATAATCATAGCCTGAGAGAGTAAGAACGGTGGTAATAATAAAATGGTAGGACTCACATCTTCTAAATCTGCACCAGTTCCAAGACTATTTACTAGATTATCGACAGCTCTACGGCCAGCGCGATTTGAGCGCGATCTGTGTGCAGGTTGTTGGGAAGCTTGCTGAGTTGACTGAACTGTACCCTCTGAAGAAAGGAAGAGACCGGTAGGTAATTGTGAATTCGCGAGTGGGTGTCTAGATGATGTAACGCCGATTGGGACAAGCCTGTCACCGACTTGACGCATAATGATCCTTCTATTAGCACGACGAGCGGCTTGTGCACGCACGTGGTCTAGTTTTAATTTCCAATCTGGGCGAATAGTATCTAGATGATGTTAGTCCGATGACTAAAAACAAATGATAGGCTTACCAATAGTAACTACTTCTGGACTATCCGCACTTATAGATTTCCTGCGCTGTCTAGGTGCTTCGACGTTGCTAAGAGCCTTGTCGATATTAATTTCTTGAGAAGGACTTGCACCTGTTCCGGCACGCCATTGTGGAGGTGAGTAAGTAATACCGAAATTATCCTGAGCGCAATATGGACAAGCGGCTGGTTCAGATTCTAAATGCGTGGTAGTTGGTTCAGCTCTCTTTATTTGGACGAAGCAATCAGTACATAGTGGTTGATCACAGCATCTGCTACGGTTTTGATTTGGGGGATAAAATAAGAAGCAAATAGGGCACTCCTGTGCATTCCTGTAGATGAAAGCTTCAAAATTTACGGTTGGTTTCTTGAGTTGATTGGATGAATTTGAAGCTGTTCTCCTCGGTGACTTGATCTGCGTTTGAGGTGAGGCATTAGGGGAATTGAAATTACCATTGTACTTTTCTTGTAAAATATCTAAATCTGACATTTCGTTATTGTAATCATTTAAACCCTTATAAAATGGCGCAAGTTTACGCTGGATTATCAATTCACGGACGACGTCCTTATCCCAGTCCTGCTGCGTATTAAAATAAACTGAATCAGGGTGTGGGCACACTGTACCACCGTCAACGTGGTCTATTCCTCTCTCACGGGTCGTGCTTGATGATGATGTCGTATTACCCATATTATGACGGTAGTAGTCTAAGGTGTGTATTTATTTTTTACAAGCAGCTAAATGAAGTTCTAACTCCTTTTGAGCTTCTTTAAACGTTTCTTTGTTAATTAGTTTATTAAACGCAGCTCGTAGGTTATCATTCTCGTGTATCAATTCATCATTCTGTAGACAAAGCGTTTTCACTGAGTTATCTAGCATTTCTAGCTTATCCTTTACATCTTCACGTCTTGTAGATTCTTTCTTTGACGATCTCCAGGTCTCACCAAGTATTAAGGCTGCCGCAACCGTAAATAGGAATGCCTCAGACATCGTATTAGCACCTTGCTGTATAGCTCTAGCTTCCGATAATGGTCTAGTATTATGCTGCTTTTGTCCTAATAAATTGCTCCTCATACGTCCCTCAAATGAATGCAATCCTTGAGCGACGTTGACGCACACTCGCTTGAATGACTCATGGTTGCTTGCTTGATTCTTTAGACTCGAAGATATCGGTTTAGCCAGTGTCCGTATGAATAAACTACCTAGTTTGGTTGATAACGACATAACGGTTTGCTCGAAAGATATTACATCAGACGCAGACAAATAGTTTTATATTTTCTATATATCTTTACCTTTCCTGGCGCTTTCATCTCTTTCAAAGTAGACTTCTTCCATAGATTTAACCCGACATTTGTCTCAAACTTTAAGTCTATACGAAGATAACATAAACTTCTATGGTTATTGGAAGATCTGCATGCATTCATAAACTACCTCAAGAAGAGATATATAGAGCACAAGATTATCACTGGAAAAACTGAGTCAACCATACCGCAAAGCATCGCCAAAGGAGTCTATAGGTTATTGGAGCACCAGAAGTGTGAATATAAATTACCTCAAGGAGAAACACATATCACATGAATGTAGTTTATTTTGAAGACTACAAGACTTAATAAAGAACAGCTGAGCTTAATAACTTCAAAGTTACACTACTGACGAAACGAAACCCATAGATTATATGTGTTGTCTTCCTGTCTCTGGCTGAGTTATTCACATACGACTCACTAGTTCAGCTTCAATTATGCTCTGCTTCGATACGGTACCTTTGAGTTAGTCACGTAAGTCCCATTAGTTATGACTTAATTTACTGACATTTCATAGTCACTGAACAAAAGTCAAACGTGGGTTTTACTTGTAGGAGTTTGGTTTTGGGTTATATCGTTATGGTCTATCATTATAATTTCAACCTTCGTTGGGCTGTCCATTTGATGATAGCAAAGAATAGCATTATTAAGGGCATGCGGAACAGTAAAGCGAAACAATAAATGTATACTATGCTTTCACTATGATATTCAGCTGCTTTCTCAATTTACGCGCGTCGCTTTATTTTAAATTTCAATTTGACAAGCTGATAGTACGCTTCACGGATGGCTATATTCTAATGAATGATAATGCCAAAATGACGTCACCTTAAGTCAAAATCTTAAAAGCTCAATACATAAATTTACTACAGCACTGATGCATCACGTAGATTTCGTTTGTTTGGAGGTATATGTCTTAACTTTACATTCTTCGAGCTGATAAAACTTTGAGATGATTATTACGGGGTAGCTTTTCAACCTTTTCAATTAAATGATTGTCATGAAGATACTTCAAAAAGTAATGCCTTGTTTTTGGATCAATGCTCTGCTTATTTATATAAATACTTCTGTCTAATCGTTACATACTTCCCATCTATGTTCCACTACTACATCTTACTCATGTTTGCCCATTTTCCAAACGCGCATACTGTGAAATTACTGAAAAGATATCACAAAAATGCTACAAACTAAAATTGTTTCACCATCATAGTAGTGAACAGAACATTTTAAACAAATAGATACACAATAATTCTATATGAAATTAGGTGAATACAGATAAGAACTTATTTCCTAGCAAATAGACGACTGAAACCTTCCTCATCGAATTTTCCCAAACTCAATCGAGGTGGTTCATCAGTTTTACTTCTAGATCTATGTAGTTTTGGTGTCCAAGATTTAACTGAAGACGTAGGTGATTTAGGAGTTGCAGGATTGTATTCTAGATCTACAGTAGTTGAGCTGCGCTGTTTTGATGGTTTAAAGCTTGATAATTTTGGTAATGAAAGTGAAGCTTTGTTACTTTTAGACGTATGAATTGAACTACTGCTGGTAATGGTTGACGTATTTCTTATTCTCTTCTGTTTGTCGCTAAAGGATTTGAATGAACTCGATCTGGAAAATTCAGTATTGAAGTCGCTAATCTCATTTGGAAATAAAGCAATCTCCTTCGAATAGTTCTTCATAAACAGTTTCTCCAACGTCATATGGAAACGTGCCATTTCTGAGGTGCACATCACTTTGTGTAAATCCAATCCTCGTCGTATCGTTAAAGCAAGATTTATTAAACTCTTTTCAAGTCTTTGACTGGAAGGGTTATCCTCCTTTTTATTCAAATACGCAGATCTGTAGAAATTAATACCAGCGTCTACAGGGATGTCGCAAGCATTATTTAATACCATTGATAAAGACTCGACCCTTAAATTTTGCTTCCCTTGGTTCTTCTTATTGTGACGATTATCTACTTGCACTTCGAACTTTGAATTAACAACACCCATTTCTTGACGCATCATTTCAACTTCTTCTAACGCTAATTCTATAGGAGAGACCTCTACAGTTCTACTCTCAATTATTTCGGATCTTCTTAATACTGAAGGGAACTAAGGATTTCATAAGCTAATTAACATCGAATCAATATTAACATACTTGGTTTTCACATTGTAGGAGAGTCTTTTCCATCCATTCACCCTCAATACCTTCACGACTGGAATTAGAATCTTTGTCAAGTGGTTGTGTATAGCTGAAAAGATCAGTCGTGTTTTCATCTGGAATTTGAATCAATATTGTAAGACATATCATAACACAACCTACAGTATTTACGAATTGGTTCTGGAACGTGAGGATTTTGAATAATGGGTGAGGTTTTGTCAACTTCAGGTGATACTGATGTAATGAACACTGTTATTTGTTAACATTCGCTTTGATTTTCTCGTAGGTCACTCACAATACTGCTCACTATCATCTACCACATCTTGAGAAACAAAGTGACCAGCACTGAGAATCTTAGCACTTGGATGTTTCTCTTGCATCCTACTGCTGAACTAAAAAATATTGTTAGTTGTCAAAATGGTCTAGGTTTTAAAAGCTTACGGTTTCAAGTTGCTCGAATTCCAACCCACGATATACTGAAAGACTTTAGCAAAGTCAATTAATCAGACAACCACTTACCAAATTGCTTGTTCTTAAGAGCAGGTGGGAATCCACCGTAATAACCAACAATGAAATACTGTGTTGTGTTATTTGAGCTTCAAAGTATAAATTTATAACCTACCTCTGGGAATTCTCTATCACATTTCATAATTGCGTCAACGAGAGAAGCCTGTGTTGCATAAACATTATTTAATCTCTAACATAGCCTACGAACATACCTGGTACGTCAAAATATCAGCTAACTTGTGGTATTCGTAAGTTTTAAATTCATATTGATATGTAAGATCTTTGCAAATGTCAATTGCAATTTCAAAAGCTTTCCCGGCAGCTAAATACTCCATGCAATGAGCCAAAAGAGTTTCTCTCCTTTGAAAGTGAGATTGTTTTGGTAAGCTCAGATCAGGCAAAGCTTCCAGCATCGCTGAAGAATCCCATTGATACATATCTGCATGCAGCTTGATTGTCATACCGGCTTCGGCGTATGAATGTGATCTTAGATGCATATGGACCAGAGCATGCAAGTATTTAACATATATTTCCTCTCTAAGACTTTTAATAAATGTCATCAACTTGAGTGTGGCTTCCAATCGATCATCTTCAAACTCTTGACTATCAGGTAGATGCCTTATTGATAAGAGTAATTCAAGAAAGTAGTCAACTGAATCTAGAAATCTAGACACATCTTTTTTGAGGGTTTCATCTGTTGTTGACGTGTTGAATAGCGACCTTAATTCACTAACGAAGAAAGCTCTTGAGATTTCGTCGCCCTTTGTACCATCCATAAAAAGTTTATCTAATTTATCAATAATTTCAGCTTCGATTGCCCTAAACTGGCCATTTAAATGATGCTCTGAGATAATCATAGAATGTAAGATTCCAACTGCATGGTTTCTAAGCTCATCATGATGCGATAAGCATAACTCCAACAAATCAGCAACTAAATCTGGGAATTGAATTTGAAAACCACCATATCTAGTCAATCCAGTTGAGCTATCTGGCCAACCGATAGCATTCCAAAGCTTAGTGAATGTCTGTGCACCTTCACCTCGTAAATCGCCCGCCAATTTCCAAACAGCTCTGCGTTTCTGTGGAGTATGTTCCTCGATAATTAGTTGATTCGATGCTAACAACCTAATATACATTTCGAAACAAACCCTCCAAAGATTTCTATTGAATTCATTTGCGAAATCTATTGAAGGCACAAATTGTTTCTCCATGACAACTGAGACTGATTCAGCGAGTTTGAGTACCATACGGTGAGCAAAAATTGAAATGTTTAACCAACTTGGAGGATATGGGCATGGAATTAATTTTTCGTCTATACCACTATCCTTATGATCTAAAACGCCAATAGAAAAGCTAAATATATTTGTTAAAAATCTTGTTAAATTCTTTTCACCTTCAATTTCTGAATGTTCTTGTATGAAATCAAGTATACGCTTTTGAGGTAATAATTGGATAATGACTAGAATAACAGAAGCGATTTCTCCCAGACCGCAGTTAAAATGGTTATTACGAGCCAATGAAATTGATGATTTACCACTATTTGAATTCAAGGATGATGGTAACTCTGATAATAAACTGAAAGGATAAGTAGCAGGGAAGACTGTTGGTATAGATGCAACTGTTGTTGAAGGCGAATTATGCTTGTTAATTGCTTCATAAGATGCATCAGAGTTCAATTCGTGATAAGATTCAAGTAATCTAGGTAACAAACTCATTATATCTTCAACATTATCTTGTTCTTGTCTACTAAGTGTTCTGCTTGCACTAATTGCGGGATCAACTATGGCTGTATGTAATTTATCCAACATTGTAGCTAAAATTGTGACTGATAACCTGAGGCACTCAATCCAAGCAATCCTAGCAGAATCTTTGACATGTTGAGGATCTTTTTGTTTAACATGTTGATACTCATCGTATGGTCCTAAATGTGGCTTGACTAATCTAATGAGAGTCGGTACGAGTATTGTTCTTGTACCTGGTTTATCAAATAATCCACTTCTTGCTATATGCAAGTAATTTAGTAAAATGTAAACTACCAGCTTTCCTTTAGTAGCTCTACAGGCTTCTGCAAAAGCCATAACATGCTCAACTAATTCTTCAGATGGGTATATTCTCTCTAAATCAGGCAAGCAGCCAGCAAAATGTCTTAAGGCTAATGTTTGTGTACCAATTATTGAACTTGGACTAGACATCTCCATTAGTTTGATTAAACCACCAAGCACATTCGTTAACTCTTTCTTAAATGTGTCTTCAAGGTGACCGGAAGTTACGTCTAAACCTGCACTCTTTTCCCTTTGAAGTTCTCTAGATCTCACGATGAATCTAACTAAGAAAGGTAAAACTTTTAAGGCTGCATGTAACTGTTGAGCGGTTGATGGATCACTTGGTTTAGCTAATAGTCTTTGTAATGATCTCATTAAATGCGACGAAGCTGGTCCACAGATGAAGTTTTCATTGATGTAAACATCTAATACTGTACCAAACTGGTTGAACCTTCTATCTTGTATTATTGCTAGAACCTTAACCAAGGCGTTAAATAATAAATGATCAAATTTATCACCTTCATTAATAGATGAGGCCATTATACCAAAGATGGCATCAAACGTTTCGGCAAGGAATTTAACGATTTCCGGTTCACCAACGAAAGGTAATTGAGATAAAACATTTTCGATTTCTGTTGGAGATTGAATTTGATATGATCTTTCACGTTCCCAGCTTAATAATTTTAATAAAACAGGATTCTGAGTGAATAATGTTGAGCAAAGGAAAGTACGTATTGAAATTGTGTCACGAAGTGGTCTTAATCTAGAATTTTCCATAGGTGAACTTGGACTACCGACACCCATTGTGTTATCTGGACTTCCAAGGGTAGCGGTACCAGTGCCAGTATTACCTAAAATGCTTAATTAATGATGCAATAAGTCCAGTAAAACACTTACCTTGTAATGAGCCTCCAGAGAATATCCTCTCTTTCTTGCTTCCTGGCGTAACTGTAGGCGTTGAATTGTTCAAGTAAAACGCAGTTGTTGGTGGGTCTCCAACGCATTTAAATAACTGCAAAGTATGTGACGCATCAGGTAGAAAGGCCTGACCTTCATTGAAAATGGGTAAATAACCCCAAGCAAACGGTGGTTCCGTTACATTTTCATCTTTATCTTCTTTCAGCTTCTCCTTATTGATGTTGGAATTTTCCCTTTCTCTGCTCGACTTATTTCTTACTGTGAAATACAAATGAACGTCCAAAAATTCTTGAGCTGATACATTAGTTAATTTGATCATTTCACCCCAGGTTGGTTGCGAATTATTAGCAAAGACTGTGAAATCCCAAACTGATTGTAATTTGTCACCAGTACCACCAGTAAAACAATCCTCAATTCTACTACCATCTTTTCGTCTAGCTTCAACCGTGACTTGAATGTTTTTCCAAGTGTTTGAGTTATTGTTTGAAAGCAAACTTAACCTCGATGTTGGATTAGTCAAGGTCGAAGTGAAATCACCCGACCACAGTTTACAGTAAAGATCGTTTCGTATATCCGCTGGAAATACGGCATCACTGAAACCTAATCTTGCAGTCGGAAAAACATTGTTTAAAACACCGGAATGATCGCGTAACATTTGGTTGAATGCGCCATGGAATGATTTAACTGTTACCGAAATATCTGTTGCCCTTGTCGAGGTATCAAATACTTTGACGTTATTGGTTATAATATCTTGATGTAAATTTGCGAAAAGATTTTCACCTGCCACGCCGGAATTTGAAGATGGTACATAGATAGGCATTGAATATTGTACCGCTTCATTCATATCCTTATTAGACTTTGTTGATAATTGACCTAAATTGAGTACGGCGCAGCCAAATGGTCTTCTTAAAAACTTTTTTGATGAAGCTGAGGCTGAATCGTCAAAATTGAGTGGTGATTTCAATAAACCATTTCTTATAATCTTGCAGACTAGAAATAAATTATCGCTGACGTCTACTTTAGACAAATCTTTGAATAAAGTACATACAGATTCCCCATTACGGTATATAGGTAAACCGTTGTGGTCGAGAACGACGACATGATCTTCTGTTAAGAACCTTCCCTGGTTCGCAGAATATAATGCGAAGAACAATTCGACAGTTTCGCCAACGTAACACGGACTTGCATTAAAAGATCTAAGGTTGAAATAGACGTGATAAAAATCATTGCAATCACTTGCACTCGAAGAGGTATTTCCTTGTTGATTAATAGTCGAAAACCTTTGATTACGATTAATTGAAAGAGGTTCTGTTAATTTGGATATAGATCTTGATTGATGTAAAGGTTTTAATGAAGGTTGAGATATCGGTGCACCAGAATGAACAACAGGTGAATTAATGTAAGCTAATTCGACTTGTTGAGCATACATTCTTATACTTGAAATCCATGCCTTTTTATCTACATCATTACCATCGTTTGAGATATTTGCCAGTGCTCCTGTAGTTGGATGCCTTACGATAACATCTAAGCCTAAATCGACGTTTGCTTTAACTAATCTTTCAACGGCTCTAGCTCTGAGGTCATTTAAATCTTCTTGATTATCAGATTGAGTAGAAGATTGTTGTAACAATTGCATCCTTGCATAATTGAGTGCGTTAATGTTGTTCTTGATCTTTTCAAAGAGTGAATAATTGCCTCTAGTTAATGAAGCATGTAAAGCTGTGAAATATTCCCTCAAAGCACACGCAATTTCGTCAATGAGGGGTTCATCATGACCAAAGCTGGTTTCATCACCGCATTTTAGTGAAGGTAATGGAGGTGGAGGCCTATTATCAGGTACTTTTTTCTCGGGTTTGTTCAGCTTATGATCATATTGGGTATAGTCATTAAAATCTAAATGTGAAGTAGCCTTATCTAAATCCTCCTCTTCTTCTTCTTCTTCTTCAAGTGTCTCCATTTTACCGAAAGAAGGTGTACGTGAGATAGCCGCAGCGGCTGCTCTTTGAGGGAATTGTTTGGCGGTTGATTGGAAGGATACGTAGGTAGAAGCTAATCTACCCTCAGCATCAGGTAGCATTTGTCGTATTCTAACATGAGTTGAAGGGAAGATACCAATAGAGACTTGAGGTTCTTCAATTGTAGTCGGATTTTGCGATATATTAGACGAAGTTTGAGTTGAGAGTGGATATCTAGAAGTAGAAACTACGTATCTGAAGTTTATTAAGCGGGTTTCACTCTCACTAAGGTGTGAACTAACCCTCGGTACCAAATAGGTTGTCCAGGTTCACGTATTTGTTCGAAAGCGTAAATTTCATCACTTATTAGTGATAAGATGTATATAAAGTTGATTAAAATAATACTCACCCAGTCTCCAACTGTATTTGATGAGGGTTACTTTTCTGATCCCCATCAGCTGGATTGAATGGAACTAATTTAAATGATAAGTAATTATAGAGTGACGAATTAAGAAGTTACTAACAAATACAAAACCCGTAAGCTATTTGCTCAAGGGGTGACCAAGTCATCCTGATCGTCGTACCGCTTGAAAGCGCACAATCACATCTAGAATGAGCTTATTCAAGAATAAAAAGCCAGGAACATCATCTAATGTTAAAGTAAATACTACAATAAAGAAATCTAAGCAAATAACGGATGAAAGTTTAAATATTCAACAAAAAAAGCGAAAACTTGAATCTCAAACAAGCCCAACAGTAGAAAAGCGTGATATTAAATCAGACAAGTTAAATTATAAAGGTAATTGGTTACGTGATAATGATACTCCGGTTGAACGCCATCCTATCACCTTAAAAAGTGTAGATAATGGCTTGTTTGATAACACGATATCATCTAAGCAACTAGTAGATATGAATATTAAGCAATACATTAGATGTACGTTCCTATTCATTAGAATCTTTAGTTACTTATTAATTTCTACTAGATTTTGATGATTTCTCTGCGGAAAATGTACCGACCATCACTTTAACGTTACCTGGACGCGCTTTCGAAGAATTTCCTTTGTTAATACCAAAGAACAATGAAAATTATTCACCTTTACACGATCTAATCAAGACAATCACCTTGTTAGTCCATCATTTCGTTCCACCTTCATCTCAGTCGCTTTTTGGCGTAATCCCTGAAGATGACGCTGATTTTATAACATCAAATGATACGAATATACTCAGATTAATCCAAAGATCTTTCAATAGACGCGAAGGCACGTCTTTCTGCAATGCTGTTGAGACTTTCAATAAACGATTCTTGGAACTTATAGATAAGAATGAGATTACAAATCATCTAAATAATGCTAAAGGCATACATCCTCGAGTTTGGCAACATATCAGTGATCAAACTTATCAAAGAGTTGTTGGACCTAGAGTGAATGAATTACGACAATATGAAGCCTTTTCGTGAGTACGAGGCCATTTAACCTTGCTTTATTTGTTAATACTATTAGCTCTAACATATACGGTGAAATTTTATCACCTTTTGTCGCGCATATCGCTCATAAACTCAATATCGGACCAAATTCCACATTTATTGATTTAGGTGCAGGTGTTGGTAACCTAGTATTACAAATGTCTCTCGCTACTGGTTGCAAAAGCTTTGGCGTTGAACAAATGAATACCCCAGCTGATCTGGGTTTTATTCAACTTGAAGAAGGCACAAAGAGATCTGCAATGTATGGTTTATTAGTAGGCGATATGGATTTTGAAAAAGGAGACATGTGCAATTCCCAAAAATTAAATGGATTATTACCAAAAGCTGATTATATTCTGGTAAATAATTGTGAGTAAGGTTTAAAACTAACCCTATTTTATTAAACATGGAATTAGATGGTAAGAAAGGTGCTATTCTGATCAGCGTTTAACAATTTTTAGCTTTCTCTGCCGAATTAAATGAGAGGCTATCATTAATATTCTTAGACTTAAAGGATGGTGTTAAAATAGTATCATTGAAACCATTCTTGTCGAATAATTTTAGAATTACAGATGCTACTGTAGGTTTTAAGCTTCTATTCCAATGAAGCTAACAAGTTAATAAAATTTCAGGTAAATTCACCACTTGCAATACTTGAAATGGAAAAAGGAGAATATTTTGCCGGTTCAGTTAGTTGGACAGATGCAGGAGGATCGTATTATGTCCACAGAGTGGATAGATCAAAGTTAAATTCTTATTTAAAATCAAAATAGATATGTTATCATCGTAATCTGCATTAAATAGAACTTAGTTTTACAAACATTGCTTTGGTAATTGACTACATTTACTTTGAGGTATCCGAAATGAAATCCGTTAAGCTATACCAGCCCGCTTCCTTAGAAATACAATGAAATTGAATATGAACCTAACTTGCTCAAACGTTTCTATAGCTTTGAGTGATCGTCTAAGTCTTACAACATTGATAAGTGATTTAAGAATTGATAAACAATGCTCAGTTTCGTTATTAATTGCAGGTAATAATAGGTTTGGAATTAGACCCATTTTGAGTATCCATGCCGAAGCTATAATACCTGCTCTACCAACTCCACCTCTACAATGTACCAAGATATTGAAACCTTTAAAAGTGAAATCGTTTAGAAGTATAGAGAGTCTGTCGTGAAATTCATTTAAATCTGGAGGATGTAAACCTTCAGGCATTGGAAACCTTAATATCGATAAACCTATTTTTGTGGCTGTTTCTTTATATTCTGACCAGCTTATGCCTAAAGAAATCAATTCATTATCATCTAGACAGCAAGCAATGACGTTGCAACCAGATTTTTTTATTCTAATAAAGTCCAAATGGAGGTCCCTATAAACTGGGCTTTTGAGATCAGATTGACCTTCGGGTTCATGCTGTTGATTTAAACGTAACTTTTTACCCGGTGCCGAAGACATCAACAAATTACCGAATCTGAATAAATGAGGAGACTTGTTCTGGTTGAAAGAGTATAATTTGTTATAATAGGTAAGATCGTCGGTTGTCAAACTATTAATATCATGATGGAACTTGTAGCATAAGGACGACAGATAGTCCAAATTGATCGGATTGTCTACAATGGTTAATGATGGCTTGATAATGGAAGACATATAATCGATACAATCTAAGGGTATAATGATTGAGATATTCAATGGGTGGGTGACGGATGTTTTCATATTGTTAGTGGATATTGCTAAGTTGTTGTTGTTGATGTACTCATTGTCACAATTATGACAGTGTAACAAATTATCGTTCTTTATATAACAATCATCATTTTGAACTATGAAATCGTTGAAGTTTTTTGAAGTTTTCAATAAACTTAGATAATAATCATAGAACACCATTGATAGAGGCTTATAATTAATATTTTTTAATTTGTAAAAGCTTGATATTTGAATAAAATCATCATCTGACATCGACGAGACGACGAATGCATAGAAAGCAATTTAAATCACCTTTGATAAATGGCAAAGTAAAAAATTTGAAATCTAATGATCTAATTAGAAAGTACAAGCAATTGTTATTTATAAAGAACTTAAAGAAGGATGATAAAATAAATAATTTAGGTACTTTAATCAAAAAATGGTTAGAATTATCTCAATTAGCATTAAAACAGTTATTCAATCTAATCAATTTCAACAATGACCTCATCTTTAAGGAATTCCTCATTAGGTTATCAATTGAACCTTCAAAACTCAATTTTAATGATGAATTTGAAGATTTTGATAACTAATTTTATTTTCATTTTTTCATTCTTTTAATTTCTTAATCACACTCCTTTTGCTCATATACGTCATCGATGTCCACACCCCCAATCCATTCAAAAGCTGAAATCCCAATAAACAGTCCTACGTCTGAACAAGCAGCTAAGATTGTTATCTCTGCTGCCGATAATGACTTAGACAGTTTAGTTAATTACAAGAATGACTTTGGTCCAGATTCAATTTTCACTGCCAGAGATGATGTTGGTCATAGTATTTTACATGCAGTTTGTGAGAAAGGCCACTTAGGTTTGTATTCAAATACATCAGCCATAATCATCTAATTACCTCTTAGAAATCCTAGAATGGCTTTTGCCTCCTCATCTTCCGTACCCACCTGGGCCTTCACCTTCGAATACCCCATTATTCTCCTCCTCTTTATCCCCTACCCCTCATTTAACACAAGCCTTAATCGATTCGAACACACCCGATCAGCGTTCACCATTACATTATGCTGCAAGAAAAGGTCACTTTGAATGCGTAAAATCCTTATTGTCTTTCGCTTCAACACGTCCAGCTGCCTTAGATCCTTCTTCATACTCAAAAAAAGATGTTCCTAAAGGTGCTGCAAGGGCTGCAGATGCTATTGAAGGTCGTCAAAAAACTGCTGAAAGTATTTTGTTAGAAAAACGTACGTCTAGAGGTCGTCTAGCTCAGGATGAAGCTCAATCAGGTGGTCACACACAATTAGCTGAATTCTTAAATGAGCGTCGCTTATGTTTAACAAATAGTGATTGAAATTAATCACGAAATTATTCATATACGAATTAGTAAATCTAGAAAATGAAAAACAAAGAAGTTTTACTTTCAGTTCCGATCACCGAAGCTTAATGAGATTTTAAACAAACAATGTCATCGACTTTTTTTTAACAACAGCCGCTTCTTTTACTCGCATTATGTCTACTTATAATCTGTATCGAACTTGTATCCGAGTCTCTACCACGTATGAACAAATTATGAACTTCAACTTGATCGCAATTGTCTGTGTCAAATTCCATTTGACTAAGCTTATTTTGACGACTTAAATCGAAATTTTTTTCAGAACTTTTCTTATGTACTAAATAATTGGCAACATATCTTACTGCTTCAGCAAAATTTTTAAATTGGAATGAGAACTTACTCAAAAACTTGATCTACACCGTCGCCTGTCTTTGCAGATGTCCAAAATAGTTTAAAACCATAGTCATTATCGTTTATGTTATAATCATCGCTATCTGTATTCTCATTTCGATCATTATCGTTTTGGCTATTCAATCGTATTGGTGAAGGCTCTATTGTACTTGGTGTATCAAACGAAGATGATGGGGTATACTAACAGCATAAAGGTTACTGTTCAATTAATTCAAATTGGCTTATATACTCACATAAATTGTATTCCTAGTATTTGTATTATTAGACGATATAAATTGATCGTTACTGTCCTCATTGAACATTCTATTTGGTATAGCTTTCGGTGTACTACTAATGACACCTCTGGGTGACTTAAATTGGTTTGAATTGGGATGTAAGAACTTGATAGTATCTAAATAGTCTTCTGAATTAAATGAATTGCAATCAATCGCATCAATCTTATTCCCAATAGCAGTCAAACAAAAATCATTTAGATCATTATCAAACACCGGCGAGTTTGACCTAAATGTTTCAAACCAGTGTCTTAATGTTTCTAAATTTGGTGCTTTGGTAGCGTCAAAGACTAATAAACAAGCGTCTGCTCCTCGAATAAAAGCGTTTGATAGACTTGCGAATCTCTCTTGACCAGCTGTATCCCAAATCATTAAATTTACTTGGGTCGATCCCACTTGAATCTTTTTTGAATAAACTGAATCATGAGTAAGCAATATATACTTTAACATGAAAACTAACAGTCAGCCCCTATTGTCGATTTATAATAATTATTGAATCTATTATGTAAGTACTTTCATTTTAAGTAGATTAGACGATTTATAGTTGAATGCACACACTCACTTGATTTCGAAGACTAGTCTATTGAATACAATTAATAGAATCTAAAATATAATAAAACTAACCTTTCCGGCACCGCTTTCTCCAATTAAAACTAGTTTAACCGTTATCGAAGATGATGCCATATAAGCAACCTCGTCTAAGTAGAACTACATGCTTATAAGTAACTATATTAAATCAATATTATATCCTACGAATAAATTATATACCAGAAATACATAATCAAAGAAAGGGGAGTTGGATGGTGATCAATAAAAAAAAATGGATTTATTTCAATATATAGTTTAGAGCTATCAATATTCGTCAATTTCTAAAGCGACACCAACGTTACGATTAGAAACTTTCTTTTTTCTTTCTTCTTGTACGTCAACAGGTACATCAAAGAAACTGAAACCAGAAGCTATTCAAATGGTCAGGGTTGTTCATAAAAATATAATTCGAACTCACTATAAGCATCATTGTCATCTTCTGTATAGTTGTTGCGTTTGTTAGCTTCCTTGTGTAACTTGACCAACATCTGTTCAACTTCAACGAAATAAGCTTGAATAGTCTCAATAAATCTCTTCGTTTGCCTATGCTTGCTACTTATGCAAAGGGAAATTGAATTATCTCTGATAATATATCCAATACCATATCCACGTGGTGATGTGCTTGCGAATCCGAACAACCTTAAAGCTGGATTACCACAATTTGAAGTTGAAAGTATATCAGTTGTTCCCAAAAGATATCCTTGATCGGAATATATAGATGGTCTTACTCTAGGTGGCTTACTTGCACCATTGGATGTATTATTTTCATTTTTACCTTCAATTTCATCACTCTCAATGTCAGCTATTCTAAGCATTGCGTATAAGTGCCTAAATATTATGAACATGATCAATACATTCTCGTTGTTTACTCACCTATCATGACCTAATCCTTTCGAACAATCTTTGGATAACTTTGAATGATAATCACAAGCAGCTCTTAATGTCGCAATTTTTTCTGAAGCCGACACATCAGAATTGAATGTTTGAACGAATTTGACAACTTCAGGTGTGACTGTTCGTATTGCTTCTGTGCGTCCATGTGCAAATGCTTTTGTCATTGCCGGTTCATATGTACATTCAGTACGACCATAAAGGTTATAATACCTAAACGATTTATTGGTATCTTGCTTTTTTCTGTAAAAAAAACTTACGCTGCTTGATACGCCATTTGAACAAAGGCGTCTGGACTAAATCCATGTTTAGTTATGAACAATTTACCGAATTTGTTGAACCTAGAATTCGTTAATTGATTATAGTTATTTATGTCCACTCACTCCAGAACTTGTGCTTCATTCTGACATATAAGATCACTTAAACGAGTCTCTGCAAATCTTATACCTAGTTTTATCTCGTTTGTGTACATCCAATCAAGTCTCTTTGGCGCAGTATCAGGTATAACCTGCCCATCTGGTACTGGTTGGGGGCCACCTTTTGCACTCTTAGAGTATGGTGAAAGTTTGCTTTTGAATAATGTAGGAGCAACAGGGTTGATACTTTTAGCAAATAAAAGTACTAGTTCAGTATAAATATCAGCAGCGAAACTTTTATAATTGTTACCGAATTATAGTAAGGTAAGATTTAGTACTCACCGCAACACGGTATGACCATCAACGCCGGAATGTTCAAAATTGATACCAGCCGCACCATTTTCACATATAATAATTTGCAACTAACCTCGTTGTTATTTGAGAAGATTCACAACCGTAAAACATACCTTATCATACCAACGATTAGTACATGTTCCAATTTGTTTACCTTTCGTTAGATATTAGCAATGAAAATAATTGAAGAAGTGCTCACCATCTTTAACGCGACTTGTACCGCAGAGCATATTGTCACATAATTCTGCAGGATTCTCTGGAGTCATGTCATCCAAGCAAACGACAAAGAGTGCCTTTGATGAATGTGAGATAAAGAATAGCAAACATTTCTTAGGCTTACTTGATCAATCATGTCTAAATTCTTTGCATTGTCTGAGTTCTTACTTAAGAATTCACGATTTGAGGACCAGATTTTTCTGTTTTCGGTTGTCAAAACACCGATTGATCTTCCTGATGAGTCAAGTTCATCGTTTTTATCGGCGTCTTCTACTATAGATTTAAGGTTGTTATGTAACTCTTGTTCGGTGAAGAGTGGTCTATTTTCGTCATCTATGACGTCAAACCAGTCTAATTAAAAAGGGTTAAAAAGCGGAATAAACAGGTAATAAAATGAACTCACAAAATTGACTTTTACGTGCAATGATGATATGCTTTGAGTCAGTTTTGGTTTTCATAACGCAACCGTTTTGAGTGGGAATACGTGAAGTACCAAATAACCTATTATATTGACTCATATCAAGTGGAATACCTCTAACATTATCTGGCTGTAAAATGTTTGCGCGTAAATCATGTACGAAACCGAGTGAAGAGATGATAAGACTTGAGGCACGCATCAATTGAGAGCCACGAGAAGGGGTAGGATCATCCTCTAAGATGAAGAAAGGGTTCAAAGCTAAGACGACCGAATCTGAGTAGTTAAGGTACGATTCATCCCAGAACTCCTCTATGTAACTGAATTTGTTGGAGGCATAATCTCTGAGCTTCTGATCGAGATGAGGACCCTCATTCTCTAAAAAGTAATTAACTGCTTTTATAGTGTTATCGTGCTCAGATGAATTCTGAAGACCCTCTAAAGATCTCAAGTAACGCTGACAAGTTTGCTTCAGATCAGGTATAGGTAACCTAGGTAAATCAATAGCGTTTCGTGTAAGCTCTGGTGTTGTAGACATAATCGTTCAAACTAAGGCATGAATGGGGTTACACCAGTTTAATTAAATCAGCTCCGAGAATACACGAACGGTCAGCTGACTACAGAAAATGGAAAATAATTTATAAAATTTATTTTTTATAATTAATTCTTAGTTTAGTATCCTTTGCTTTCCTCCATTACGAGTGTACGACCGTAATGAGTTTGTTAAATCAATTAGATAATCTAAATCTGAATAATGATAATTTACTACAAAATAATAATAACGTGAGTATTTTAATTATTGATTGTTATTCATTTTAACTCTATAAGTGGCTTAATACGCTAAATAACCAAAATACTTTCATAAACGGTGAAGAAATTATCCCAAACGCAGTCGTTATCAAAAATATTCCTTTCAGTCTACCAAAGGACCAGTTGCTTAATATTATACACGATTTAAATATCCCAACTCCTTACGCTTTCAATTATCATTATGACACTTCAAATCCAACTTCAGATCCTGCTTTTAGAGGTCTCGCTTTTGCAAACTTTAGGACTTCACATGACGCTTCTGCTATCGTCGCAGCTCTTAACGGTTTTGATGTTTTGGGAAGAAAGCTCAGGGTTGAGTACAAGAAAGTGCTGCACCCAGAGGATAAGGAGCGAATTGAAAGGGAAAAAGCTCTTAGAAGGATGGCTAGCTTGGGTATCAACAATAACAATACTTCTACTGCCTCACCTTTTCAATCGTCGGATAATTTCACTGATAGTCCTAACTTATACGATTCTGTTTTATCAGATAGGGATTCTCAAGCCAGTCCTCCAACAATGCGTCATGCCGAGCTTGATTTGAATGATCCTTCAACGCTTGAAATTTATTCGCGTATTCTTGTCTTTAAAGAGGATAGAATGAGAGATGACTTGGCTTTCAGTAAAAACTTAACTATCTCACAAAGGAGAATTGTTCATTTGGTGGCCCAACGTCTCTCTGTTTACCATTATTCTATCGGTCAAGCTGAAGAAAGGTTTGTTGTCGTTTCAAGAAATCCTCCAAATGATGGCTCGAATCCATCACGCAATGATCCTATTCGTACATTGAAACATTCTTCATCAACTATTGGAAGATCTGGTAGACCTGACCTTGTTAGTAATACTTCTTTTCTCAGTCCTGCTTCAACGGGTATTGGTATGCAAATACCTCCAGGCTTACGTACTAAAAAGTCTATGCCTGATATGAAAAGGTTAAATACTACTACGAACTCTTTTAATACAGCACCTGGATTAACTACCAGAGCATCTAATAGTAATTTGAAAGAAGCTTATTCAACAGTAAGATCTACAACGGATTTACAACATTTTGCACCTCCAATGTTATCTGGAAGACGCTCAGCTACTCTTGGTCCAGGTCCACCTGGTACAGGCGGTTTTGCCTCATTATTCTCGCCATCGCCATCTAGCGTAAATTCACCACGTACCTTCTCAGAAGCTGGTTCGTTTCATCCTTCGACATTACCATTTCCTTTAGATTTGTCTGCGACTAGAAATGGTTCTGCAACACCGTCTGAACAATCTTTAACAACTTCTCCAGCTCAATTAAATGCTCAACTTACTTCACCACCAATTAGACAACCACGAGGTCCTCAGACGGCTGCGTCACAAGGTTTCAGTCAACCTTCATCTCGTGGTATTAGTTCTCCAGCTTTATCGCCTCAACCAAGTCCTAGATTAAATCAACAGTTACCAATAGCATCACATCTTAAGAATCCTAATGGAATATCTTCTGCAGCACCAAATTCACAAACTTTCACGGAACGCACAAGTGAAATAATGCATTTCAACGATGAGTAAAATGATGAATAAAATGATTTTTACGATTAAATGAAGTAGTAATTCGTCTAAAAGCCACGTGTACGTGAATGACCTGAATAAAATGTAAACCTAAATAGTATTATAAAGATATTAATTTCTCCTGATGATAATTTACTGTGCAAATCCATAACAAAACCTCTAATAAAATCGCATCAGTGTCGTAATGAGTGAAATCCCCACTATCCTGTTAGAGGGCGCGTTGTACATTCCAGTATGAAGAAAGTGATGTGACCACCCATGTAACGATTGTTTACTTAAGGAGAAGTTGATTCACTTAATGTAAGACTTTATTAAAGAAGTACGTCTGAGCTTGATACAAAAAAGTTGTTACGAGCAGTTCATCTGATGGCCGTTAAAGTTGACATCTCAATCCTTGATGTGGTACAGAACCATATGGGAACGTTATATGATGTCTTGGAACAATACGACATGTATTAAATGTAATACATATGGTGAGATTTGTATAAATTAGATGAAATGAGTGATGCTGATTTAAACTGGTGATTTTTAGATACACAAGTTCAATCAGTCCACTTAAAATTATTGGCAACGTAGAATTCAGCAAAATTTTAAGATCCGCACAAATATGTAAGTGTGTTCATCAATAACATGTACACATGCATCTACCCTTTCGTA